CTATCTTATCTGACAATTGCCCGATACTGAAGCCCAAAGAAACTGGAGGGACCACTAGTCTGAAGTCGGAGGCAACCGTTTTCCATTCCCTTCGAGACTCGGATTCACCAATGCTGTAATTCGTTGTCAATCCAACTATAATACCCGAAATCATTGAGATAGGCCTCCTGAAGTACAAAGTGCAATCCATCCCAACGGATAGCATCCACTTTTTCGGAGAGATCTGGGAGGTCCAGCGCACCCAACCCTTGTCCATGGAGTCTAACGGTGCCCAACTCAGCAACCATGGGATTTCGGTCTGCGTCCTCTTCATCCCTACTAGCATCGCGAGGCGAATGTGAGAGGGTCTGCGTGAAAAAATCATGGCCGTCAAGTGCGCGTTGAAGCTTGCTGGACTTTTGATAACAGCACGGACTTCGTCTTCGTTTCCCAGTTTCTCATGAAAATGTAAGCTGAAAGAGTGTAGGAGAGGAGTAAGAGGCTTATCGAGGACAGTATTGTTTCTAGTTCGATGGTCGGCACTGTCATGTGTCAGACGCTGAAGGAGGGTAATGAATCCTGGTATGACTACGTCAAGATCGAGCACCTCAAGAAGAGGTGTATGTTCCAACACTTCGCACAACATAGTGCCCGTTAGATTGAGCATAGGGCTTCCAACTAGAGCGTCCGGAGCCGGTGGGTTTGGACAAAGAAATGGGAGGTCTCCTGAGGCCGTGTCCAGTGGAAGCTTGGGGCGTCATGCCTCTCTTTATCGTATTTAATGACAAGACACGAAAGGGCCGGTAGTGTCATCCGGTCAAAAACGGATAAATCGGCTGGGGGATCGTGGCGAAAGATTAAAATGAGCTTGCAAAGCTTGGGTGATACAACACAGCCAGTATGGGAGAGGTATGGAAGCTCTGTATCTTGTTCAACAACTGTTGACAGTACTTCCAAGTTGGGGCAGCGGTGGATTGCAGTGGTGAGGGTTATTGGCGGAAGCGCGTCGATGAAGATGATCAAATGGGTGAGTTGAGCCCAAGGGAGTAGAATTGGCTCGGGGTCGCCTGGCCGGAACTCGGGGTTGGGGGAAAGACAGGCACGACGGAGTTTAGGGGCCGTCGCGAAAACTGTTATCTGGGGGGAGGGTTTTGCGAGATAAAGGTTTCGAGGTTTGGGAGGTGTTGATTTGGTATCTCGAAGAAGGAAGTGCATTCGTGAATGTTGGAGACACTCAGGTTCAGTGACCGAATGGCTTGTGGATGATCCATAAGAGCCGCCTGAAACAAATCCTTCCCAAGATCTTCCTCTGGATTGTCGGACCTGTGTCTCATCATTTCGAATAGCGTAACATCCATCACGGGCAGACACTTGCTGAATTTGTACCAGGCTCGAATCTTGCGGAGGAGTTTCAGGCTCTGTCCTCTATTCGAGATAGCGAATCGGGACCAAAGGATGGGACATTCGAGAGTAAAGGTTCGCCATGATGAGCATACTCGTGTGAGGACAAGGGGGGCATCGGAATCGCAGAGCCCGTGGGGGGTGCCGAATTGGTCGGTTTGGTCTGGAAGACACTCGTAGAAGATTTCGGCAACAATTTCTGGCGGTAGATGTTGTACGAATGACATCCAGAGGAGGGAAGATACAAGCAGCAAGACGCGGAGGGCTGGACGGTAAAACCAAACACGATCACGTGAGAATTCCCAGTTTGAAGAAAGTTAGAAACGAAGGCCGCCACGAGTTGTCCTTTGCTTGACAGAAATGCGAGGGATGTGGAAAAGGAGGGATGTAGAAAGAAGAGATTATGTATCAAATTCAGTGGTGCCAACCCGACATTTTTATGCTTCATCGAATCAACGAATCAACGCAAGGCAAGTTCAGTGAAGCCTTCACCCCAAACTAGACCGCCAGTATTTCCCCCAATAGGTATCCTCAGAAATCAAGGGCTTGAACGAAAAGGTTTAAGGACCTGTTGATTGTGCTTGAAAATAAAATTAACTTCATTTCTGTAGCCCTTCAAGCTTCAAGTTCCAAGGAGAGTTCTCTTAATAGTCTCTTGGTTTGTGAGGCTCTGATTTCGAAGGACCCTTGCCAAACCCTCGCTGCTAATTTGACTCTTGATCAATAGTGGAATAGATTTAGTACAACACTAGTAGTGGTCCTTGCAGTGCAAACGTCAGGCCCCCGGTCAGGGGGCATGTTTTTGTAGAGAATAGTATACTGCAAGGATTGTGTGCCACCCACCAGCACCCGCCGATCATCCACAGCCGACCGTGGTGACCGTCACCTCGTCCTAATTTGGGAATTACCCTACCACAAACGTTCACTAGCACTCTCAAAAAAAGTGCATAACATTACATATGTAGTATCTAAGCTGCTTCTTTCTGCGAATGAACCTCTCCTCCGGACGCCCGCTGTCTCTGAGTCCCACCTTTCTTTCTCTTGGTTAAATTATCGTTAGGCGTCTCTCCGCTACCATCCATCAAAATTCCCTTCTCACCTCATCGCTCCGCCGGGTTAACCTGAATGAGAGCAACGGGAGCATTTCCTCCTCTCTTTTGAGACCACTTCCTAGGGATTGTTCTGTGGGTCTTGGAACGATGTGCGCAGGATTTTTTTCAGTCAACTTTCAGTTGGGGTAGGTGAGCTGCAAAAGAATCACACAAGTTCTGTAAGCGTTCTGAGTAGCGTCTCCCGTGCTCTCCCCCTTTACGTTCCTCTTCACTTATGCCACCAGATGCAGAGTATGACCAACACATCGTCATTGGCGTGAATACGATATAATAGTTATCCACACTATATTCTACAAATCGACCTTTCCGTCGAGCGCCCAGGCTGAAGAAGGTCAAATCCTGCCGGTACGTATCTGGCGCTAATAGGCTGAGGTGTCATGTTGTATTGCTAAGGTCGGGCGTCAATTTGAAGACGAGGGAACTGGATTCGAGGCTTTGGCTCGGCTTTTATGCTGGTGCTAGGCTGCGCTCACACTGCAGCGAGTCGATGCGGCGTAATTTCGTCAGAAGCTGCACATTCACGCCCAGTTTCAAATGGCCTCCAAATATTATGGAGTTTAAAAATCAATTCATGGGATCACTGTGACAAGGATGCACCGATGAACATCCCCAAGAACCAAGGGAGAAAATCAAACTGTCGCGACTCTGGTTGCATTTCTTCTCAAAACTCGGCCTTCATGCATGTTCTATAGCGTTTCTACACGTACGTTGATGAGCCAGCCCGCTGCCTAGCCTCGGAAAATCCCTTTTTTCGACTTTCGTCATCACATTCTCGTCGTCCCCTCGATCCCCGACACCTTTCCCATTGAGCCATATGATTCCTCGACGCACCCGGAGACCCTCAGCCAGAACATCAGCAAGCCCCGTGATCGGCCCACATGGTTCCAGTCGAAGCGAAGCCTCGACGCGCCACCCTTGCCATATCAAGACCATCAGCGCAGTCGTCCGTTGCGTCCCCTCGTCATTTGATTAATTTTTATCATTCTTATTTATTTCTGTGGAAGATTTTCTCTTATTCTTTATTCCTGCAGCCCGGTTTGGAGAAATACCTCACCGGTGCTCCTGTTTTTTGTAGATACAAAATGTCTGTACTTACTCTTTTCCCCCAATAACATACAGTTCTACAGTTCCTCATTTGCCCACTCGGGGCACTCATACCTCGCCCTCGTCTCTCGTACGCCTTCTCTCGTCGCTCTCAGCCTCGTTTCGACTCGCCATTTCGACCCACCATTGCCCCGTCTTTCGATCTCGCCGCCATCGCCATTCTGATCCCACGCTTAGCGCCCACCGTCGTCCCCCGTTTGCTGGTCGCGCGTGCCCACTGGTTAGAGCCGCACAACCGGGAACCTGTCCTCGCACCTCAGAGCCACTCATTGCGGTGTTTTGGGTGTGTGTTAGTCATTCCTTATTCGCACGATCACCCCACCGTAGGCACATCAACGTACACCGGCTTCTTGCTATGAGAACGGCATGAACGTATCCGACAATCTAGGCCTGTGTAACAGGCGCCGACGTACTGCAACGGGAAGTCGGAGTCTTTCATATCTCACTGGCGCTGTCCTCTCAAGTCCAAGAAACCTGCGTCGCCGTGGAAAATCTCGTAAAGAGGATTAATTTCGGGCTGAAGATGACCACGGCGACCTTGGTATCTTCCCAAGCTCGAGCTCGCATCTTTCTTTCGCGAAGAACGTTTAAGCCGCATACATACGAGGCATCGCCGTCCCAATCCACCTATTCCCAATCTGGCCTGTCGCAAATATAGCACAAGAGCTCGTTTTGTCGGGTCGCGGGAAAGAGAACACCTCTCTCCACTTATCTATGCTCAGGCCCCGTCAACCGACGATCATGACATACCCCGCAAGCCAAGTGCCCCGCTGATGGTCCCAGAGGGAGTAACCTAGGAGAATTGCCTACATGCCCGCTGCCGTCAGCTCTCTTCTACGCCGTAGGAGAACCCTGTGCGACTGTATTGCGAACCTTGATTGTGGGCGAGGAGGCTTTTTCGTGGAGTAATTAGGCTACCAGCGAGGGAGCACGGCGGTGAACGAGCGCGGCGTCCGTGATAAGGCGTCGACCCCAGTTCTAAAGTTGGCCTTGGTCGAGCTACGCTATTCCTTCTTCGTCGGTGACATGCGTAGCTGGGCTTCAACGAAGAGGAAAGGCAGATATGCATGTAGACAAACGGAAGAACCGCGCAGCATATGATAACGACGATAACAGGCCCGCAATACCGGGGAACAACGCTCATTAATCATTGCCCAAGGGTCGAACGAAGCTCATTCTCGTGTAGATCACCGTCGGTTTGGCGAAGAGACGCTCCAGGATTGTAGAAAGAAGCTACCGTGGCTCCCCGCCCCCGGTCTCCGAGTCAACAAGAGCTTCTGCAGTTCCAAGCCATGCTTAACTCGAGGCTAGATTAGCTTCAAAGTGAACCCGAAGAGTCTAGCCAGCATGTAGAAATCGCCTCTCCACACAGGCCGCCGGAGTACAACAGCAGAAGCATCGTCCGCCATGAGCACCTCTCGTCCAGATACACGAAATGACAGCCGAGAGTGCGTCCAGGTCCTCGGGTACCAAAGCAGAGGAGAGAGAAGGAGGATAAAAGACAGCCCTAGATCGCCGTACAGTGTGGACCGACGTGAGTGTTGGACAGCGCGAAGGCGTCCTGGCAAAAAATCCCATAAATCGACCGAAACACCTGCAAGGTGATCTGCACCTGGATGTTGTACAGACACTTCCGCGCCCACAGCTGCTATATTTCGTGCGACGGTGACAAGCAGGCCGCGTAAAGGAACGGTGAACAACGAAAAATAGCACGTTTGTCGCAGGAAGCAGTAGAGCGTGGAAATGAGGCGCACTGCGGCACAGACTGTCAGACATCGCGCCAAATTTTGGGAGAACGGCGATTGACGCGAAGCTGAGGGCCCAGGGTACGTGCTGTGTTACTGTACACGATCGATAAGACGGTTACCCCATGAGCACATTCGCTCTAGGTTTCGAGGCATCTCGCGATATCTCTGGCTACATTGTGGTGCTCGATCCTGCGCCGTGATCAGACCCTCATATCAGTTGGATTGGAAGACAAGAACTACCCTGAGACTTACGTGCGTCTGTGCATTCCGAAGGTTGCATCATAATGATGTGTTCCGCCGCGGTCTTCCTCCTGCTCTGAACAGTAGCTGCAGACGGAGGCAAGAGCACTACACTGGGAGTACACTTCAACGCGTATAATGAACGGGCATCTCGGGCTCGGCCACCCGGGCCTGTCTTCCTCCCCGTACCTGTCCTTCGCCGCGCCAAAATCCCCATTTTCGACAAACGCACCCAGGCGAGCGGGGCTGGGGTGTCCAGGAACCGGCGGCGACGCGGGTACACAAACGGCAGTCGTCGACGGAGCAACGGACCGGCAACTCGGTCCCCGAGCAGGCCTTAAGTCCGTTTCCGCCTCCGACTTGTCCCGCTCCGCCCCCCCTCATCCAGCAAACTCGTCATCAGCACCCTCTCCCACGACCTCCAAGGTCCCCAAACCGCCCAACAAGCGCCGATATCTCTCGCTTGGCGGGGCTTATCTGGGTCTTGGCGCGTCTCAGTTCTGAGTTCTGTCTTGCAAGTCCCAAATCTGGCGATGGTGCAATGGTGAAGGATGAATTGAAAGAGGCTCGCGCGCGACGCGAGGCTCGGAGAAGGAGTGTCAAGGAGAAGAAAAACTTTGTGTTGTGTTGGAGAAGCAATTGCGAGGCACCCCGAACAGATCGACTCGATCGCGTCGGAGGAGAGCTTGCTGTACATGTTCAACTGTTCAACTGATCGCTCAGGACAGTCGCGGTAAGTGTCAAGCGACTGCGGAACGCGCTCTTAGCCCCACCCCCACGCGCATCGCACGTGTCGTTCGCCAGCTTACCGCGGAAATCGACCCGCCATACGCGTCGGCACCCCATCCGATAGTGAAATTCGTGACAGACTGACGGAGCAGTGTGGTGCGACGCGTCTGAACGTTTATCAGGATTCAGGCCTCCATTTCACGGCTTCCAACGTGATTTGGAAGGAGGCGCAGGCTGATTCTTGAGAATGAAAGGAAACCACTGAAAGTCGTTCGACTCGCGCGTGCGTGAAGGGACCGCTGACGCACATGCGACCTGGTCCTGCAGCTGCCGCCGAAACCCAAACGCGCTTCATCTTTATTCATATGCCAACCCGCCCAGACACCGCCAATCCACCCCGAATGCACAGATACGCGCTCCCCTTCCCCCAAACCCCATGGCAACCCCCTCGAGATAATCTAAAATTAATTCCACATGCCGCCGCGAGGAGATTAGGCTTAAGCGGCCCAAATTACCATCTGAATCTACATCCTGATTCCATACATAGGCGCGCGTCCCCCGACTCGAGGGTTTTAAGCTCGGAAAAACACATGCCAGGACATCCATTTCGTGGACACTAGTTAAATCTTGATCATCGAGAAGCAGCTCTGAAATTCAGCAGCTGGATAGCAGCCAGAAATACACATGCGTCTCACATCCCAGTGCCCACACAAGCATATTCAGAATCACACCAAAATCCTACACCAAAAAAAAAATCATATGAATCCAAAGCGCAGCGCAAAAAACCCAATGTAATTAAGCTAGCAAGTGTGGCGTGTCCGTCTGTACAGAAATCGTATCGTATATGGTAGGCGTAGAGCGTAGAGCGTAAGCAATCCAATCGAAACCGCAACCGAAGAAAGGAGAACTCGAAAAATCTATGTGAGTGAGAGGGCATTACGACTGGAGCTCGTTGCAAGCCAGTGTGCGCGTCTAAGGTAGGGTAGGGGTAGGGCAGGAAAACCGGTGTGGATTCTGGATCGTGAGATGGGGTGGATCGTTAATGAGGAAGCGAGGGAGGGGTGGGTTGGGGCAGAGCAGAGGGCAGTGTTAAATACATCGAAATAAATAGGGTCGTACGTCGGTCGGCCGGCGAGATGGTGGGCCTGGGTGGAACTACACGGAGAAAAGCTGAGAGATGAGAGACGAGAGATGAGAAATGAGAGAGATCTATGGGTCTATATGTGTGTTGTAGTAGCAGTAGCAGTAAGAGCGGGCGTAATCAAGACGAAGTCGAAATGGAACGAAGCGGAGCGAACGATGTGGTGGTGGAGAGATGGCGGAGAGATGGCGAAGAGATAAAAGAGACGAGGCATGATGCATAGAGGTCTAAAGTAGACAGACGTAGTATGAGATGAAGCTCAGATGAAGCAAAGAAGGCAAAACGTGCCAATGAATCATTTGCGGGGCAGGTGCAGGCGTAGGGTATGCAGATGTCGGAGAATGTTGCGAAGACGAAAGCGAAAACAAGGATATGTTAGGCGAAGTTGGAAGAGGATGGCGTGCAAGAGAGCGGGTTCAAACGTTCACGACCGCACGAAATCAATCGACATCTTCTCCGCTGCTCCCAACGATCCTACTCCCACACCAACCCCAATCCCAACAACAGGACTCGGCGGTGCCCGCGTCGCAGCCTCGAACTCGCTGAACCCGGGCAGCTCGACCTTCTCCTTCTCCTTGTCCCCGCCATTTATTTTCCCTATCCCCATCTCCTTGCCTTCCTCCGCCTTCATACTCGATAATACCCCGTCCTCCTCCATGTCCTTCGTCTCAGTTATCAACCCTAGCCCGCTAGTAGGCGCCTCCGAGTCAGGCGTCACAGTCGACGACGCCGACGCTGTCCCAACGCCAGGTAGCGTCTTCAGCGGCGGCAGCTTGATCCTCGGCGATCCTGACCTGCTGGGCGGTACGCTCGCCGTTCCCATCGTCCCTGTGCTTGCGGGGTAATGGTGTGGCTGAGACGAGTGGCCAAACAGTCCAGAGCTAGACGCTGAGGCGGACCACGACGTGTTCCTTGGCAGCACGGGTGGGGGCGGGCTCGAGCGCCGCGACGGCGGGTGCGAGTGGTGGTGTATCGGCGTCATACCAAACGCCATGCGTACCGAATGTGCGAGGTGGTGTGGGCCGTGCAGGTTTCCACTTCCACTTCCATGTCCCGCTCCTACACCACCACCACCACCTGCTCCATGCCCTACACCACCCGAGGCATGGGAGGCACTGTGCGGGCTGCTCATCGAAGCAGAGTTGGGCGGCGACCCACGCGTCCAGTGCAAAGGCGACGGCGCGCGGGAGCTCGAGGCGCTCAGGGTCCCACTGCCGGTGGCGCTCCCACTTCCACCTACACCCATCCCACTATGTCCATGCCCCTGCCCCACCCCATGCTCGCGACCACCAATATACGGCGGCGCCATCAACCCCGACCCCGACCCCGGTAGGACCCCATGCCCCGAGCTCCCGGGGCTGCTCCCACTACTGCTCGGCCCGCTCGAGAGCTGCGGCGTCGGCAACTGGCTCGATATCCCGCCCGACGACGCTGTCGACGAGGGGTAGCTGTTGCTGGTATGGAACGCGGGGTGCGGCTGGAAGTACCCGTCGCTCCGCCTCTGATGGTGGGAAGGGTGTGTTATGGGCGTCTTGCCCGAGCCAGATCGCTGGTGGTGGTGGTGCAGGAACGCAGAGGCCGAGCCAGGCGGGCTGCCGTACGTGCTCCCCGCGCGCGAGTGCGGGAGCGTCAGCGCCTCGTCTGCGCCGAAGAAGAACCCGCCGTCCCGCTCACGCTCTCTTGGGTCAAAGCTCCGCGACGAGCTGGGCGGCGGGAGGAGGATAGGCGACGGTGCGCGGGACGGGTTGGCCGAGTGTATGTTGAGCGTGCGCAAAGGCCCGAGGAAGGGGCTCGTCGAGGGCGTGAACGCAAACTCTGACGTTGGGGCGGTAGTAGTCGTAGTGCGCACGGCGGAGTAGTGCGGCGGGCTCTGCTGTTCGGAAGGGTGGTGATGAGAGCCAATGTGGAACATGCGCGGGGGGGAATGTGATGGGTTGAGGGGCAGGGGCTCGCCGTCGGAGCTGATCGGTGAGGGGGACTCGTCGTGCGGACGGTTGGCTGAGGACCGCTCTCCTGTGTGCCGATGGTGATTGGGGTGATGATAAGGATGGGGCCAGATAGCGTGATGATTAGTGGTGGTACCGGAGCGCATGCTATCGACGAGGTGCCCTGAGGAACGAGATTGGACCAATGGGGCATCGTGCTGCTGCTGGGGCGGGGCCATCCATGCCGGCCCACTGAGACGCCTCTTTGATCCAACGCGATGGATATCTTCAGAGGAAGGGCGGGAGGAGGAGGATGCAGATAACGGTGGCCCCTGCCAATCGCGCTCACTGGAGACGCCGAAAAAGTTCCGCTCATCGGGTACGGCAGATGAGAGCTTGAGGGCATTCCTCATGATCGGGCTTGTTGTTGCGCTTTTGGAGAGACGATGGCGTGACTGTGAGTTTGGATGTGCATCGATGATTCCTTGCAGCTGCCGCGTTTGTGACTCTGCACGACGCAAGGCCTCTGCGTGTCTAGCTTCGAACTCTGCGCGGCGCAGGGCCTCTTGGCGCTCGAGGACGTATAATTCGTCCATGGCAATGGAGGATAGGGTTGTGAATGCGGAAGGATGTGATACGGGGTGGGCACGGCGAGGGAGGGGAGGGTCGTAGGAGCTGAGGGCGGTGGGGCGGGCATAAGATTCATCCTTAATGAAATGAATTAACGAGGATGCGTCAGGGACAAAGAGAGCTCACCTCGTCATCGCTATTGGCGCGACTGCGAGCCTTCTTCTTTACGCGGAGAGCGGCAGCGTCATCAGTGGGGCGGGAATGGTGGTATGTTGTGTCCTCGGAGATGGGAAAGTCGAGCTTTGGCTTTGCAGGCTTTTTGGGCTGCTGCTGTGGATGGGGGTGGTCGCTGTTGTGTATGCGGGAGTGGCGGGTGAGCTCGTCTGATCTTGAGAAGCGTTTCTCGCAGGAGGGGAAGGTGCAGACAAAGGGTTTCTCGCCGGTGTGGGTGCGGATGTGGCGGGTCTGCGATGGTGAGCTGGGCGCGGAGCGGTGCTGGCACACAGTACATACCTGGTGCTCGAGTCGGGAGAAGGCCCTGCCGCAGAGGACGTAGGGGCACTTGTACGGCCTGGGGACTGGCTTGTCGTCGGTGGAGGAGCCCATGTTGAGTGGCGGGCAGGACTGTGGTGGTGGAGTATAAGAGGGGGTGTGGGGATTGGCCCTGGCTAAAACTGGTGTGCGGGGAGGCCCCTCTCGGCCCGAGTTTTCCCACGTGCGCCTCCGTGCTCTCGGTCCGTCTCATGTGAATTCCGGAGGGAACCCATGCGCCCGTTCTCCCCTCCGCTATATTTATCCCCTCCGAGGCCCATCGCGCTCGCCGCACTATTTCTCCGCCCCACAACACCTCAGCAACGCGCACACTCCGCGCCAGCACCGCCAGATCTGGAGCATTCTCGGTGTATTTCAAGGCCTCTCCCTTCCCCCGCTGTTCTGATCGCCATTCCTCCCAAGATTCAGATCCACCAACAATCTCCGGCGAATCATTTCGCCCGTCGCCTGCCGCGGCCTGCCTTCTCCTCTTCTACGTACGTACACCCCCGGTTCCCCACATTCTGGCACCTCCCTCTCAACACACCCCAGCCTCGCCCACGCCCACGCCCACACGCAACATGCCGACTCCGGCGAAACTCTGACCCCTTCCCTGCTCTTCCATCCCCGCGTCTCCTTGCGTCCACCTCCTGCTTCCCCCAAGGCCCAACCCGCTTCTCGAACAGAGAACCCCCCCACCGTGCCCACCCCGTCCTCTCCAGAACACATCCAGTGATCTAGAATCCCCTCAAGCGGCCCCAGATCTCGCTCTTCAGCGACCCACCCCCGCCTCTCGTTGTCGTCTTCTTGAAGCGACACCTGGCACCGCAATTTCGCACACGACCCGTCGCTCGTCGTCATGATCTACAGACTATGCCCACAGTCGTACGAGAACAACTTAAATTGCATCCACCACGTCGCGTCACTGACATCATCCAACAACATCCCCAGCCCCAGAGCGGACTTACGCGCACGTACCTAGGCCCCAAGCCAGAAGCCTCAGCCTGCCCTGCCTTCCTTCCTGCGGCTGCCTAGTAAGCCCATCTCCGTTAGTCGACCAACCTATCTCCCATCTCCAATCTCGCATCTAGCCCAAGCAACTGTACTCTAACAGACACTAATAGAGACAGGGTTTAGCGAGCCCAGCCCACCCTATGCACCTTCCCCTTCCCCGCTTACCCCAAGCGAGCACTGCTCGCTCACACGTAGGTTAATCCCCTTCACTCGACTACTTATACGCATAAGTATATTTGGCAGGTCGGGGCCAGGCCGCGAGGCGCCGCTTTACCGCCTATGTATGCTTGGACTCGGAGTATAATCTACCCCATACGCTCATTGTGAGTACATCCATAGACCCAAGACAACGTCGTGGCCAGCCCGACTGACCACCCTTCCTCTGGTCGACGTCTCGAATGCATGTTTCCCCGCCTTCCAACGGGACGCGCCTGCTGTCTGAAGAAACCTCGGAGCGTGCGTGTTGCCCATTGTCCATTTACCCACCATCCTCTCAACACACCATGCAGAGTAGAGTGCATTACCCTACGTATGTGTGTCTTTCCCCGGGCCTTCTTCTAAATCCAGTTTACCACTTTCTTCCCTCCAGATATTATGAGTTTACCGCTCTCCTCGCTTCGCTTCAGCCTTCGCGGCTAACCCCGTGAGGGTTCTGCAGATTTGAGCTGTGCTGAGCTGCTCGGCGTCCGGTAAACTGCTATGCAACTGAACGGTACATTATGTACAATACGTGTTCGCTGGCTACTTTGGCTGGACGGGACGTGCACGTTCTCGGAGCGTCTGGCCATGGGCGGTCCACCATCGTCATCCGCCGGGCGTTGCTCGCCACACTCTGCACTGCACTCCGGAAGACGAGTATCAGTGATACAAGTTAACCCGGTACTGTGTACTCAGTTCTTTGTGGATCACAGGAGCCGCCGCAGTCCGGACAACGCATAAGTAGTGGGCGCAAGTACATACCCGCGAGGAAGTTGTAGCAAGCCCCACTCGGATGCGTGTTCGTTCTGAATTAATGTTGTGATCAGCGTTCAACGCTCTGCCTCAGCGCCTCAGTCACCGGTACCAGCCCAGAGTCCAGACATGACTACCATCTCGCATCAAGTGGGGTTTGCACTTGCACTGGCATGCATGTACATTCAATTCGGAGGCGTGTGCGGGGCCGGGGGGCGTGCCAGTACCAGTACCAGTGCCCGTGTAAATTTAGATGTGTAGATGTGTAAATGCGTAAAGGTGCAAATGTGTTAGTAACGCGCCCCACCCCACGTCGACAGTGTATTTTACCGGTAACGTGTATGACAGCGCGTCGACAAGACAAATCTTCAAATCTTCAAAGCCCCACGCTTCATGCTTCACACTTCACTTCAACCCCAGACTTGAATTTAGCTGGAAACTTGAAGCTTGAGGCTTGATCCCAAACCCCATCTCCTCCCCGTGCAAACGTCGACTGTCTATCTATCTATGTGGTGATGGCATCTCCCAAACGCCACAATGAAACTCAGGATAAAAAAAAAGGCCAGACGCCTGACGACGCTGGTGGCCCGAGCTCTACCCCAGCCCCGCGCCCGAGCCCACAGTCCCTGTCCGATGTTTGACAGTTCAAAAATAAGTAGAGTAAGCTATATAAATACTGTAACCGTCCAGCCCGCACCCTGAGGAACCCCGTGAACCCACACCCACCCACCCACTCCGGATCCGCGTCTGCCAGTAACATCTAGGGTGCGCGCGCATCTTGAAGCGCTCAAGACCGAGCCCAGCCCGCCAGTTGCAGTTGGCGCGTCCATCAACTGCAATGCATAGTTATGGCGTTCAAGAATCAAGTTGGCTGTTGGTCGCTGTTCGCTGTTCGCCGTTCAAATTCGAAACCGCACATCCGCACATCATGAATCATGATCGACACGCCAGTCATTCAAGTCTCAGGAAACTTGAAGGCTGAAGCTCTTGATATTGATGCTGGTGAACACCTGACACCCCCACACCCTCAGTTGCGTGAGTCGTTCTCCGCGTCCGAGTGCTTCTTCAGCTTCAATGGATATCACCGAGCCACCTACATACGTCTGCTACTCTATCTCGCGTCCTGTCGCGTGTGTGCGCACGGGTGCAATCTTATCTTATCTTGGCCCTTGAGCGAATTGAGTCGCGGCCCTGCGCGGCGTGCGCCACGTTTCCTTTCCTGGACGTTACTCCACGTTCACGTTTTCCTGTCCGCGAATCAATTAAGTATTCTTCCAGCGGGGTTCTCCGTGGATCGGGGGTTGTATTGAGACTGTGTAATAGAGTATATGTAGAGAGAAGGAGGGCGAAGACGTGGCGCGTCATGATTCATGACATGGTGTTCAGAGGACTAAGTAGGAAGAGCGTGTACATAGTATTGTACATGTAGTATGGGGTAGCACCCCCGTTTCTATTGGGGAGCCCGTCTTCAATGTCTCACCTCCCATTGGCTTGAAACGCCCCACCAATTGGACGGTTGAATGTACCGATTAGCGGTATAGACTTTCCTCGCGGCGCTCTTTCACCAAGATATCAGAAGCTCGACTAACTTGAACGTGAATGAAGTACATGCAGCTTGATTATGAGAGCGTGTCCACGTGAAACTTGATATCTTATCAATCGAGATGCTGGATCTTGGAGGATTCAGCACCTAGAGAATGAGTCCTGGCCCCTGGGATACACTGAAACCCTCTAATTAGTCCTTAGGCCATAGGCGTCTAATTATTGCATATACGTACGTAGACCCTATTAAAAGATGTCGAAAGACCTTCATATAAACTCAAGCCAATCGTTCAACGCGGCATAGTCTCGGTACGGAACCGTCTTCCTCTCTATGGCTGTGAACCAGATATAATTGCTCGTGAAGCTTCCTCTCTTCTCTCTTCTCAAGCTCTCAGTCTCATACCCACTCCAATCTCCAATTCAGTCAACCTCTTATCTGCTATGCCTTACCGAGGCAGTCAGCTAATCTACACAAGTTCATGTGATAATCAAATCCAAATGGATTCATCGTAAGGAGGCACGAGACGGAGTGATTCTGCCTCCTCCATGATTAAACCGAGGAATTAGGTGTGGTCAATGGCCATGTCAAACGTAGTACAGCGAGTACAAGTTCATGTGAATATTATCTGCTTCCCAGTAAATATTGAACGCGTCAACACTGGTTTTCGAGTTATTTTTTTCAATATAATGGGCGTGGGTGGAGCAAATCTCACTTGAAGCCGGACACTGTGAGTCCGTCTTTCGAATAGCGTAACTGCTGTGATCAGCGTACTCACTTTTCTAAATCTACTCAACACGAATACGCGTGAGAAATGACACGAAGGCATTCTATTGAAAACTCAAGAACTGGTATGTGTCATTGAAATCGACTTCCATGCCATCGTCCAGAACGTCACTTCCCAAGTTCCTTCCCACTAATACCAAGGGAGCTTCTGGCCATGTCGTTTAACCTTCACGTGGAGAAGCGATTCTTCATGCCCAACGGAGGCGAGAAAACGTAAGTGCGAACACTGATGCACATGAAGCGCTCTCAATTCTCCTAGGTAAGTCCGCTGAAGGAGAGTGGGAACCCGAACCCCGAGGTAAGCCTACGCGACTCCTCTGACATGTCCCAGTCATAGCCCTGAAACCACTCGGCAAGGTAACAGAGTCAGCAGTGCCGTTAATGGGATTCAGGAAATACCCTGCTCAAGACACCGTGGACGCGGCGGCAACAGTCCGCTGAAAAAGAAGCGCCCAATACGCACAGCCACCGGCCGAATCCAGTCCAATCTCTATCTTTAATCCTACCGTGCCCCATCCAACCCTCCCAGGATGAACCACCGGCGAAACTGACCTTCTACCTTCACCTTCTCAACCCCCCTGCGCTTCTCAAGAATATTTCTCTCCTATTTTAGCCAGCTCTCCTTATCTCTGGTTATTCCTGGTTCTCCGAGTGATTGCTCGGATACCGCCTCCTCTTCTGGGTGATTTCGAGGAAACGGAGGAACGAGGCTACGGAGAGTTGGGTGCTCGGGGAAACAGCCTTGCGCGATTGACTCCAAGGGCCCCTACCCCTGATCGTGGCACGTACTCGGGCGTTGAGCGTAACCGTCATGATGACCACAAACAGAGAGACCAAGACCCAAGACCCCCGTTAAACCCGCCGCTGCCAGCGAATGGCAGCGCGACGACTGGAGAGTAGAGACCGAGTGATAAGCCCTGCTTCCTGCAGAACGCTGGAATGTTCTTGGTGCGTTGCCAAATTTACTTGTTAGGTCGAACTCGCGCTCGCGTGGTCGAGAAACGGAAATGAAAAACGGGACGGGAGGAATGTCGGTAAAATCGCGCGTGTGTGCGCACGCGAATCCATGTTCGCCGGCGTCCGCGAGTTCAACTGGTCGAAGTAGCATGAAGTACCGACGAACGTAAGTACAACGACGAAGCAGGGTCCTCGCGTTCGGGTCGGGGCGGCATCTTGCCAACTTGCTGGTTTTAGGGTCTGCCAGTGTCCCAGGAGGGAATAGTGAATTGGAAATAGAAACGAGCTTAAAGAGGGGTCGCCGGTGATAGGATGTCGGGAGGAAGTCGTCGGGGGTTTGCGAGTTCGTGCAGAGGAAAAGGAAGTGAGCAAGAGAAGGGAGAGTCACAAGAAAGATGCGATTAGCAATAACCGGATGGGTAACGGACACACAGCAAATAAAAAATAAAATACAAGACTCGTCATCTCCTCCTGCTCCGCGTAGAGCTCTGGAATTTGGAGGTTTCTCTCCTGAGACGTCTGCGAGAACGGAAAAAAGACAGAATCATTAAAAAACAGTAAGAACGTTTCAAAGAGCAACAGAACGCACCTCGTAGCTCTTTCTCTCTCAATTTCCCTCCTCTCCACCTCCTCCGGCGTCAGCTCCTCAAACGCCGTCCTGAACTCCTCCGCCTCTGCCCAATCCCTCCACACACTCCTTAGCGTCTTCGGGCCTCTTCCATCCCTCGGTGCTCGACCCAAACCCAGGCCCAGACCCGTCTTATCTTTCACCAGCCCATACCCACTTCTATCCCTTGGCTTGTCGGGGTCGTCCGCTGCGTCGCCACCGGTGCCGGCGCCAATGAGCCCCCACTCGATGACGTCGCGCTTGTGCTTCATGAGCTCCTCGTGCACGGCGTGGGCGACGAGCGGGACGGCCTCGCCAGTCAGCCCGAGCTCGGCGCAGAGGGTAGCGGAGAAGGCTTCGGGGGTGAGAGGCGACATGAGATCCCATTCGATGTGGTCCATAAGATGGTGGTTCGCGATCTGGACGTCTATCTGGAGGGGGGGTTGCGTTGGGTCTTTGGATTTTAGAGAGGGAGAAAAGGAAGAAAGACTTACACTGAGGATAACGCGACACTCGGGCACCTCTTCTCCTGCTGGAGGCGCCGATTCAAGGTCCAGTGCTCCATCTAACCCCAAGTCCGCCGCGGCGACTCCCTCGTAATCCTCCAACTGTGCACGAATTTGCGCTGCTATAGTGGGGATCCAAGTGTCCGCTGGAATGTCAAGGTCATTGCAGAAGATCTTCGCGAAAGTTTCTGGCTTGATGAGCGCCTCGTTGATGTTCCACACGAAGCAGTCTCGTATTCGATGTGTCTCCGTCTCGAATTCGACCCGAACCGGCACGAGAGAGGGCCGCTGCTGTGCTTGATTCACCATCTGATCCATCGACCTGCGTCATGATTAGACTTCATGCACGCAGAAACGTCGCATAGGAAGACTCACGAATATTCATGCGGTGTCGGGGGCATATACCTTGCCTTAATGAACCTGGCAGGCGGCACCATCCCAAGGTAGCTCTGCTCCAGCTCCGCCTTCTCCGGTGGTCGTGGGGTAGCAGTCGCCCCCCGCGATGTGGACACACCCGTCGTTGCATTGAAAACATTCATGCCCGTGCCAATGCGCGACCGCGACTGACGAATCGACGTCCGTGTGCCCCCACTCGCCACAAAATCCGAATCATCTGAATCGAGCGCACCCGCGTCGGGGAACTCGTCGCCTGAGCCAGGGTCTGCGTAGTTGATCTGCCCACCGCGCCGCGTTCCTGTCCGGACGCTCGCCAATGAAGCCGCCGCGAGGATGGGTTGGACGAGGAGCGACACCCCCGTCTTGAGTCGGGATGAATAGGTCGATGTGAAGGCTTGCGGGGTTGTGGGAAGGGGAGGACGTGGGGGGTTGGGAGGGACGTTAGGAAGGGTTGGGATGAGTGGGATCAATGGTGGCTGGTACACGGGCTGTGGAACATATGTTGTGGGCATGCTCGCGAGGGTGCTGGGGCGTGTAGTTCGCGATCTGCTCGCCCTCATGGGTTGTGTTGGATTTTTTGGGGGTGGTGTCGTCGATGTGGACCAGTTTTGGAGGTTTTTCATGTACGCTAGAACGATTACGGAGCCTCTCAGAGAATCAGAAACAATGATCAACGCAAAGGACTCACTCTTCGCGCGTGGTGCCAGAGGGGTGGGGGAGGCATAAGCAGCATTTGCGGCACTTGACAATTGTGTCACTGTTTGGAGAAACTGGGAATCTGACATATTGCGATTTATGTCAAAAGCGGTCGTATTGGCAAACTGGGTTGGTTGTGGGTAGGATGACCCAGAGGCTGCTGCATTATCCGTCATTCCTGAGATCTTGATTTACCACCACAAGGGCTTTTAAACTCCTGCGAGTAGATATAATCCCTTTTTGAGGAGGAAGAAGAAGGAGGAAAGGCAAACGGGAGGAATACAGTGGTGCAGTGCAACCCAAAAAGAGAACCTCCGTAAGAAACGCGTCCAGTCACAAGATGTTACCCGTCACGCGTGACATCTGGAATGCGTTTGCTGCCGAGCGACCATGTCCTTGACACGCAGACGCATGGTCGTCTGAACTACCCCACGCTCTTCACCACTTCTTCATTGCATGGCAAGCCCATGCTCGGTCGCCACCTCTTCGCGAAACGTTGCATCTCTCCTCGACCCCGACAATTCACATACGTCCGATTTCGCTCGTCTCCCGCAAATCAACATAACCAGGCAATCGTAGACCTTCTGGAGAAATGTCCGTATTAGCCCTGTTCTGTAAAAAGTCTAAGCTTATCATTTGTAGCAGGCAAAGAGGAAGAAGAGCAGGCGTTAGAGCCGAACAACTTCAAGATACTCGCCTTCCGGAATGCCATACAGACTGTCCGAGCAGTCGAAAAACCGATTCAGATAGGCCATGACATTCTCGAAGTGTGTTCTCTTTTATCTCCTTGACCTCACGCTTGTACTAATTCGATCAGCTCAAAGGGATAGGCCCTGGCATTATGTCCAGGATCAACGAGTACCTCTATGCAAATGAAGCATTCGACGGACAAGTAGGTGAGTGTTGCCCAAACTCACATTCTGCCTTTATTGACCGCAAGGCTAGATTCAAGCGTACATGAAGAGATTGCCAAAACGAGGGCACTCACCATGCTGCGTGACGTTCCGGGAATTGGGTGTGTGCTGCCGTTGTCTACCTGATACACTGTGCTCAAACATTACAGGCTCACAACAGCCAAAAAGCTCATTGCCGCAGGATGCTACTCGATAGCGGACTTGAAGGAGCGCGACTTTTCCTCGGTCCTTACACCGAGGCAAGCTGCTAAGGTGAAATATATGGGACATCTAGAACATCCTATAGAGAGAAAAGACGCGGAAGACGTTTTGGTATGTCAATTCTTTTGGTCCAAGCGCTCTATTTCTTATTTTTGTAGTCTTTTATTCGCGAGAGTTTAGACCCTGCATATGACGCTGTCCTTGTGGGAGACTAGTGAGCCCTTCACAATTCAGGAATTTTCTATCTATACTGAACTTATTATTACTAGTCGTAGAGGAGCTTCCTCGTTCCCAGATATCCAAATTATGATATCCCATCCAGACTTTGTCCATATACCTCTCCCCACCGACCCTTCTCCCTTCAGTGAACTCCAGCCCCCGGAGACCAAACGACCTCGAAGACGAACGAAGAAGGAGGAAAGGCAAAATATGTTGCATGCACACGTTGTACCACTGCTGCAGAAACGTGCACTCATTGCAGAAACGTTGGGAACTGACGTTAGGTCATGGGACGGTATTGTTTGGCTGCCGGAGGAGCAAGGCGGCTGGGGCACACGTCAACAACGATTAGCTGCCATCGAGGGTGTAGATGGGAGGTTTAGACGAATGTCTATAAAGTGGGTAACGCCAGCTATTTTTTTCCGAAGCAATCTAAACGGCGTCCTTCATTAGGTTCGTTCCTCAGAAATCTCAAGGTTCATCCCTCCTCGTCCTGACAGGTGACTCGGCGTTCGAGAAAGACCTCTGCTACCGAGCCAAGCAGTTGGGGATGCTCTTTAATGAGTACGGCTTATGGAAGTGGAACTCTAGCGACCTAGGTGATGCTTCCGAGTCCAACGGTTCCAACAATTACAATTTTGGCGCTGAGACGGAGGACGCGTTGGACAAGGGGTATTGGTCGCTGTCCAAGTCAGCGACGGAGGAGGATATATTCGCGGAGCTGGGCATGGATCCTGTCGACCCTACATCGCGGAATTTCTCGTTTTTGTCATCGAAGTTGAGGAAAAAGCGGACTATACACCGTTAGGATTTTCACCGTTGTCGGCTATGTTCTTTGCCTTATTTTTATTGTAACTGTACCTACCTATTAGTATAATTCCAGACCATTAAAAGACAGGATAGAAGCGAACGAAGCGCATCCTCTCCAGGTATTTTATACAAGAACGACAGACAAAAAGGTCAAGCTGAGAAACTGGGTACTAATCTGGTTTCGAAGGCATTTGTCCCCACTCCCTTTGAGCCTCGTACTCACCATTCTCGCAATTCATTGTCGGTCCAAAAATAATACCCGAAATCATGGAGATAGGTCTCCTGAAGTACGAAGTGCAATCCATCCCAACGGATAGCATCTACCTGCGCAGAGAGATCCGGGAGGTCCAGTACACTCAATCCTCGTCCATGGAGTCGAACGGCACCCAAGTCAGCAACCGCGGGGGTTTTGACAGCGTTGTCTTCATCCCTACTGGCATTGCCTGGAAAATGTGAGAGGGGTCTGCGTGAAAAAATCATGGCAGTCAGGTGTGCGTTGAAGTTTGCTGGACTGTTGATAATAGCAAGGGCTTCATCTGCATTGTCTTCATCGCACAGTTTCACGTCGAAGTGTAGGCTGAACGAGTGTAGGAGAGGGGCAAGAGGCTTGTCGAGGATGGTATTGTCTCTGGGTCGACGGTCGGGGTTGTCATCATGTGTCAGACGCTGAAGGAGGGTAGTGAATCCTAGCACGACCACGTCGAGTTCGAGTACCTCAAGAAGAGGTGTATGTTGCAGCACTTCACACAACATAGTTCCTGTTAGGTTGATCATAGGACCTTCCAACGAGAGCATTCGCAATTGGTGGATTTGGTCATAGAAATGAGAAGTTTCCTGTGTCCAATGGAAGCTTGAAGCATCGTGACTCTCTTCATCGTCTTTAATGATGAGGCACGAAAGGGCCGGTAGTATGACCTGGTCAAAGATGGATAAATTGGCTGGTGGATCCTGGCAGACGCGTAAAATGAGCTTGGAAAGCTTGGGAGCTACAACACGGCCAGTGTGGGAGCGGTGTGGAACCTCTGCATCTGGGTCAATGAGTATTGACAATACTTCCAGGTCGGGGCAGCGGTGAATCGCAGTGGCAAGGGTTATTGGCGCAATTGGGTCGACAAGGATGAGCAAATGGGTCAATTGAGCCCAAGGGAGTATAATTGCTTCGGGGTCGTCTGGTAGGAAATCGGGGTTGAGGAAATTCAAACAGACGCGACGGAGCTTCGGGGTCATCGCGAAAACAGTTATCTGAGGAGTTGGGTTTCCGAGATGGAGTTGTAGGGTTCGGAGGTTTGGGAGGTGTTGATTTGGTATCTCGAAGAAGGAAGTGCGTTTGTAAACGTCATGGACGTTCATGTTCAGTGACTGAATGGCCTCTGGGTAATCTAGAAGGGTCACCTGAAGCAAATCCTTCCAAAAATCTTCTCGGTTGATCCCCGAATTGTTGTTCCAGCTGCTCGTCATTTCAACCAGCGAAACATCCATCACGGGTCGATAATTGCTGAACTTATACCAGGCTCGAATCTTTCGCAGGAGTTTCGGGCTCATTACTTTGTCGGATACAGAGAGTCGGGACCAAAGGAAGGGACATTCGAGAGCAATCGCTCGCCATGACGAGCATACGCGTGTGAGGACGAGGGGGGCATCGGAGTCGCGGAGCCCAGGCCGAGGGGAACCGAATTGGTCAAATCGGTCTGGAAGGCACTCGTTAAATATCTGGGCAATAATTTCTGGCGGTAGGCGTTGTATGAATGACATCGAAGAGGAGGAATACGCAACTGTGACAAAGGCAAACTGTAGGGCTTGTTTGGCTACTTACCGCGCGTACAAAACACATCATGTGCTGCTCGACTTCAATATCTCAATGTTCAACACATTCTCCCTTCCCCACCCCATCACCCCCACCCTCTAATGGCCTGCCTACTAGCCAAACCAACCGAATACAACATCGAAGACTCTAACATCGCCCTCCTCGGCTCCGATGTTCGTAAGAATCGCCTGCCCTCCCAACCCGTTTCATTGAACCAGAGCATATCCTAGCTCGAGAAGCACGTCCGCGAGGAGGCCGGCGAAGCCGAGGCTGCATGGGACGGCGCCGGTCAGACAGAAGGCCTGGAGATATGGCGCATCGAGAAGTTCCACGTCGTCCCCTGGCCGGAGGAGCGCAAGGGGTTGTTCTACGATGGGGACTCTTATATCGTCCTTCATGTGCGTTATCTTGACACTTTATCCATAAAGATGGCGCATTGAAGCTGGTTTATGGGTTGTCACCGTGTGTTCAGACCTACAAGAAGTCTCCTGAAGCAAAGTCCTTTTCGTACGACCTCCATTTTTGGCTCGGGCAGCATACGACGCAGGACGAAGCGGGCACGGCAGCGTATAAAACGGTCGAGCTGGACGACTGTACGTGAACTCTCCCCCTGACCATATCTCTTCCATCCATCATATCTTTCATCTTACACCATGCCTCAGTTCTTCAAGGAAAGCCAGTCCAATTCCGCGAAATCCAGGGGTACGAATCCCCGCGGTTCCTCTCGTACTTCCCGCGGTTTATCTGCGCACAAGGAGGCGTCGCTACAGGCTTCCATCATGTATCAGACCCACCACCTCTAGATATTAAGAAGCTCTACAGAGTCAACCTCTCGCGAGCTGGCGGGCGTTCCAGCCTGGTTGTAAGGGAGGTATCTCCAACTGCGGATAGTTTGGTTGAGGGCGACGTTTATGTCCTGGATAAGGGAACGGAGATATGGCAATTTAACAGCAAGGGGAGCGCAGGGCAAGAGAGGTACAAAGCTGCTGAGTTTGTTCAGGGGTTGGTTAATGAGAGGAAGAGCCAGTGTGAGGTGGTAGTATATGGTGTGTCGCGGTTGCTTCAGCTTTTCCAAGTTTGCTAAGCGCCTTACCTTCTTCCTATGAACAGATGAAGGTGCATCAGGAGCATCACGATTCCTCGGCGAATTCGGCGACAACGTCTCTCTGCGCAAGGCAGACACCGCGCCTCTCGACCTAGGCGAAATCCACCCTTCCCTCTTCCGCATCTCAGACGTCACAGGCACTGTCATCTTCGAATCAGTCGCTCTGGTCAGTAGGGCATCACTCTCCTCAGACGACGCCTTCCTGCTCGATCACTCTGCAGGCGCGTCGCAGCCAGCCATCTTCGTCTGGATTGGCAAGCGTGCATCCTTGAACGAGAAGAGGCTGGCGCTTCAGTATGCGCAAAGGTATTTGTACGATAAGAAGATTAGGACGGAGCCGAATCGCGTGAGGGTTGCGATTCCTGTTGTAAAGATGGTGGAAGGAGAGGAGACGTCGGAATTTTTGGAAGCCATTTAAGCTCGAGGAGACTAGTGGTTGGAACGAGTAAGGACTCGAATTCAAGTTATGTTCGCTGTATTTCTAGAAGGCTGTAAATTCCGTAAATCGGAGGCATGTAACTTATTTGGTGCCCATTCATTCGCTTTTGTACGGTGTCTAGATGCTAAGTAGCATCGTGGTTGTCACAGGACAGGACAAGATAAGCGCCGGCGCAGTGTGGCGCATGTATGTATTTGGATATCCTAGACTGGAGGAACACCCCACAAGTTACGCCACTGCAAATTCGGTTTCAATGGATATTGACCTGTCTTGCATCCCGATAATAACTGCTTGATGATGTCGCGCTTCAAGTTCGTGTTTGCGACCGTGTTGTTTCGGTGACAAGCGTTACAAAGATCCCCTGAGGTGTGACAAGTCGCGTTTACCCTCCTTCCTCAGCACCAAAACCACAGCATGGGCTCCATCGTCGACCAACACGAAGAATACCAGTATCTCAACCTGATCCGACGCGTGATCGACACGGGAGAGACGCGTCCAGACCGCACAGGCACGGGCACCATCGCCATCTTCGCCCCACCAAACCTGCGCTTCTCTCTCGCTAACTCCACCCTCCCGCTCCTCACGACGAAACGGACCTTCCTGCGCGGAATCGTGGAGGAGCTTCTGTGGTTCATCCACGGATGCACTGATTCCACGGTCCTCAGCAGCAAGGGTGTCAAGATCTGGGATGGGAATGGCTCGAAGGCATTCTTGGAGGGCCGTGGGTTGGGCCATCGACGTGAGGGCGACCTGGGACCTGTGTACGGCTTCCAGTGGAGGCATTTCGGTGCTGAATACAAGGATTGTGAGGCGGGTTACACGGGCCAAGGCGTCGATCAGCTGCGGGAGTGCATCCAGAAGATCAAGGAGAACCCGACGGATCGACGTATCATCCTCAGTGCTTGGAACCCGAGAGGTGAGTGGCGCAATACCATCCGTCTTACGCATGCAGCTGACGCGTCTCACTAGACATCCCACTCATGGCCCTCCCACCATGCCATATGATGTGCCAATTCTACGTGCACCTTCCACCTGCATCGAACCCAACCGCGAAGCCGAAACTTTCATGTCTAATGTTCCAACGCTCCGCGGATCTAGGCCTCGGGATCCCTTTCAACATCGCGTCGTATGCGCTCCTTACCCATATGATGGCGCACGTAACTGGCACAGAAGCCCACGAACTAATTATCCAGCTTGGGGACGCGCATGTCTACCGTGATCACGTCGACGCATTGGAGGAGCAGCTCAAGCGCGAGCCGAAGCCGTTCCCGAAGATCAGATGGGCGAGGGATGACATCAAGGACATCGAAGATTTCGTGTACAGTGATTTTGTGGTTGAGGGGTACAGCTGCCATCCCAGCATCGCGATGAAGATGAGCGTTTGATTTCGTAGTTTTATTCTAATTCGTCTAAACGGACTTTGCTTTCGTATGTATACCTGTATGTAGTCTCCGAATGCTGACTGTTGTAAGCTGTGATCTTTGGCTGATTGCTGTATGGATAGACTGAAAATATTTCATTTTGATTGCGAAACCCCAATCCCCGAATCACAATGTCTCCGGAAGCTAGGGAAGAAATAAATAGAGATAAAATACAACCCAAAATTCTATCAGAAGATGGCCCTTCCGACTCTAGTGGTATGTCAATAGCGAGGAGATAAGTCAATAGGTCGGGCGCTCGAGAGAATGTCAAACAAGCACCCCGTCTAGTACCAAATACTCCTCGTCCGATGAATAGACACCAACTCAGCCGTCTCTATACCCTCTATCCTTTCTTCTCCGCTCTCTACCTTCTTCGCAAGGTCCCAGAGATAAAAATCAATCAAGACACTGCTCACCACGCCAGCATTCGACACCTTGTCGCTGTTCTCCCCACCTTCCTCTTCCTTGATCAGCCTCAAAATCTCCTCACGTACCCGCTCGACGGCGATGACGCTCGCGGCACGTAGACTCACCTCTTCCTTCGAGCCAGAAGGGAGGGGAGTGTGGGCGTGCAGTTTCCGAAGGAGCGATGGTGGGTACGCGAGGATGCAGAGGTGGTACAAAATCTGCGGGACGCGATAGTCGGCGAACATCGTCAGGCGGCGGATTTCTGGCCCGTTGGGACCTGGGAAGAGAGGGTGTGGGTCCTCGGCAGAGAAAGGGAAGAATGCCGCCCAGGTTTCTGCTACGAGGATTTGGGCGCGCTTCCAGAGGCACACTAGACATTTCTTAGATCAAAGGGACCATATTGGACGAACTACGCGAATCGTACCTTTGGTCCCTTCGTAGTAAACTTCGTCTCTGAACGAAGGGAATGTGTCCGTGACCATTCTAACGAGATCAAGAGATGTTCCTTGGCCGTCGTATCGTCGCTGAAACTCGTCCAGGAAGCCTTTGAATGAGCCTCCGAAGCTCTACACCAGAAGGGTCATAAAACGGAATTTTAAATGTGCTGCGCCAACTAACGTTGCATAGGATGAAGCCGACTTCACGCATGACGCCCACGCGTTCCTTCAGCAGCGGTATTGACTCCGTCGATTGCTTTGCCTCTCTGAAGACATGCTCAATCAAGCTGTCCGGACATAACGTCTCAGACGAGTAGAATCGAGGATCCGTAATCGGGATGTCCTCTTCCAAAGCTGAACGAGCCGATCTTCATGAGTAATCTTAGTGCACACGAGCACAAAACGCGCACCTCTATCCAACGCAGCGACCAACGACCAATACCCTGTATGCACCTTCCTCTCTTTTGAATCCCAACCCGCGAGCCATTCGACACCATACCGATCCGGTCGCCCCTCCTTCTCGGACCAAAAGCTGAAATTAAGCGAGGAAATCAGGAATATCCAGTCCAGCACCGATTTGGTCAGGGGGTCGTCAGGGTCGTACGGTTCAGGAGGACAAATGTGTAAAGGGTGCGTGCGCCACGTCCGTGGCGTGTACGACTCCACGAGTAGCTTCTGACGGATCTGGAAAGGATGGAAGGAGGGCGCTCGTAAGATAAGACGTTTATGGGAGCGAGGAAAGGGGACTGACGTGTCTAGCTGCGTGCTTCACACCTTCGTCGTTGATCTGCACGAGATCCGTTGCCTAGAGTGGGAGTAGAAAGGACGAAAGGAGATGGAGAAAGTGAAGAGGCGTTCGTATCAGCCGGTGCCGCAAGCACATTGAGAGCATGTGCCTGAGGATACCTTAAACGCGTACTCCGAGGTCTCGATGACAGGATTGTGATGTCTTATGTCGTCCTGTTCTATCCAGAGGTCTTGGGGTTTCTCAGAGAGCGGTAGGGTCTCTACAACTTCGGGTTCGTGGAGAGGTGGTGCCATGGGTGCAATACAGAGAATTTGACGCCCGTGCGTATGAGAGGAGATGACAAGAGGACGGAGGTATGTTGCGAACAGACACATCTCAAGAGAAAAAAATTGATCCGGCGGTAATATTGAATCTTATCTTATCTCGGAAAGTATGACAGATTAGATTAAGAGAAGTATAGTAAATGGAAGGACGGTAAAGGTAGTTATTCTACGACATGGCAGGCATCATTTTCAGTGAAGCAAATCGAGAATTTCAGCAGAGACAAAGAAACTTACCGAGGACGCCAAAAATCAGTTCTTCTCTCGGTCCTGGGCATGCGTGGTTTGCCCTGCAAGGATTCGCTCGCCGTGATCTTTCAACTCAGGCTTTCCAAGGAGCTGGCAGGAAGAGTAAGAGTAAGTATCGGTGTAAACCACATTATTGGGGACTACACTCACGGTCCCTCTTGTTTTCTGTTTTCAGGAGTGTAGTGGATACTTCAGCTATCATGCTGGGCGCTTCAATTTGGTACGAACCTGGGCATAACCTTCGAGGAACCCTCATCAGCCATCCGGGTGGTCAAATGTAGAAGCGATGAACATACCGACAACCTGCTCTTTGAAAGGTACCTTTCCTGTCGTTTGAGAAGGTTGAGTCGAGGCTGACATCTCGGTGGGATATATTTCTCCTCCAGCATGAACCGTGGCTCCATCTCCGGGCTGGGTAGAGCCTAAAAGTTCCATCATCAGAAGCTTGCTACTTGCTAGACGATAAAGGGTTTAATTCCATACCTTGCTGTGGAAGTGTATCAACTTTGGTTGGGGCGACCTCATGAGAAGGAGGCATGGCGGCAAAACCACCGGGCTGCACGGTCGGGTCAGTGCCAGCAACATCATGAACGCCGTGGTCAGCGCGCAAGGAGTGTAAAGCAGCTTGTTTGGGTGAGGGGCTCATCGTAAAATTGGATACTGGTGGTAGTGGATAGTATTGCAACTCGTACTGGATTTACCAGCTTTTTAAAGCCCCTAATTGCTACCCCAGACGGTGATGTCATGTCGCCTTACGTCATAACCTGGAGTCCCAAGAGCCTAGAGCCTCCCACAAAAAAGAAGAAATAAACGCTTATCAAAGTACAAAGGGCGTGTAAAAATACAACGATAATAAATAAGGTCATCAGAGGTCATCATAGGATACAATGGCGTCAGCCCGACCCCGACGCAGCGCAGCGCTCAGTACTGATCCCCAGAAAGTCGATGCGGACTTGGTGGCGTTGGGGAGCCATCCGCCAACATAGACTCGCGGCGCGCACCCATCCCAGCACCATTCGGCGTCCACGGCTCCGTGGCCAAGCGTACCGGAATCACCTCGCGCACCTCCCCGAACGGGCTCTTCGATGGATCTAGAGGATTAACTGTGAATAGTATACAGTCCTGTCCATATCAAGAGCACAGATGAATCAGCATGTGGACCGTGTCATAAAAATGGGCCACGGGCACCTTGACGGATAGACCTGCTGCCTTGAACCCCGGTACCTTCACGGTCTCGTCGATAACGATTTCTCCGGTATATGCGATCCAAGTAGGTCCATCTCCCTGATATGATGCAAAGGCTCCAAGTCAGCGCCGATGGCGAAACGCCCTCATCAAGAACTCGACTAACCGCATGCTTAAAGGTCCCTTCTCCAATACAGTCCACCCTCCACATGTCCGTCTTCACTCCAGCTATAACGGTATTCCTATGAAGGTGCCGCATGGTGGAATCAGCTAACGGTGCAGTGAAGCCTGTCAATCACTTACCTGACATCAACTGTCGTTTGCCTCATTAACTGCACTCGAGTCACTTTTCGCGGTGACAAGGTTTTAGCGGTTGGGCTCATCGGTAGATACGCAGCGAGAGAGACGGCAGATGAATGTAGTGTAAGATGGAATGGGACGGGTTGTGACATGCAGAATGTCCGAGAAGCAGGGACATAGAGCCTTGCCGTGATATCAGGGCGCACAGCCGACTTTGAACGAAGAACAGTCTCGACAGCCTTCCAATCGGGTGTTACCTGGAATCCGGAATGCAGATGCTGTAAAGGAAGAGGCAGAGGCGACGCGGGCCGATTACGAGGGTAGTAAATTAACGGAGTCGATACAACGCTTAAAGTGAAAGGTGTGAGACGAGATGTGCACTGAAGTTGGACTTGGGAACCTACGTCGAACCAATGTGAATTCCAAGTTTTTTGGATTTAACGTTGGGAATATGGGCGGAGTTAGGCTTCGCTACGACAGCAGTAACAGAATACTGTCGAGAAGAATGTCAGGAAGCAAGAAATTTGAGGGTGTAAAAATATTTACGTCGATAGTTGCAACAAATCCAGGTAGTCCCGACAGCTTGACATCGAACGTCGGAGGTAGGGGCTGCACCGCATGGTTAGCATAATGCTTCTCGCCGAAGAAAAGAGACTACGAACAAACGTCTTGTCTTCGTAACTGAAGGTACTAGGGAAACCGAGGGAGAAATGTAGCGATGAAGGACACACTGTATTAACAGGGTCCTTACACCATAGCAACACGGTGTTAAGACATAGTCTGGCCGTTGAAGTACCGCCCTCCGCGATTTCTTTCAGGAGCAGACGGCCTTCGATCTAAAAAATGGCTGTTTCAGCGTGGAGGAACGGACATCCGCAGCGAAAACACTTACCTTGACCTCCACACTTGTTATACCTTCTAGTTTTGAGAGGTCGACATAACCTTCTACCTGACTTCCGGCGCCGTATATTGGTAGTGGTGCATTATCTTCTTGCGCGTTGAGACGGAGGCGCACTCCGCCTCCTTTCGACTCTTTAATGAAAGTGCCTGAAGGTCGGGGCCGGAGTCTATCTGCGAGAGCGATCCGCTGCTCGTGGTTGTGTGGTTCCGCTGAATACGAGGGGATACGGTTGACCGAGGGTGCGACGTAGGAGGGCAGAGAGGCGGTGGACATGGCAGGAGAAGGAGAAGAGACGCCTTAGCAAGCGGCTGGTTTAAGTATAGGACCTCCGTGTGTGCACAGGTGTGGACTCATAGCGAGTTGCGTGGAGAAGCCCGATATAAAGCCCATCCCCATGGCCATGACCTGTGCGGTTAGAGATATCTAGACCGATGTAAATAGGAAGCATTACATGTTGCATGCGTGACCACGGCCAGATGAGAGCGAGGTACAGTTGACCATATGCGACACGGAACGATAAGTACGTCCACAGCCAGTCCCGGAATTACCAACTGTCAACCGGCCTCGGCATGTCATCGAGGAACGCCCATTACTTCATACCACTTCGCAGGGCCCTGGGCGTTTCCGGTATCCTTTTCTCGAGCCCTCGGGCGCGAAACGCATACACAGGGTTTACCAGGTGGTGCGCTCAGAAGACCAGAGTGCTGAGAAAGCAGAGAGATACGGGTCCGCAAACATATGCTCCAGCGCAGCTTTCCGTCGGCCGAAGGACCAGCGGACTACAAGCTATGCGCGTGGTGCACTCCAAATCCATCTTGGTGCGGGGGTGGATGGCCATTTCAACAGGCTCCTGCTTCTCACGCTCGTGGCCTTCCATCTTTCTAATTCAGGCCTCCCGATTTGGCCCCACTACCGCTACCCGTTCAGCGAGTTTCATAGCACGCTTCCTCGAGCGTAAAATTGGGCAACGTGTGCGGGCGTAGCTTTCGTAGCGCGGTCGTCTTGCCTTCACACCATATGGAAGAGGCTCAAGAACTTGGCGAGGATGTGATTCATGCCTATTGCACATGGTCCAGACGCCCATACCGTTCAACCGACGCGCACCCGAGGAGTTCCAACGCGAAGAGGTGATCAACGGTGATAGCACAGTTGGTTGGCGAGGATTCTCCGAGATGCCACCCACATTGGTGACGGCGTTAACAAACGCGGTGGGCTTGCGAGCTTGTGGCGTCGCGGCCAAATCGGTACACCAAGCCGATGACGGTGAATACTCTAGAGTCAAGATGAAATTGAAATTATAGATTGAGTCATGCTTGCGAGTCCAAAGCATTTATACAAAAACAGAAAAGAAGGTACGACGTTGAGTGAGGATAGTAAGGAATACAATATGCGTGAAGATGCACAGCAAAGGAAAAATGGCTCAACTACGAGCGGCTAACTCGCTGCAGGGGCAGGTTTGAGGCGCTTCGCTAACGAATCATCAGACGACGTTGACCCAGCTTCCTCACGAGGTCTCTTGCTCGCCGCACCCATGATAGAAACTCCCCCACTCGTCGCAGCAGGCGCAGCCGGGGCCGTCTGCTTCACAGGTGCCTGACGTAGAGGGGCATTTCCTCGCCCAGCACCCCCAGGCATAGGCCGCGTAGGAGGTACCCGGGCACCCCCTCTGCCGAGGGGCACACCACCTGGTGTGGGTGCTCCAGGCCTTCTTGGGAGACCGCCAGCGCCGCCGGCAGGGGCGGGCTGTGTGGTCGCTGCAGCCGCATTGGCTGCAGCCACCACAGGAACATGCTTGAGCTGAGACGGACCTGCAGCGGGTTGACCTCCTTGTGCTGTAGGGCCAGTAATAGCAGGAGGCTTTGCGGCCCCCGGTGCTGCTGACGTCGAAGGTGCTGCACCACCCGCGGTCGGCATGAGCGGTGTCTGCGGTACCAGACCACTGGACTGCCACTCCTTGATCTGAAGCTCCAGATCCTTGACCCGCTTTTGCGCCTTGACAAGCTGCGAATCCTTCAGCTTCGTTTTCGCCGACTGTTCCATGCGTCCGCGTTCCACAGCCGAAGCAATTTCTTCAGCCTGGCGAGCTTTAAGTTCCGCAACGGCAGCATCGATAGCGGCTTGCTGGTTGGCAGGTGCAGGTGCTGGGGTTGGTTGAGGACGCGACTTGAAAGCCTCCTCCTTTGCAGAGTCCACGGCAGCCTTCAATTCAGTTGAGTGTTGAGCCTTCAGTTTCTCTTCCAGCGCACGGAGTTCTTCCGCATGCTTCTTCAGAAGCTGTTCATGAGCCGCGGGGTCAGCTGCAGCATTCGCGTTGGTGGTCATGTCGGCCTTGGTCTTTTCGACCGCCTCCGTGATGGCAGCAGCCTGCTTCTCAGCATCGGCGGCCTTCGTTCTCATCAAATCCTGGATCCGAGACTGGAACTTGTCCTGCAGAAATTGTCAGAGAATGAATCGAAGCCAATCGGAACATAATAGACGCACGTTTTGGAACTTGATGTTTCTGAAGTTTGCGAGATATTTCTGAGCTTCACCAGTCGCCGTCTGGAGGTACTATGAGCCGAAAGATTCTCTATCAATGTGTCCACAAACTCATACCTTGAGTTTCTCGAGAGCCTCATCCCTGGCCTTGATGAGTTGTACCTTTTCGGCCTCCCATTCGGCCGGAGGAGCACCGCCAGTCGATTCTGTGGCAGCTGCAGGTGCTTTGCTCCAAGTCTCCTTCTCCGCAAGAAGTTTGTCGCGTTCCTCCTGCAAGCTTGCCTAGATAACATATCAACATCACCTTCGTTTTTAATCAAACAACCACGTACAATCAAAGTGTTCTGCTTCTGCATCTCAGCAGTCTGAGCCGCGTTTTCTGTGGGTGCATCAGGTTTGGAAGCAGCAGCAGCCTGCAGGGCGGTGATTTCTTGCTCGAGAGAAGCAACCTTGGCTTCCAGGGTCTGCTTCTGCTCCGTCAAGGTCGATTTCTGCGTGTTGAGCTCTCCCAGTTTCGCTCGGAAACTCTGGGTGTTCTTATTCGCACTTTCTCGGTACGCGCGCAGGTTCTGCTCGACGGCTTCCAGCTGTTGGATAGAGATTAATACAAAACGAAAGGCGAAAGATATTTTCGACACGAACCCTCTTTGCTTGAGCGGCAGCCTCGCCTTCTTTTGTTGCAAGCTGTCCTTGGGCGGTGGATGCTTCGGTCTTCAGCTTCTCAATTTCGTCCTTGAGAGCCTGGACTTCCGATGGATCGATGCGGTCATACTTATTATAAGGAAAACTCAGTCAGATTCATTGATCAAAGTGTACAGAGAAAAGGGGTCCTGACCTTGCTGAGAAGCTGAGCATTCCTTTCCTGCCATCTCCGAGACTCTTGCTCAAGGCGTTGCATTTGGACTTTTGTGGCATTCAGCTCCGCTTGCGCCGATCGAGCCTGCTCCTTCGCAGGGTCAAGTTCCTTGGACAAGTCATTGAGTTTGACCTCGAGGTCGCGGGCCTTCTTCGCCGCACTCTCCGCTTCTGCCCGCAAAGTGGCGTTGCTCTCACGAAGGATGTTGAGTTGGTTAATCCTTTCGACGAGCTCAGCGTGTTGAGCGGCGGATGCGGTGTTTGCGATTGCCCGTTCTCGCTCCTACATTTAATTTAGTAAAGGGTTCATGTAGAAGTATAAAATCGAGTGTACCTCTGCAAGGGTAGCCCGAGTCTCCTGCAACGTCTGCGAAAGACGTTCAATCTGGCTCTTCAAGACGCCATTCTCACGCTTGCTCATCTCCAGTTGAAGGTCAACAATGCCCTTTTCCTTACGCAGGTAGTTGATGACAGAACGAAGCTCTGAGATCCTGTTGTCGGATTCATCGGTAGTTTCGCCCTCGGCATTCGTCGTCGTGGAGTCGACAGGAGCATCTGCAGCTTGTCTGATACGCGTAGCTTGAGCACTGACAGACTCGAGGTGTTGATGGAGAACAGAGTTCTGTTGCGAGAGATCCTGGCAACTACACGAAAATATGTTAGAGCACGTATCCAGGAAGATATGGCGTGCTTACCGAGCATTAAGGTCTGCCACCTCTTTGTCCAAAGCCTCCTTCTGTTGCCTCCAGCTGTTTTCGGACGACACAAGCTTGGCTTGGGCTGTTTCTTGCGCATTGAGGTACTGGCGAGCAGCAGTCTGAGAAGCAGATAGTTCTTTCTTCAGGGCATCGATCGACTTCATTGACTCGGCATGCGCGATGATTTCTTGCGAATAGCGCTGCTCTGCGGCCTATAAACGCACATTAGGTCAACACAACGTTGCACAGTGCGTGACGTTACGTACCTTTGCACGATCCTCCAAGCTTCGCATCTCCTGCTCTCTTGTACTGCGATCGCTTTCTGAGTGTTTCTCAGAGGTGCTCATATCGACGATAGTGTCCTCTAGAGTCTTCTTGTCGTTGATCCAGGCTGTACGCTCAGCCTCGAAGGTCTTTTGGATTTCATTGTACTGCGTACGAAGCTCGGCGAGCTCCTTCGTTGCTTGATCCAGTCTTTCTTGCATAGCCTGACGTTCAGACTGCAGAAAACAAGGTGAAGAATAATAAACGCGAAGTATAATATTTCCATACCTCGTGACGTGCGATTTGAGCTTCAGAGGAAGCTTTGTACTCATCGAAAGTGGAGTTCAGGGCAGCGAGAGCAGTTTCACTGGCCTGACTGATTTCCTGGAATTGATCTCTGTGACTTCTGGCAGAAGCAAGATCGACTTCCGTTACTTTCAGAGCAGCTCTGGAATGGGATCAGCTAGACCGCACAAAATATTGAATTTTAATGTACCTCAGTTCCGCTACCTCAGTCTCGAGTTGTTGCTCACGGCTAGCATCCTGATCGACAGATTGAGCGATACCAGATGTGCCAGGACGGCGCTCGTAAACGGCGAGTTTCTCTTCATTGCCTTTCAGTTGCCGTGTAAGGTCATCGATCTTCTCTTCCAGGTGCTTTTTACTTGTTTGAAGTTCCACGAGAGTCTCTCGTGTCTTTGAAAATTCTTGCGTCTATCAAAGTGATTAGTTCAGACACAGGATCAATAGCCTTCTATGGAGAACACTGACATTCTTGTCAAGACGGGTCTGGAGGTCCTTGAGCTCGATCTCCTTCTGCAGCGAGATATTTCTGATGGAGTCGCGTTCTTGCACAATTTGAGCCCGAAGGTCTTGACTAAGGACCATATGTAAGAAGAGTACTTATGGGTGGGTTGAATGCACTAACGTCTGAGCTTCTAACATTTGCAATTGCCCCTCAAGTCGACGACGATCATTTTCACCTGAACGTTCCAGATCATTGTGCATCTTCTGGACATTGCTCATTAGATCAGCAAGATGAGACCGTTCCATTGCGAGTGTCCTGTTCTCGTCGACCAGCCGGGTTTGAATACTCTGCAACGAAGGTTGGGATTCACTGTTGAGCATAAAGTAAGACGAGCAACATACCTCCCAGATCTTCTTCTCGGCACGGAGGTTTGCACACTCATTGCGCAATTGCTCCACCCGATTAGCGGCCCCTTGAAGCTCGTCCGTCACTCTGGCGCATTCAATATCCAGACGAACGTTCTGCTCATGAAGATGGGAGTTTCGCTTGCTGAGTTCCTCGATCTCGAAATTGTGTACCCGGAATTGTTCCTCATGCATGCGATGACGGTCTGCGAAAGAAGCAGAATACCTATGAACGATGCAGATCCGTAGAGTTGGAGAAACTTACCTGTCAAAAACTCGATCTTCGCATTTGACTTTGCAAGAGAAGCCGACATGGTGTTGACCTCTCTTTGAGCCGCAATAAGTTCATCACGCAAGCGTGATGAGTCCACACCCATCTCTAGCTTATAGGCATCGAATTGGCTTTGAACCTCCGCAAGCTCTTGAGCCAAGTCACTTGGAGGGGCGGAAGTCGTCTCTCCGTTCACTATCATAACCGTGGAACCAGCTTGAGCCTTTGCCAGGAGGCCTTTCAGCGCATCTCGTTCTTTGACATAGGCTTGAATGATGCCATCGCTGCTCTTCTTCTGTCGTTCGAGCTGAGCAGCAAGGTCTTGCATTGCCTCGTGGGCCTCTCGTACAGCTTCAGCCTGCTCTCGCTCCATGGTTTCTCGATACTCCCGTTCCTCTTGCTCCATTTTATCCCCGAATTCTCGGATGATCCTCAGCAGTCGTTGATTCTGAACTTGCATCGTGCCGATGGACTTGAATAGAACGAGGTGATTCGAGATGAGGGTTTGCGTATCCACCTCAACCGATGCGATGGGGTCTATTTCTTCATCCGGAGGTATTGACGGATCGTCGCGGCGAGCGATGTCGCGAAGGAGCACCTGAATCTGTCGACCAAGGTCGTCGAGATTTCTCTGGAGGACGGTGTTCTCCTGCATAGATTTCTGGAGTTTCTGTGTTTGCTCCTGTGCAAGAGATGCCTGCGCGTCTCTCTCAGAAAGGGCTTGAGAAAGCTGAGAACCAAGTTGCGAAGCTTCGAGTTGTAGTCGTTCGTATTCGACGCGTTGTTGTGACAAAATTGGCGCCTAACAGGGGGATAAGGATTGTATCAGACAAACCTGAGCATGAAGAAACGTACCCGTTCTTCAATTTGAGCCAGCACAGACGACAAAGTGCGGTCCATATGGTCATATTCAGCCGATTTTCTAGCGTATTCCTCTTGAAGTCGAACATAGTCCGCATAGACTTCAGTAAAGGTCTTCCCAGTCCGTTGGGCTTTGCTCGCCATTGCAACCGTTGGACTGAGCCCCATCATGCCATCCATCGTCATGTCCGGAGTTGCTGTTCCACGGAACGGCGTCAATGAAGTGCCTCTGGTCGGAACTGGCAATTCACCACGGCCCATCCTCTCCAGGACACCCTCCAACTGCTCCACACGCTTCTCGGCCTCTTGACGAGCTTTCCGTTCCCTTTCAACCTCATCCTTCAAGATATTTTCCCTCCGTTCTGCCTTTTCGCCGACCGATGCCCATTCCCGCTCGATATTGTCAACAATTTCCTTCGCCTGCTTCTCGCGTTCCTCCATCATCGACACAAGGCGTTTGAGACCACTGGCCTCATTGGCATATCGAGCTTCTTGTTCGGCGAGCTGTCCCGTAAGTTCTTGGACCTTTGACAGAGCTTGGGTGAGTTGGTGAGCTTGAGCAGTATGAGCGGATTGGAGGGCTTTGAAAGAGGCCTCAGCTGATGCATGTGACTGAGTGAGGGAGTCAAATTCCGCCTGAAGGGTAGCCGTTTCCGCATGCTTGCTCCGACGGTACTTCGCGAATTCTTCGGTCTTCGCGTTGAGCTCATTGTTGACGCGTTCAGCTTCGCCTTGCGATAGTTGCAGTTGTTGGGTCAGAGAGTCGATTTTGAACTACGAAAACGTGAGTCGAGAATTAGATGAGACACCGGTTTTACGTACCTTGGTTGATGTTTCCATGGACCGTAGCTCCCGCACTTGTGACTCCAATGCTTGGTGTTCTTGACGTGCTTCCTTCAAGTTAGCGCGGAGAGTTTGTATCTCCTCTAGAGAAAAAGTTAGCTAACCTGACCAGAGGACGAGAATACAAAGGCGCACCGTCGCGTTGAGAGCCCTCTTCCTTGAGCCGACTAATGACAACCACGAGGTCGCGCTTTTCACGTTCAGCATCATCAAGGCGTCGTTGAAGAGCTTCCACTTGGGATGTCGATGTCGACTGTGATGAGCAAACGTTGGCGAGTTGTGTCTCGAGAGCCGCCTTGGATTCGGCTGTCAAAGAACCTCATGAGCGCTTATGAATACGAATGCAAAAGTAAAGTAATCACCGAGTTGACCGCGCTCCTGCTTGACCTGCTTGAGCTCCTCCCTGATAGATTCAACGGTTGCTTGAAGCTCGCTAGCTGAGCTTTCCTGGTCCTGCATGGCCTGCTCTAGCTCGATCTCCTTTCTCTGTAGTTCGCCTTGCGTTTCATCCCGTTCGCGTTGGGCAGCGTCCAAGTCTACGAACTGAGACGCCAGCAATCGATACAGCGCAACAACATCTTCAGATGTTATAGTTGTAAAATTGGTGTCGGGGAGGAGAGTGGACAATGTGTCTTCGTCAATATCGTCAGGTAGCGTGACAGTGAGGGAATGGGGCGCTTCGCTGCCGTCAGCATCATGCTCGACAGCTGCGGCTTTCGACTTTCGTCGCGTCATAGTCATGGTGAAGGGGTTCGCCGCAGGTGGGAAACGAGCTCGCTGGGGCGAACAGCGAGGTCAGTGGCGGAAGAATATTGGCGAAGGCGGCCAGTGGATCAAGTACACAATGGACACGACCACGTGCCTTAATGCTTATGTCAGCATCCTGCCTTGACTGAACCTTATTTTTCGAAAGGCTCTTTCTTGTCAACACAACTTGCGAACTTTGGGTGAGTCCCCTTTCCAGCCTATTTCCCCCGTTTTTTCTGACAAAACCCGTCTGAAGTCACCTTCTGACTCATATCTGCATCGACAATGAGTTACGTCGCCAAAGGAGAAAAGGAATACGACGCTACCGGTGCTCCAGTGCCCGGAGCCAAGATCCACAAAATCCGTATCACCCTCACCAGCAGCAACATCAAGAACCTCGAGAAGTGTACGCTGAAATACTCATTTCTCTTATAAATGCTAATTTGAAATTCTTGCCAGTCTCTGCTGACTTGATCAACCGTGCTAAGGACAAGCAGCTCCGCGTCAAGGGTCCCGTCCGTCTCCCCACAAAGGTCCTTAGGATCACCACCCGTAAGACTGTGCGTCAATCGTTTTCCTCTTTACTGTCTTGTACTGATAGTGGTGTGATGCTTAGCCTTGCGGTGAGGGTTCCAAGACCTGGGATCGCTACGAGCTCAAGGTGCACAAGCGCCTCATCGACCTCCATTCCTCCAGCGAGATCGTCAAGCAGATCGTAAGTCATCCATTACTTTACCCTTGTCTTCCTTATCTTACTCCTTAATTTCAGACCTCCATCAGCCTGGAGCCTGGTGTCGAGGTCGAAGTTACCATCTCTGCCTAAATTGCTGTACTCCCCCTGCATGTAACCCGCACTATGTATTCTACATGCCTTTGATGAATATGGATGCCATGCCATGAACGTATTGAACGAATGTGAGGGATTTTCAGAGCGCTCTTGCGATGCGGAAATTGCTTTTTGAGTGGGTACATTTACTTGTACGATAGAGGTCTATTTTTGGAAAAATACTATCGCTCTTCTTCCACGGACTACCACCATCCAACCTTCTGTACGATGGGCAAAAGTGCAAAGCTTCATAAGCGCGTCGTACGTCCTAGACCCTCTATCATGGTCCCTAACCTCACTTTCGCTCATAAATAACCACCAGCCCAAAAAGCTAAAATCCAGCTCGTCAGCACCATCAAACCCCTCGACGCCCGCAATCTCTTCCCAGACCCACGCCGCCCAAGCAGCGAAGAAACGCTCTACACAGAAAGGAAAGACAAATAAAGGAGCATCGACAAGCTCCAAGTCGGGTGACGGCCTCCTTGGTGGTGCTGATTATGTGTCGCTTCTCATGGGTGGGAGGAGAAAGGCACGGGAAGAAGCTCAAAAATTGCCCCAGGACGAGCAATAGACTTGGGTTTCATGCTTAGCTTCGGGCTATGGCCGTGGAGTTCCAGCATCCAGGAATAGTTTTGGGGTTCTAGTGCTTGAGCCCGTCGAAGACAGATAATCGCATGGCGTACTGGACTCTCAACATCTCAATGGACTGCGCAGGCTGGCATTTCAAGAGATGTACCCTCCCATCTGTTGACGAATGGTTTCTTGAGACCAGATGGAGACTCAACAACTTGGACACTGAGATTCGCCCAGAAGATATCAGACAGGGACGTTGGTCGTTGGTATATGGGACGATTGTACCAAAAGACACGGAAGATAAAAACTATTCTGCATGGAAATGGAAGGAAAGACGAACCCCGAGCACATACATTCAAGAAGATTCGAAAAACCTCATCGCAGTACTTGGGAGGCAGCTATCATCCCCGCTCCTCTGATACACCTTCAACACGCCCTCGACACACACCAAACTAATCCTCCCCTTCTTCCCATGTTCGAGCACAATATTTTTGATAACATCCAATGCCTTCCTCAGCTTCTTCAAATCCTCCTGCGCGTCTTTCTCAAACTGGACCATTTCCGACAGCTTCCTCTTCTGGATCTCCGTGAACGTTCCCCGGCGGTGAATGGCCAGATAATGATGCGGCGTCTGCGAGAAGTACAGCTGAGGATACGCCTCTTTCCAATCGTACCCCCGCGTGTCCAGAGTGTTTTGAGAGCGCGTGGTCATCTCGATAATGGACGCTGCGGACACTTCGGAGCCGCCCTCGAGGACGGTGAGGAGTCCGCCGCTCGCACTGTCGGGTTCCTGCGAGAGGGAAACGGAGCCCAGGGAGTCGGCGAGCTCGTCCATGCTCGAGACGCTCTTCCGGGGGTACTTGGCAGGCGGGCGAATGCATGCGTCGACTTCGAAGCGCACAACCATCTTCAGTCCGTTTAGATCCTGTTCCACGGTAGAAAACGGACATATAATATCAATCAATTAATTCAAGCATCCACGGAGAAGGGAATCCACTTACGTAGGTAATAATGCGGTGGTGTGACTGTGTGCCCCTACATCCCGGCACAGGATCCGTCGACTCCCTTTCGAAGCTGAATCCGTACGTGCGTCCATTGAATACCTCGCGGTACCGCGCAGACCACCTATTCATCAAGATGGTCTTCTCGCCCGCGAGCTGCAGGTCGATGCGGAAGTCCCTCGAAGTCCCGTTGACCCACCGGAGGAGGCCGCGTAGGTTGTTTCGGTCGGTCACGAAGTCGACCGAGGCCCAGTCGAACGCCGGTGCTTTGGTCATCTCGTGCCGTTTATTGACGGCGAGCACGAGTGGCAGCAGGACGTTCGCGTGCATACGGTACCCGTTGTGGTCGACATAGTGGATTCCGGTGTCTGGTGTGATGGTGTATGGCATCTGTCTGTTTCGCCAGAGTGGAGGAGATCCTTGAGCGCAAACCTGTGAATATTTTGACAAACGTTAAAAAAAAGATTGCGTACCAGGTACCATGATGGTTGGCTTGTCATGGCGAGTCCAGTTGTAGGAGCCAACGTACGTCGGGTCGACGATTGTTACTTCCTCCTGATTGGAGTCCCTTGCTGGGATAGCTATGGTTTGAAGAGGCGTGTCAACGAGGCCCTCCATGAAGTCACGGTTGGGGGGCAAGTTCTCAGTCGGCACCCTGGAGGAGAACGACCCTCCGACCCTTCCTCTCCCGCGAAAGCTGGGTGAGTATCCTTGAGGATGTCGCCCGCTCGGGGCCATGACCATGGAGCTGCGCCAGGGTGATTCGTATGACATTGCTTCCCGAGATGAAGGAAGAGAGTAAGAGTCTACGGGGGGTATTCCCAGGAGCAGCCAGTTTATATATCCAGAGTGCTTCTCGGGCGCCTACTGAGGGAACATGTTGGAACGTTTGGGAAAGAATGTCACCAGCTGACCTCTTTGTTAGGTTCGGCAAAAGGTTCCGCATTTTGACCCCCTTTTCAGCGGGGGAGTGGATCTAAGTTCGATAAAGAACGTGAAGAACTCAGTTTGGCGTGAATCTTGAGTGGCTGGATTCATTTGGATGGGGGAATGGGCCGATGAAATGGGGTAATCAAGCGAGAGAAACCCCTGAAATAGTCGCAACTGTTCTTCCATCCATCCAGAGTACGTCAATAGGTGCAGCTAGAGCAAAGCATATCACCTGAGAAGAAGGAACCTATGGAATATGAACGATCAAATTCTAGTAGGCCCTTTGTATCCCCCTGAAAAAGGGTACTCTCACACCTTCTGTCGGCCGACAAGAAGAAGCAAGGGCCCACACCGCTTTTCTCCGGTGTCGTAGTGGTACTTGGATTCCTTGGGAGGGCAAGACGCCGTCAAGTTGAGCTCTGGCGACAAACATGTACGTGGTCACTGACAGCGACATAGCACGCCATATTCCGGTGTGTCGCAGGGTTCTGACATCCAGGCGAGTATAAAGGAAACGAGGAGATAGTCGATAGCTACCTGAGTTAGAAACTGACTAGGTAAGGACATGATGGTGTTGGAAAGGGGAGCGGGCCGGGCAGCGGGCGAAAAAGGTGCACAGCCACCCGATCGTCTTTCGGACTTTCGCAATCGTTTCGAAAATGTTCAAGCAGCACCCTTTACTCGACTATCTGCGACACACCGCAAGACCACCTTATCTCACACTCTAGAAGGAGAGCTAGTCACAAGGAGATACCCATTATGAGTGAGTTTCTTCTTTCTCTACCAATACGTCACCTCATCCTGTTGTAGACGCAGAATCTCTGGACGGTCGATTGCTCTTTGCAATCCCTAAAAAAGGTGCACAAATTAGTGAAGAATGTTTTGCACTGTCGTTTACTAAAGCCACCAGGAAGACTATACGAGAAATGCCTTTCAATCCTTGCTGGTCTGTCGCCCATCTGGTCGAGCTGACAACTCTGTGACTCACGTCTCTGGTCTCTAGGTGCCGATATTCAATTTCGGAGACACCAACGTCTAGATGTCTGCCTTTCCCTCAACCACCCCATCGCTCTGTACGTTTTGAGCAAGACAAAAGCCCAACCGTTCTCTGAAGCCAACCCAGCGTCTTCCTCCCTGCATCCGATATCCCCTCTTTCGTTGGCAAGGGTAACGTCGACCTCGGAATCACCGGTCACGATGTTATTCTCGAGTCCCAGATGCAAAACCATGTCACTGAGGTACTACGTCTCGGGTTCGGAAAGTGCTCCCTGCAAGTCCAAGCCCCCGAAAACGGCTCGATAAAAACCGTCGATGATCTGGCTGGGAAGCGGGTCGTCACCAGCTTCGAAGTGCTCGCAGGAGAGTACTTCACCCAAGTCGACCTCCGTAACAACCTCACCGGCGACAAAAAGACTCAAATAGAGTACGTTGGTGGGAGCGTTGAGGCTGCTTGTGCTTTGGGTCTCGCAGATGGAATTGGTGCGCTTCCATTCCGATACCGTCGCGAAGGCACGAACTAACTTATGCTCCTGTTCCAGTCGATCTCGTCGGTGTGTAAAAAACATCAGTTACCTCCCAACCCCTCTTACGAATTCTCCAGAATCTGGCGACACCATGCGTGCTGCAGGCCTCCACGCGATCGCCACCGTCCTCGAGACCGAGGCCGTCCTGATACGCTCGACAACCCCTAAGCACCCCCACCTCACGCCACTCATCGAGGTCATCACCAAGCGCATCGCAGGCGTCATCGCTGCGGAGAAGTACATCATCTGCCAGTACAACATCCCGCGCGCCAAGTTGCACGCTGCGACGCAGGTCACGCCTGGGAGGCGCGCCCCGACTGTCAGTCCCCTGGAAGATGAGGGGTGGTTAGCGGTGAGCAGCATGGTGGAGAAGAAGAAGTCCGCACAGGTTATGGATGAATTGGTCACGATCGGTGCGGAGGATGTGCTTGTTTTTAATTTGGATAACTGTAGAGTGTAGAGGTGCAAGCCCACGCAAGGCCTTCCTGCTGAATGAGAAACTGTCTTGCAATCATTGCATCGCGATCGAAGATGATATCGGATTTACAGTGAGAAGGGCATCGAACAATATATTTACGTTGTAGACAGGGTCGAATTTCACTCCCAACTACTCCGTCCTCAAGAGTACCCTGTCTTGATCCAGCCGCCTCGAAGAATATCCTCAGCGCTTGCTCTGTTCGTTGGTTTAATCGCAAGGCAGGACCTGAGGAACAAAGCGGCGCTGGAGATATCGTTCTCTGCTAGCTTTTCGCTCTCAGTGAGCAGAGTCTCGAGCTTCCCAAGAACCTCTGCTGCTGTCTTGGTGGGAGAGCCGATGTACGAATCAGAGAAGAGAACGTTGCCGGTTAATAGAAGGTATGTCTAAAAGACGATAAGGATCTAACATAAAGTATAAGAAGCGAAAAGAGACGCTCACAGTACATCCCAACATCCAAATATCGGACTTGTGATCAACCCTTCCGCCTTGAAGTGCTTCCGGAGGTAGGAAGTTCTTGGGAGATTCCAAAGTCCCAGCACCACCTATCGGACGTGCTAAAATAATTGATCGGTCAGTTCGTGACTTCGGAGATGGCCTGGGCGCTTACCATGCGCATAGTTGCTCAAGTAGATCACTGCACGCATAATATCTTCTTCTGGAGAATCCCATCTGAAGCCATTTGGGATAGGTTGAGATTTGACAACGGGATACGTGACACCATCGCTGCCTAGGATTTTCTCTGCTTTGTTGCTTGGGGACTTTGCAAGCATCTTTCGAATATCGACAGCCGCTTGAACAGACCAGAAGAGAAAATTATCCGCAGTAACAGCTGGGCAATAAATGAGCACAATGCAAAATAAGAATCGACATTAATACTGACCGCCGTGAACGAACCTCTGGTCGGCAAGCTGGGCCAGCCTTTCTGATATGTCGCCGACAACCTTTTGGACTATATGAAGAGGCAAATACTCCCCATCGTAGATATTGCTGAGGCGGAGTTCCTCTACTGAATGACCTAATACGCGAAAGACAAGGCAAAGGTGTCTCTTGCCCTTGGTATCGTGTTCATAGAAGTTGGTTAAGAGCTCCGGGACGCCGTTTTGTATGTTCTTAACAGGGCCGAGAAGAATATCCCGCTCGATCTTGCCAGTCGAGTCTTCCGTTGCTGCTGCAGTCAGGATCTTAATCGCTCCGTATCGGTCGACGCCTTCTTTATTATCGACGGCCAGCCATGTGGAGGATCGAGGTCCCCATCCGAGCTTGCGGACGATGGTCCATCCGCCTTCCTTGAAGGTTTGACCGGGCTGGGCAGGGAAATAGCCAAGTGGAGAGTCGAGTTGTTCTTCGGGAAAGAGAGACATTGTCAATGTGGGCGAAGAAGGTGAAGGCATCTGGCATTTCAAGACCTCATCGCATCGAGTCTTCACAAATAAGAGTCAATCCGCCAGATGTGATGAATCGTGATGTATTCAAAGGCTGTGTACTATGTACTCGTGTCGGGAGCGCCCACCTTTCCTCCACTGATGCCACAAATTTTCAGCGGCAGAAGGTAATGGAAATGGCGCGCATTTGGGAAATCCAGGGATGTGATTGGCTGGAGCACGAAATGGGTTCTCGGGTTCGTCTATATATGGACCCACACCGACTCGGAGGACCCGCAGCGCTGGCCGTCTTTTGTCACGCTAACTTCCGTTGTCTTGTACTTTGACAGGTGGCGTCAGGAAATCATTCAGAGCGCTGTTCCCTGCCAGATAGCATCACGTCGAAGGTTGGTCGCAGCCTGTTCCCAACTTGTTTCCAGGTCAGGTGATTTGACTGTGGGGCCGTCTTGGCAATGGGTTATCTAGCGCGTAAAATCACCCCAAATGGGATATATCCCACAATAAGAGCGAAATTTGTGGCCTAGAAAATAATTGCTCGGCATCATTCTACCCAACTATGCTGAGGACCCACAATCCTGATTCCCAGCAGAATTGGCTTTGCCACGGGTAGCACTAAGCTTAATTGGGCGAGACCAACATGCACGCCGCACTGACCGGCGGCAGATGGAGCATAGCGCTGATTGAGCGCTGACCACCAATGCTACTACCCATGCCAAAACAATGTCACGCTCGAGGCGTATAAAAGTGCAGTTGTCGGACGAGCATAGGTCTCCATAGCTGTGCTACCTACCCTCCCATCTTCAGTGCTGGTCACTGTTGAAAGTGTGTATTAACGATCAACTTCGACGTCAAGCTTTGCAAAACTACCATGCGTTTCTTTTCGGTCCTTTCCCTTGCCTGTGCTGTGCTCCAAGCTGTTTCTGCGATTCCTGTGTCGAATCCCATCAAGTACGCCAGTTTCATTTTAGTTCATTTCTAATTGATCGGACTACACAATTCTCAGGGATCCTGTGGCCCACGGGGCTTCTTACACTTCCAGCACCAACACTCAACATCTCGAGGTGCGCGGGCGCCAGGGCAAGCATCATCGTTCCTCCAGGAAACACAAGCCTCCAACGCCAGTTCCTATCACCTTCGATAAGGAGAAATCGCCGCATGCGGCCCATCAGGCTCTTAACAACCTTAACCTTCATGGCAAGAAACGGAAGGCGGTGGAAAAATATCATAAGAACGTTGTCGCAGAGCATATGAAGACTGTCCCTGGGGCACACTCAGCTGTCATCAAGTGAGGAGTCTTCGAACTACGATGACTAGTTCCTGCTCATCGTCAATTAAAAGAAACTTGGCCCATTCGATGGGGTCGCGAGATCCCAATGTTCACATCAGTGCCGTTATCAAGGACAAGGCAGGCAATATCATCACGGCTCCCCGACGTGGAAACCCGAACATCCAAGATCCTACCCATCACATCTACACTAACAAGCAACACCCGCATGATGGATACAAGCCCCTTCCCATTGAGTACAAGAAGGCTGTCGACAAGAAATTGAAGGCTGAGGGGAAGAAGCCAGGTCGCGTTTGAAGTTCATGAAGTGTGCTGGACTCACTGAGTCATTGAGGCCAATATATGTTGTCAGCGTGCATCTTCTATTGTTCAAATACACTATGGTGTCACAAGAAATATCGACGGTAAGGTGCTAGTCAGGAAACTTGTCCAATTTCACCTTACCAGAACGGTGTCTGCGTTCACGACCCGGGCTTTATCTTCTGTTAAAAATTTGATCCTTTCGAAACCTAGAATAAACGCAATGATACAATTTGCATCTCACCAATGCGACGTCACTTCGATGCTGGTGGGCAGGCCGGCGCGTGCTGCACCTGAATCGGACCGGCACTTCTGATGTCGATCGTGATGCATTGATGACCGAGTGTGGTGATAGTTGCCGGAAATGGAAATTTTGCGCAGCTTTGCCACGGCGGGGTTTTTATTTCGGCTGGCAATGGGCTGGGCAGTGGGCGAAGGGCCCTATCCATTAAGAAGGCGACGAGGAAAATGCACAGCCAGGGCTTCTCGCAAGACGAGACCCTGGCCAATATACATGAATGTTCCATGGATTTCGGGGGCGGCTCCCTGCATTACTCTCCCCGAGACAGTCAAGACGTCTAAACGCAACCACCTCGCCCCCAAATGATGGCCGTAGTGAGGTTTTGCGACAAGCTGATATCGTGCATCGTATGCTTAGATCATGTCCTCAAGGATCTAGTAACGAATCCTTGCAGGAGCGGACACGACACACGACACTCCGGCCAGCAATCCTTCGTGGAGTTTCCGAAATGAGGAAGACAAAAATCTTGCAATCTTTCACGGATTATCTCGCACTCAGACACTAGTGCAATCAGGGCACGAGGAGCAATTTCCGATCATTCCAAGGCAATTTGTCAAACCCATGAGCCATTACACTCGCGAGAAAAAGGAAGACGGTATTATCAGTAAGTTGTACAGTAAGTGATTATATTATACAATTTGATTCGAATCAGATTGGATCGTAATCGCAGGTGGTGGCCTCACTGGCCCTTCTAATTTCAGGTCTTTATTATTAGGTCGTAAACTCGTCTCATACGGATTTTCCACGCCAGTACCCGTGCCCGGCGTTGCAAGCATCATCGACGTAACCGGATGCGCAAACGTCAGTTCGATATCGCGCGTTACGCTCGCGATTGCAATGCGCTGCTGTGTCGTTCGGACGCCCCGCGAGAAGCTCAGGGTGTCCCAGATGACCTTGGATGCTTGGCGCGCGCGCCGTCGGTGGTCGAAGAGGAAGCTCTTGGGCATGGTGTCGGTTTCGGAGTTGAGCTGCTCGCCGGCTTTTCTGAGGTTGAGGGTGATGCGGGACATCATGGCAACCTAGAGAACGGAGGGTTGGTAGAAGGATGAAGGTGTAAGAGAAGGGGCTTACTGATATTCTGTCAGTAGATATAGGGAAATAATCTCGTCGGTCAGAGGACAGAAGAAGCGAGATATATTCAAAGAAAGCTTACAACTGTTCCATTCTGAATGAGATCATGGGTATCAATGGCGAGAAAAAGACAATAAAAAACCATTCACTCACTGTGCACAGATATTCCTCGTCCCAGGAGGTGCACTGACAATCATGATCAACAACACCAGTGTCACAGAAAATATGACACTGTCAAAAGCAATCGACGATCAGCGGTCGCGCTCAGGAAGATAACTCAGTCTCCAGGCTCCGAGTCGTTCATGAAGGACACCCGGAGGTCTACGCACCTATAATAAAGCAAGCCGTCTTCGAGAAGCCTTTTCACGATGTAGCTCGCTTCTTCTCGACGAATTGGCGGCACCGTCCGGTACACTGTCAGCACGAAAATGATCGTGTCATACAGGAGGGGTATCCACGCTGACGCTGCTGATGCAGCGCTTCTGTAGGAGGAACGGGGCAGTCAGAATTGAAAGCTTGACGTGCGGTAGAGTTAGCACAAGGGGACGCACAGCGAAGGGTCGAAAATCATGCTGCAGGCTAGGTGGAGGAGCAACAAGTCAGCAGGGAATTAGCGCGGGTTAATGCGCCACACAACTCACCGCGAATGCCCGATGCAGGATTGTGCATAACGGCTAGACCAAACCCATCGACAAGCCTTTCAGTCCTCCAGCTCGAACTAGAAGGGAACACTAGCACTCACGTTGTGCACCGCTAATCAACCAGGCGTTCACCGCCGTCTCGCCAATAAGGATGAAAATAAGGCCTCTCGAGATCCATTTTTGGTTAGGGTAGAGCGCGTTGATGCGAAGAAGCATCATCAAGCCGACGACCTCGACCGCAATGGCAACTGTGCACCCTTCGTAGCGCACGAAGCGCGCGCATCTGATAAATGGTATTAGAGATTTGAATTGCTTACGACCGGATTGGCCAAAGGAAATAAATCGCACATCTGTCGGTGAACAACCGGCCGGTCGGTATGATGAGCAGGTTGCGAACTTCGGGCGAGGAAGCGTACCTCGTATGTCCACACTGGGGACAAGTACGCTGGATCAAGCCGTTCATTCAGTCGAATCAATTGCTCATTGGTCAAGAAATAAACGAAGCTCACCATATAGGTTGATAATGAACCCCAGCGGTGTGAAGTATCTATTCTACCTCACGAGCAGCATTACTTAGATGCCGAAGGAAAGAAAGGGAAAGGACACCAACGAAGAGAAATAGGTAGACGACTAGAAACAATCGATCAGATCAAAGTCCCTCGCCAAATGTCAAGAATTCGAAGCACTCACAGAAGCCTTTTCGTTTCGCCTTCCAAATTAGCTCGACCTGTAGGACCGGGCCAGTCAAAGATCGCGACGCAAATCATCCCAAATGACTTACTTCGTCCGCGAAAGTATCGAAGTGGTCCCAGACCAGGACTACGAAAGAGGCGAAGCCGACATACTGCCAGCCAACGCGCTTCAGCGCACGAAAAACGAAGCAGAATACAATCGCTTCTTACATTCGTGTGGCGCCTGCCCGCGCGTTCGAAAGTCAGCGGGTGCGCTCGTAGGTAAATACAACTGGAGGGACGCACGTATCGGATGCGTCAGAAATTGGATCTGGTATTGGCTGTGGCATGCTGGCATAGGTGAAAGGAGCAAAAGGCTCGCTTAGCTATATGCAAGCACAAGCGACGCGGGGGGAGAGAAGCAGCAGGTCGGGGAAGCCGGTTCTCGTAGGGCTTATATATACCTATCCCACTGGGGTGTAAATAGAAAGGAACACGAGCGCCGGTGCCAAGTGGAACCTAGCCAAAGACGGGACTCATCGGAGTGAGTACGAAAAGGAGCGTTCTATCATGTCTGATTAACACAACCAGAAAGAGTGATATAGAATTTGGAGTTGAGGGGACGAATCATATCTTTGCACTTGGCCGTATGCATGTCGTGGAGAGGGAGGAGTCCGCGTTCTGGTCGGAGGTAAAGTCGTGCACTATTTTTAGCCGATGTGTGCTCTTCAGATTCAGTTGAGTAGCATAGAGTACGAGTAATCAGGATGCGGCAGCGCGAGAGCGGTGCGGAAGATAGCTTTGACGATTGAAGCTTGCAAAGGTTGAAGCTCGAGTATGCTGCGCCGTCTATTAGGGTTCGATTGAGCTGAAAGCTTACAAGTGAGAAATTCCGTCCGAAAACTACGCCTCACGACCTCGAACTGTTCTAGCTGAATCCACTCGCAACTTTGAGTTCATGTGCCGTTACTATAACATGAATACAGCGATGGTAAACTTCTGAACCCTGACGAGCACGTTGAAAAGAAGAGAGAGAAGTCTGCAAAAGAAGAGAAACATCCCGGTCATCGCATCCGTTTCCCGGACAGTACTGAATGGCCCTTGTGTAGCGTGATTAGCATAACTAATTCCACCAGAATGTGCTATAGAATACTGACCTGAGAGAAGCGCTCCTAGGCCGTGTCACCGAAGGTTGGAATCCCGGTCTACTACGAAGAGAGGGGGTTCCAGAGCAGGTAGGCGCTTTCTGATTCTTCATTTCATTGTTCAGACAAGTCTTCTGTCATAGTTGTGAAATGAATCCACCACGCCTACTTATATGCGCACACAGGGACGAGGACCACAGGGCCTCGGACAACAGTGCAAAGTGTCCGTTTGTATTGGATAGACCGTTCCAATCGTCGAAGCGTTTGTGTATGCGCCACTGACATCGCGATTGGATCATATGGACGAGACACATCCTGAAAGAAAGCATTCGGATGCCACTTCTAGAATCGAAAATGCGTGTTGGTTGAGGTGAAGAGGAGCAATTGGCTTCAATTTCAGCCTGGCGGCTTGATATGCGAACAATGGGAAGAATTGGTGGGTTCGCAACTGAAGCATCCTCGACAACCGGCGTCACTTGGGCCGTAATACAGTAGATAGACGAGCAGGTGTTCTCTCAGGTCGATCATCACGCCAAGCAGCCAGGGAATGAGTCCTCTGGAAGCTCAGCAAACTTTCAGCATGGAACAGCCAGTGAAGCACTCACCAGAGTTAGGACATCTAATGGAAATAAACCCTCCACGTCTAACTCGAAGCTTATTGTTGAGCCACCTCGGGAGAAGCTACAGAGCTGGGGATGTGGACTCGGAGCTGTCAACGGTGTGGGTCGCCGGAGATGCATGTGGAGAAAGGACAAGGTGATTCCGGCGCAGCTCCAATTCGTAGACACAGGACGTAGGTAGGGAGCTGAATAGCCCGGAGCGTGAAGAAACAAGGTAAAACACCGTGGGCGCCAGATGATGACGACGGCATTTTCCTGTTCCCAACACGTCTTGCCCCGCTACCATCCCCACAGGCGCTTCTCGCTATCATTTTAAAATATATCATCACTCCACAACTAACACCACCACTTGAAGCACAGAAGTGAATATCTATGATGCAAGGCTTGCGTTTCAAGGATGTCGAGACATGATGGTCACCTGCAGGCGGCAGCTACGAGGGAGACCAAAGGCGTGGTGCGGAAGATATTCTTGCTATCATCGTGGATATCCCTCACTGTAGAACGGTCACCAGGAATAAGACGCGTTTCGTGTTCAACGGCGCATACATTCAGTTTACCGAGGGCAGGCATCTCTTTCGCCTTCAACACATCAGTAGACGGCCATTTCTGCGCATATCAATGGCCCCACTGGTCGTGCATGGCTTTCCTGACGTTTTCCTGGAACTCTGAAGTCAGATGAAGCAACACAGACCCAGTATCCTGCTTGTTGAGGCACAAGCAACCAGCCAACAATCTCTCGAGCGTCGATGTGCCTGTGCCTGTGTCAGTAGCAGCCATGATCCTACCCTTCAACCTCGAACTTTGGGTCGCGAGTGCCTTGTTAGGGAATCCTACTACAACAGCGTACACATTTTTTCATCTATAGAGTTCCCCACAAGAGACGCGAGGAGGCACGGGCACCTCAGCCACCGAAAAGCATGGCCCAACGAGCCATCCTCCCAGACACGATTGCAATGTACGCCTCCAGGTGTCAAGTATAAGCTGACCTGTTCCAATATCGAGCGTTCGACAACTTCCCCGCCACCCGCTCACACGAAGACGATGCGTCTCTCTGCTCTTCCGTTTGGGCTGGGGATGCTCCTCCTCGCCTGGTCCACCCATGCCCTCGTCGCACTCTCTCCAAATGCTCCGATCGGAAGGCATCACATCGTACACGAACAACACGCCCTTTCGCCCCTCGCTTCTGGCTGGACTTGCACCCGTCGACTCGCACCCCACACCATTCTGCCTCTGCGCATCGGTCTCGCCCAACAAAATCTGCACCGCCTCGAGGAGCTCCTCCACGACGTCTCTCACCCCGAGTCGCCAAATTACAGTCGGCACCTGACCCAGGCGGAGGTAGTTGCGATGTTCGCTCCTAGCCAAGAGACAATTGACGCTGTGAGGGGGTGGCTGGAAGGCGAGGGCTTTGGACGGGACAGGATGAGGCTGTCAGCAAATAAGGGCTGGGTGCTGGTGAATGCAACGGTGGGAGAGGTTGAAGAACTGCTGAAGGCTGAGTACCATGCCTACGACCACCCCTCTGGGAAAAGGCAATTTGGTAAGTAGTTCCTTGGGGTTGGAGAAAGGGTAGAAGGGCTGACTGGTGAGGCGTATAAACAGGGTGCCACAGCTACTCTGTGCCCGCACACCTCCGCTCACACATTGACCTCATCAAGCCCACCGTGCACTTCAACTACGCCCTCAGCAATCGCCAGCCCAGCCATCTCAGGAAACGCGGTGGAAACCTTGGCCAGCCCTCTGTCTTCCGTGGGCCTAAAAAGTCGGATGATCGTGGCCGTCCTTCTCAAATCAAGGCGGGGTTGGAAACATGCGATGAGTCTATTACGCCGGAATGCTTGAGGGCGCTGTACTCGATTGACTATAAACCGAAGGCAGTTGAGAACAATAGTTATGGAATAGGTGCGTGTTAGTTCTCGCTTCCTTGAAACTCGACTGATGAGAACGCGCTATCCAGTTGAATTTACGCCTCAGGCCTATCTAGCCGAAGACCTCGACCTCTTCTTCTCACTGGAGTTGTCCTAATTTCCTTCCTCGTAGCTTATCCGAACTCATCTCGCTCTGTGTAGGGATTCCTCGCTGGGTCTTATCGGCACCCGACCTAACACTGTGCTAATCGACGGGGGTGAATGTTTTCGCCCATTTTTTTCTGCTTTCTTGGACTGAATCCTTTCCAGCTGTCGTGCAAACGACCGACGTAGGTTTCCAGTTCAATGGAGAGAGCGACCTGGATCTCGAATATGCCATGGCCTTGGTTGCTCCTCAACCTGTCACTCTTTTGCAAACCGGCGATCTCGTTGAAGGCAAGTCTCATTGTTCACCAGATGAGAATTGCCATTGAAGTCTTTCAACGTTAGGTGCCGGGTTCGATAACTGGCTCGATGCTGTTGACAGCTCATTCTGCACCTTCGAAGGTGGGGATGATCCTGAGCAAGATGGGGTTTATCCCGATACGCAGCCTGATGGCTACAATGGCCCCGAATCATGCGGCATTGTTGCGCCGCCTCATACCGTCTCGATATCTTATTTGCAGGACGAGCACACGGTGACTTCTGCCTTCGCTAATAGGCAATGCGCTGAATATGCGAAGGTCAGAATCATTTATACCTTCTTGGAATTCGTCGTAAATATTCGTCGTCTAGCTCGGTCTACTGGGCACATCTGTACTCCACAGCAGTGGCGACAACGGTGTTGCCGGAAATGAAGGTATCTGTCTCGATGCGAACCGTGCGTATCCTCGTCAAAGTTTCAACGTTTGTGCTAAAGCTTACGCGGTGCCTAGATCAACCTGTTCAGAATGGTACTGGCACTGTCTTCAATCCGGGATTCCCTGTAAGCAACTTTCTCCAATATTCATACATGTTTTTGGCTAAGGTTGTGTCAGGCTTCTTGTCCATTCGTCACTGCCGTCGGAGCGACCCAAATCAACCCCGGATCGACAGTCAACGACCCAGAGGTTGCCTGCGAACAAGTTATATACTCCGGCGGTGGATTTTCGAACATCTTTCCGTGAGTTATGTCTCGGTCGACAGCTGTCGGCTTCTAAACTCCACTGGCTTTCCATCAGTCTACCGTCCTTCCAAGCAGATGCAGTTACGACTTACCTGAAGCTTCATCCACCGCCGTATACAAATGGCGAATTCAACAATAGTGGAAATGTGCGTGCTGCCCCGGTCTTCGTACACCCTTAGGGTACTCAATGCTCAGGTCGGGTAGGCACGGGCTTTCCCCGACATCTCCGCGAACGGGTGAGTCAATGACTCGGTCAACCATCCGGGCTCTCTGATTGCTTACTGTAATTATAGAGCAAACTACGTCATCGGTAAGCCGGTTAGTTCCTCGAATTCAACTCACGACTTCATCGTTACATACATCCAGCCGTCGATGGGCAATTGGAACGCGTGTTCGGGACGTCCGCCTCGTCGCCCGTGGTAGGCTCCATAATTACCTTCGTCAACGACGCGCGACTCGCAGCAGGAAAGCGCCCGCTCGGGTTTCTGAACCCTCTGGTGTGTGCATCTATCCATCAAATTACAGGGTCTAGTGGGGCTGATGAGTGGTGTGGTTACTTAGATATACTCTCCACTCTGCCAGCAAGTGCTCAACGACATCACGAAGGGTGGAAACCAGGGATGTGGGACTCCAGGGTTTAATGCGTTCGTCACTACTCTCGATTCTTATCCGACCTACTGATTCATTTGTCTGCACAGGACCGAAGGTTGGGATCCTGTGACTGGTGTCGGAACACCTAACCTTTCGAAACTAATGAAGCTCGCTCTCGCTTTGCCTTGAGTATTCTCATGTAAAGTCAATATGTAATCTGTATTACTAGCCTTTATGCGCCTCACCCCTAAACGCGTCTTTAATCGCGCACATGTGTCTTGGTTCCCATTTGAAGAATTGCCGCCGATCATTGACGGTTGTGGACGGGAAGTTCGCCCGACTCGGAGCTGACTACATCGGCGCACCAAACTCCCAAACTCTTGCCTCCGGGCGCAGCAAGCAGCAAGGATTGATTCGGAAGGGGAAGCATGAGGGCGCGGCCGAAGACAGGACCCCCTCGGAACAGCCGTTGGAACAAATTTGCCTTTTGCGAGCGTTTTGAAGGGCGTGGCCGCGAATGAATTCCGGAAATAACAGTCAAAGGGCGAGCTACCGCGGGTCTCAGACACTCAGACATATCACATATCCTCCGAGAGTCCGAGCATCGACGACGCTACATATACTCCGAGGCGCGGCTTTGAGGGCCTTACGTTTGTGTCACCAACGGCTTACAACCCTTTCCGCCAGGCTCTGAGCTTGTCAAGCTCCCACTACGGTCTGCCAGTACCCACCCGGTCAGAGCTATATCTGAGTAAGACTTCGGTCAGCAGCGGCCATGACACTCCCCCTCGTCCCCCTGCCATTCGCGCCAGAAATTCTCTGGTTTACGCCCTCGGAGGGCTTTGTACAGCGTCCAGACCACTTCGTGGACCTGGTAAGCAAGGGATCCGGCGGCAATGTCATGATCAGGTGAGGCTGCATTGCAGTCCCAGCTTTGAGCCTTCAGCTGATATGTTTTTGGTCTGCCAGAAACTACCATGGGCACGCTATCGACCAGCCTGGCTCGCGAGTGTGGGTAATGGGTGTGTCACTCATTATTTTTTCAGAAAGCTACGTTTACTGATGATTTTGTGCGCGTAGTATGGAAATCTCTAGCACACCACCGCGACTTCATGGAACACGAAGCGTATATCGACGTCGCCTTACCAGTCATGGAGGCCATGGTCGGCACAGGCGACATTACGCAGGTGCTGCTGAACAACCTGTCGGACTTTGAGCGTGCTCTCTCTGCCCCCGTCACCCAATTTATCCAAATCACAATGCGACCGTGGCACGACAAAAGCTACGAACTTCTTCCCCTCATTGAACGGCTGAAGAAGGATCTGAAGACGATACCCGGATGCTCTGTGTCGTGTTGGGGCCCTTCTGTAGAGAAGGACACCGTGCATGTCGGAATTGTAGGTTGGAATAGCATTGATGTACGTTTTGCTTCCTCACCTGGCTCCTTTTCAGTTCTTACACCTTTCCGCATTGTAGGACCGGGATGCTGCCGTCGACGGACCACTATACGACATTATCCGACAAGTCCAAGAACTGTCGAAAGTCGAGCTTCGATACGCGCGATTCAACCACGACCGCCACCACCACGACCGTTAATCCTCGTACCTCGTATAATTCGTCATTGTTCATGACGGACTTTATTTACGGATTCCATGATCTCCTTCCACCAGACTATGTTTTAGGGTCTATCTAAGGTTGGGTGCTACCAGCTGTTGGGGGTTACTAGTTGTACGATAAGGTGGGTCCTTCGTTGTCGGACAGGTTACGAGAGCTTACTTTTTTTTACCAGTTTTTAGTCACTGTAGATTACTTACATCCTTACCAATTCACGGAACATTTCATGTCAACGGTTCTAACGGAGGACTGAGGATTTTCTACCGCCTCGTTTGTTTGTCCGAACATTTTCGACAAGTCTACGCCGCGGAACAAAGTGTTAATGTTGAAAACCGGTATCAAGAATACATTTCCAAAAGGGCTGACTATACAAATCCATATGCTAGTACATCCAAGTCGACTTCGTCATGAGTTCTATCGTGTCAGTATCGTCGGGCAAAAAAAAACCCTCATTCGTTATCCGTTCCGCTTCTATCCCATCAATGCTCGAGCTCAATCACTCTAGAAATCGTCTTCACCCTCCTCCTCCCACTCGACACTCTCCAGAGCCGCCTCGCTCTCGTCAAACAGCTTATCCAACCCCGTCAATGTCTCCAAGAACTTTGCATCGTTAAAAGCCTTTACAAGCATCTCAAAGCCCTGTTCTTCATATGCCTTGAGCACTGTCTCGCTACATCCTGTGCACTTGTCGTACGCGGCCCCAACGAGTGGCATCGTCCGGAACTGCCCTAGGAACCCGCGTAGCTGGTGCGGGACGAGCCCGAGCACGCTGGAGGTGCCATCTTCTGGGTTCGAGGCTGTGGCCGAGGAAGTGGCAGGAGGAGGTGCGGGTGCGAAGAGTTGGTCGGGGTGTTGCAGGAGGGAGGAGAGCAGCTCGACAGCGGTTGCGGCCGCAATTGGGGCGAGGCCCGGCCTGGTGACGGTGCACATTTGGTCGAGAGTTCGGTCAGTGAGGGACTGGAAGAATTCGGTCAGTGTGTCCAGCGGAAAGGTACAAGGAAGGTGCGTACGTCTGCAGGCGCGACGATGTCGTTGCAGTAATAGCATCCAAGTTTTTGATGTGGCTTTCCATTATGTCCAGTGGTTAGAGAAGACGCACGAGCTCCATGTCGCATCACGAGGAAGGTGTCGAAACCTAGAGCTGCGTTCAAGACGATCTGGCCATTACACTCGTCAAGATGGAGGCAAGACGATTTGAAACCATACACGAACCTTTCCTTTGGCAGCTGCAATAACCGTAGGCAACCATCGACTTTCCCTCGAATCCATCAACAAGAACACCGCGTCATGCTCGTCAATAAGTTTCTCTAGCCTTGCGACATCAGCTTTGGCCTGAGCTAGCGAAGCAGGATTTGAAGGGATAGGGTGTCCAGGCATGGGTATTGATAGCGAATGACCAGTCGCATTCTATATTACGGTGAGTTGGTGTTCATCTAACGATATTGAACGAAGACTTACGATGCCAGGGAAGATCTTCTTTAGGCTCGTTGCTGCGCATTCGGCCTTCGGTTTTCCACCCTCGAGACAGTCTGTGAACTCGAAGAGTGGTTGCCGGACGGGATTCGAGAAAGATACTTTTGCAGAATCGACAAAAGATATTGTGCGGACGCCCCACCCCTAAAACGATTGGTGTGCATGAGCTAACGGAAAGGGAATCTCACGGATGGGGCCACGTACCATCAGAGCGCGAGCCACATAGCACCCCAGCGTTCCAGCACCCAATAGCAGGCACTTTGTCGTCGAAATCTTCTCCAGATCAAGGGAAGGCAGAATTCGCCATTTCATCAACTTCAGATTGAGATCGACGGCCTGTGCAGCCAAGCTAAGTAAAACCGAGTCAAGAGCCATGCCACATGCGATTGGAAACGAGCGACATACCTCGTTGGGTCCATCATAGGAGCCAGATCAGCAAGACGGGGACCGAGTTTGCCTTGAGGGTTCTTCTCCCATCCAACCGCAGAAGGGCGTTCTGAGGACAGGCTTGCAGCAGCTGCGACAGACAACGTGCCGATCTGACTCTTCCAAGTTGCGCTGGGAGAGGGCGGTTCAGAGTCGCGCCAGCGGAGGATGCGGACTGTTGAAGTGGTGGCAGGATATAGAGCGCGGAGGTAGGCGAGGAGGTTGCGCAATGGCCAGCCAGGATTCGAGGGATCTGCAGATGGGTCCACGAAGGCAATGGTTTGCTGCACAAGAAGGTTAGGAAAATGGGTGCTGATGTGGTAAAGCACGTACTGCTTCAGGTGGGACTGACGCGTAGAACTTTTCGTAGTCTTCTACAGGCGCGATTATGACGTCTCCAGACGCTTCTTTCTTGACGAGGAAATAAGGCAGGTGGGTGGGTTGAGTCTGAAGTTGACCATGGATGGAGGAAAGCTAGACCGGCGCGTTCAGCACTGATACCTCTGATGACGACAAACCCATGCATACCTTCTCTGGATTGAACTCTGAAGCAGCATTAGCCCATCCTTCGTCTCCGATTTCCCATGCCGGCTTCGATACGAATGCAGGGAACGCGAACCAGTAGTAGTACTTGTATTTCTTGAGATCGGCGAATGTGATGAGCAAGAAGCGATTCAACTGGGCGGTATCTCGCGTCTTGAGGATATGATCCCAAATCTACGACCTTTGTCATGATACGAGCCTTCGGAGAGAAGATGGTGCACTCACTAGCTCAGCCTCATAGTTGAAGAGGGTTGTTTTGTCAGCAGCTTTGAAATCCTCGATAGTGTTGTAGTTCTTGAGCGTTCCAACTGGAAACACGGATCCGCGTGGTGGCCTGGGAGGGTATCAGTTCCAATCTCTGAGAAACGAAGAATCATCTGACGCACTTGTGGGCCTCCTCAAAAGACTCTGAGCCAATGGTGAGGTTGCAAGGCAACGCGATCTCTTGTCCCGTCTCTCTGTCTTTAACACTCCTTCCGATCGAATATGAGCCCGTTATGGGGACGGCCGCGTCGGATAGCTTGAGGATGTCGATCTTGAGCTCAGTGAGCTTGTGCCATAATGATGGCTGGACAAGAGATGCAAAGGGCGCGAACTGGACGATCGGCATCGAGAAATTGATAATTCCTGAGCTATATGTCAGTCTACGGAAAAGGATGGTGTGAATTGAACCAACAATCGTGATGAAAAGACGCGTCGCCTTGCGAGGGTAACTTGAAGGCGCGATTGATATTTGGTTGAGGTTTAAGCCAAGTTGTTGGGTGCGACGAGAAAATATGTGGACCAGATAGAGCAGAAACCGATTGGAAGCTTAAATCGACAGCTCGAGCCAAACTACCGGACGTGCGGTGGGAAGAAAGGGGTGTGCTCGCGTTGCAATCGCCAAATCGGATCTTATCTTATCTTCTGCCAGGTCAGCTTTCTCGATCAGCTTCTGCCTAAATCACCATGTCGGACTCGAAAACCAGCGCCTGTGAACGCTCCTGCTGCATAGCAGGAGCTTATTGGGCTATTGAATGGAACAATCGACCATCCAGATGCTGATGCAGCGTTTTCAAATTGGACATCTAGTCGTCTGACCTACTGAGACGGTCCTCCGGTTGTATATAAGGCAGATGGATCCCACTGCCCAGCCATTAGTTTCTCTCCTTCCTCTCCTCCTTCGAAGCATCCGCAGAAGAGAAGCGATGCCCATCCTCGAGATTTGTCAGTGGAAAGTCTCCAAGGCCTTCCTGGAGGATCCATCATCTCTAGGCCCTGCTTTCGACCAAGTGTCCGCAGCCACTGGATGTCATGGGTGAGACCCTCCTCAACGCTGAAGGATGGGATCCTGATATGCGATATTTAGTGTGTACTCTGGTTTAGCAGAAGAGGACAAGGAAAGCGTTTGGCTTTTTATTCGTATGCACCGATCCTCTCTTGTTGTCTAGTACTTGTTGCTCACTCCGTCGCATCTGACAGCATGGGATACATACGAGCACCACCAAACTCTCATCAAGGACCCAAGCTACCCGTCTCTCATTGAAAAATTAAAACCCTCGTTTGCCACAAACCCAAAGGACCTCGCTATGTCGCATGTCGATTTCAACGAAGATACAACTCCGGGACTAACTGCACCATGCACCGAAGTTGTCAAAGCCGTTCTCAAGGACGGGAAAACGAAGACAGACCTGGATGCTGTCATGGCCGATGTGGGATCGAGGATCGAGGCAGAGAAGGGGTCCTATCCACCTGTCGTCTGGGGTCCGACCATCGAGGATCCAAACGTCTTCTTCCTGGTTGTTGGATGGGATAGTTCCAAGGCCAGTCCAAATTCCCACCCCCTTTCTCTTCGCGCCTAGACTGATGTCTTTTGCAGACACACTTCGACGTCGTGGGTCAGGAATCCTTCAAGATTCCGCTCCAAAACCTGAGAGAGACAGCTGATCTCCATATGGTTCACGTATCATTCAAAAAGCACCCGTCTTCATGAAGCATACACTCCACAAGAGTCAATTTCGTCGTCGCTGGTGATGTACTTGGTATTTTTGTAAGAATATATGGGTTACTTGATTGAAGCATCGCTTCCCGTGAGAAACAACCCAGCTTCGCCTGTCTTCAAACCAAGTATAGGCGAGAAAACTCGAAAAGCGATGACACTCCTGAATTCATCACGGTTCAGGGGATACGTTCCTCAGTGACGGGGTTATCGCTTCCAGCACTCTCGTAGGTGTGATATTCGTCCCGTTCCACAATCATTAAGTATGTTAACAAGCGTCTCGTTTTATCTGCAACCAAAGGGCGATGAACTGCCGGTGCCACTCCAGGGTAGCAAGCCGATCGAATATATCTTTCGCGGAGCAATTTCATGAGACCTGCCTCTCTCTCAGTATCGTCCAGGTCTTAATTTATCGTGTCCGTACTCGACGCATCGTCTACGGTTATGCAAGGGGTTTTTTTCGTTTGGTAAGCGAAGACCTCTTCCATTATTCTTCTAGACGAGTGTGCGCCACGCTGAAAATCGCCCTTTTTAGCCTATCCCCAAGCCCAGAGTCCTGACTATGCGAGGAAACTACGTATGTGGGGCATCAAGCGCGTCGTCTTGACCACCGGCAGGCGGAGAAGGGCGGCCCGACCTCGGGAAAGGCCTGGCATGAGTAACTCGATGAGGTTGGCGTTCAATACACTGTCCTGCGTCCGACGTGGTTTATTGGTATGTCACAGGCTTCGTACACCAGAGGAAGGCTGATTTTTTTGGCCTGTAGAGAACTTCGGCACTTTCTCTCAGAGTATTATAGAGAAGGATGAGATCACTTCGGTCCATCGGGACGGCCGCATCCCTCTCGTTGGCGTTGACGACATTGCCAAGGCCGCGTTCGACGCTTCGGTTGCAGAGAAGAGCCCTAATACCGATTATTGCGTCATTGGCCCGGAACTTTGGACATTCGATGAGATAGGCCCGTACTTATCTCCACCAGAGTCCATATTAGAGACTGATTCGCGGCGTTTTAGGTGGCTGCTGCCCTGACGGAAGTTCTTGGGAGGAAGATCGTTCACAGCAGACGAAGAGCACATCGCCTTCTACGAGACCATCGGAGTGTCCAGAGAATTTGCGGTGTTCCTACACACAAGTGCTGCTCGCTCGGTAGAAGGCGAAGAAGAGGCTCTCGTAGGGAACTCAAAGTCGACTGTTGGGAAGGGGAAGCTACGCGACTATCTCGAGGCGAACAAGGAAATTTGGAAGAAGGCATGAAGAAATTGTTTAGGAAAATGCGTAACAAGATGGGTGGATACCCCAAAGGTGCGTGGTCCTGATTCGTGCGCCGAAGTGCTAGGGCTGATAACCCATACAGACACAGAACAGCTGGGTCCTGTTGTGTTTCAATTGAGACACTGACAGAATGGATGTAAGGTTCTGTTAGTAGAGGTTATTTGCAGTTCTGAGGGCTCCACAAATCCGTGAATCCGATTGGCTTGGGGCCTCCTTCAGCCAATGACATTTGCGCGATTCTAGGAATATTCGAGGTGCAAATAACCTCTAGTTAATACTGATCTGAATGTAATTGGCCAGCCATTTCATCGGGGTACTTCTCGTGTTCATGTGGAGACTCTGAGAGCGGTCTAATGGCGAATCCTATGACCTTCAAATAGCTGGAAACGTGGGGCAAGACCTCCCCAACTCCACACTATCTCTTCCCAGTAAAATTCTCCCTACAATGCCCCTAGTCGAATTCATCTCGTGGACCGCTACAGATGCTTTCCTGAGCGACGCAAACGCTCATTTCCGACCTGCTGTTGATCAAGCTTCCAAGTCAGATGGATGCCTTGCGTATGTGACGATAAGCTTGAGCTTGCTAAACATAGCGCGCTGTCGTGGTCTCTAACGTTCTCGGTCTAGCATATATTCTGGCCAGGAGAAAGAGGACAAAAGTAATTTCTGGATGGTTGTTGGTAAAGTCCTATCTCCCCGAATCGCAATCTGGAAAACCACTCTGATGAAAGATACAGCTTGGCAGAGCGGTGCGCATCTCCAGGCAGCAATGAATCGCCCAGAGTACACTGGTATGATTGGAAGATTAAAACCTTGCTCCCGCAGCGGGCGCCTCGACATCCACCATATCGATGTGAACAAGGACACCAACACCGCATTCGGTGTCGCGTTCACGACTATCGTCTTTCTTACCCTCAAGGCAGGAGTTGCAGCGACTGATGCCACGAGCAAGGTATCGACGGTCCTTGGTCGATCGTTGGATGCTGGAAGCGCCACTGGAACCTACCCTCCAAGTGTCTGGGGGCGAACGCATGAGAGTGCCAGTAAGTTTGTTGCGGTAATCGGGTGGCCGAGTGTTCAGGTGAGCCGTCCACTTATGATTGGGGCAACCTATCGGCTGACCAAGGCTTGTAGGTTCATGACAACACTATGAGAGACAAGAAAGAGGTTTATCGTGTTGCGACTGAGGAGCTTTTGGGAATAACAGATATGAAGAGGGTTCATGTCATGTTCAAGACAGCGTACCATGCAGCACTTCCTGTTTCGTAGATTTCATTTCCTCGTATAGTTGTTAACTATTACGATTCTCTCGGAGAGGGAGGGGAATGATGCATGAAAACTAATGATTAAACACAAATACTCGGACACACCGGCGACTTGAAGGTGTAGGCGAGTCTGTGCTAGTGATAATATCGGTCAACCGTTCACTTACATGCATTTGCACAAGGGGCGGCAAGGGAGAATGAGTCAGAGAGCCATACGGATTTTACGCGCCCGAATGACGATTTCTGCTTCCCTTGGGATTTTTTGAACAATTCGGAGGATTCTGGAGACTGGCGGTAGGCGCCAATCGCTTTTTGGCCCAAGTCCGTGGACGCGGTCACGTGGTGACTGTCGATCACTGCAGTGCTATGGCATTGGCCACATCTTGGAAGAAACTACGTTCACCCAAATGTGGCCTGTGGCCTCATTCGCCAGCATTCTATAAAACTGAGCGAGGTAAGTGCTTATTGTTTCTTACTTTCTCTTTACCAACATGTCTCGCGGCGACAGCGACGATCTTCGGAGGCAGGCTTTCCACAATTCCAGGTCGAAGTCGTCAAACATCGATCAGCAATTTTCTGTCTCAACGCCCCCTTCCTCTCCACCAAACAACCGCGAACGGCAACGATCTACTGCTGTTGCCCCTTTCTATACTCCCGATACACCGAGCAGGTCCACTAGCCACGGTAGTGACCGAGGCTATCCTACAGTCAAAGCTATGACGCCAATCCTCGAAGAAGAACTCAAGGACAGCATTCAGATGGCTGACGAGGAATACTTCCAGAGGGTGGTGGTCGGTCGAGTCCATTCGTCCGTGCGTGGCACGTCCGAGTCCTCTATCAAGGCGTTTGTGGAGCAACATCCCCAATACGATTGCAAACGGAAGAGTTGGAAGGGAGTGTACAAACGCCCCGAAGCAAAGCTCTACAGCCCTTTCTGCGAGCTTTTTGAATCTGTCATTGAAGACTTCAAGATCGAAAATCGTGCCGTTATAGACACCCACAAGACGGAAGTACACCATCGTGAGGGCTCTGAGAGGCTAGGAAACAATGATGTCAAGACATCTCCTGACCTCTTTGTATTCGGCAAGGGGTCCAACTTCCATTCCGAGAAAATCGACCCATCTCCTCAAGCAAACTACACCTATTGCGCATCGCCATGCGAAGTCAAAACGGAGCAGAATCTGAAAGAGGGCATCGTGACTCAGGTCGGCGTATATGCACGGTATGTTGCGGCAATTTCGATGCGTCTTCTTTCACTGATAACTTCTCGAGTAGCCAATGTTTCATCCAGCAGGGCAACCGCAAATATGTCTACTCTCTTGTCATGACTGAGAAGCAGGCCTTTCTCTTACAGTTCGACCGGAATGGCGTGTTTCGCAGCCTACCGGTAGATATCCACAAAGAACCTGAGAAATTCGTCTATTTCATTCTCCTCGTCTGCTCTCCGGACCCTTCAGTTCTTGGTTTCGACACCAACATCTATTGGCGCGGGGACAAGCGCTATATTGAAATGTTTGATACGGACGACACGGACACCCGCGCTCGGATTGAATATGAAATCCTTCGTGTAGATGGGCGTCCATTCATCTTTCGACGCAACATTCGTGGCCGTGGTACGGTTTGCTGGAAGGTCAAAGACCCAACCGGCAAAGTGCGCATTATCAAAGACTCGTGGCAGGCTGACGGGCGCGCACTCGAGAAGGATTTGCTTAAGAAGGTGCAAGGTCTCAAGGGAGTTGGCCAGATGGTCGCTTGTGAGGATGACCGACCATCCATCGAGGTTCTGAGAGGAATGGAGGGCCATGATCTGCCTGATGGGATCTCTGACCGTTTCCCCCGGCGTCTTGTCCTTGAAGCATACGGCAACACCATTGATAACTTCACCAGTCGCACACAATTCCTGTGCGCTTTCCGCGATGCTGTGGCAGGTGGGTTTATTTCATTGTCCTTGTTCCTTCCTTTATCGCTAACGTTCGCTCTTTCAAGGCCACCAAAACATGTGGAACAAGAATATCCTTCACCGCGATATCAGCACCAACAATATCCTTATCGGCGAAGACGATGCGGAGGACGGCAATAGAGGTGTGGTGATCGACTTGGACATGGCGGTCGAACTGCCCCGCTTGGCAAGTTTGGCTGGGGTTGACTTTAGAACGGCAAGTTTCTAGTATATTTATGTAGCTACCTTTGTTGATCAACCTTTTTATTCAGGGAACGAAAGCTTTCCAGTCCATCGCGGTCATTGCTAGTGCGGAGGCTCGAGCAAAGGGTAGAAAGTGCCCCTCGCATGACCATCTCGACGACCTCGAGTCATTCTTCTATGTATTTTGCTGGATCTGTATGGGCTACACCGCAATAGGCCTCCCTCTCGACCCTCCTCCAGATATTCACACTCGTTGGGAAACCCTGGACGAGCCTAACCTTGCGGTGAGCAAGGAACATTTCATCCTCGTACCACATGGCAGGGGAAGCGAGACAGATGAGGTCACTCAAAATTTCGGCCAGCTCTTTCAAGACGTCCTGGACGCATACCGGTCCTTCTTGGCACCGCACATCTCCCGCAAGAGCAAGCGAGACTTGAAACCTCAAATCCTTGAAGAGCTACAATCTTCTTCGAAGACTGACTATGCAACTGTCTTAACAATTCTAGATACCGCCATTACGAAGTTGAAAGAGGAGGAAACAGAAGAAGAGAGTGAGAAGAGACGAAGCCTCCAAGCGCTCATCCTTGGGAGGCGTCCATCGCCAATGCCGTCGCCGCCTCGAGGCCCTTCATCCCCTTCCGAAGGCCGATCTTCTAGCCTCAAGCGTGGTCGGAACGATAGGGGCGACGCAACTGTTGATGACGATGTACCACCACCGAAGAGGCCTCAATCAAATTCAGTATCAAGGACAGTTTCTACAGCAAGCGAATCTCGAATGCAGACGCGATCTCACCCAATGCAGTCCGGAGAGGGAAAGGGCCGTTTACGCGGTCGCGCAGCAGCGAGGGGCAAGTAGAAACACTGGAGTTATTAAACCCCATTTCAGTCTCGTTTCCATCATGACTTGTACCATATTACTCACATCCCGGTCCTTTACGTCTTCACCATAGTTTTTTTCTAGCACTAATGTAGTTACATGGGGTGCAGAAGTTGTATTTCGCCTCGTACACAACCGCCTTGATGACCTCGAGTCGTTCTACGTCTTCTGCTGGGTTTGCATGGGCCACAATCAAGACGGGCAACCCATTTAAACCCCCACCCGCTATTTACAAAGGCTGGGAGAATGAGGACGACATCGAAGGTGCTCGTCACAAACGGACATCTCTGCATCCTCTATGTAAGAAATCTAACACATAGCACCTCCAGTATACCGTCTTTCCATGTATTCTGGCGGTTTGAAGATTGGATCGCCAACGATATAGTTGCTAAAAGGTTGGTCGATGAGTCCAGCATGGTCGAGCCATCATTTCGCCCAAGTGTTTCAAAGTCAAATACCAAAATGCTCTTCCTGAGTCCTCAGGAGCGAAAGGTTCTCTTACAAAGTGGAAAGTGGTTGAAACGCTGAAGGATTTATTATGTAAACTGGAGGAGGCTCAACCTAAACACCTGGCGGGTCCGGCCCGAGGCTAATTGACCGCCATTGCAACCACGCACGCCCCCACAGACCATGGATAGCCTTGGGCAGCACCCAGGACGCTCCTTTCTGAGTCCTGAGAGGAACGGCATGGATTTGCAAAATACCCCAACCACTACTAGTAACTAGGCCTGGCAGACCTAATCAATGACGGCAGAGCAGTGCCGACAAGGACATTGCACATCGATGCCGTAGGGTGCATGCGCGTCAAGACGGCGCTGGGTCCAAAACTGTCCAAAACAATTCCACCTATCGTGCGTAGCCGGTGTAGTGCCGTGGACAGTTCTTATTCAGTCCGAGTCTAGCCGGGGATCCTTTTCGGCGAGAATCCGGAATATGAAGCTGCTCAGTCATCGCAGAATAGAGTTGCGAGTTCAACGGCGAGTCGAGCAACGATTGCGGAATCGCCTATGACGTAGGCGTAATTGTGCCCACTTTCGAACCACGCGTTCTCTCGGCCAGGCCAACAAGCGCGTATAAAAGGCTTCGCAAAGTTTCCAGAGTCTTCCCACCCACCACCGTTGAACCACCGAAGTGACCAAGCAAACCATTATGGGCCTCGTGTTCTCAATCATTAGCCAGGCGTTCCCTCCCAAGTCAAAGTTCAACGTTGAGGATATCCCCGACCTTTCCGGGAGGGTCGTTATTGTCACAGGGGCAAACACAGGTGCGTAATTGCCTCTTATCTTTCAGTTCCACGCCCTAACCGTCGTGTCATTAGGTGTCGGAAAAGAGACCGTGAAGGTGTGTTTCGGCGTCTTTCATGGTCTGTTATTAATTTACAATGCATTTTTTCTAGGCTCTTTTGCAACACAATGCGAAGGTTTACGTCGCCGCGCGAAGCCAGGACAAGGCAGAACAAGCGATCCAGGATCTGAAGGAGCAGACCGGGAAGGATGGCATCTTCTTGAAGCTCGACCTGGGGGATTTGAAGGGGGTCAAGGCGTCTGCTGAGGAGTTCTTGAGGTGCGAGTCTGTACCCTCAGCCTATATGCACTCACTAACAGCCTCGTTCCAGCAAGGAGAAAGAGCTCCATATTCTATTCAACAACGCGTACGTAGCCCCCAAGCCACCTTAATCCCGGCCTAACGCTACCGTAATCATAGTGGTGTTATGGTCCCTCCAATTGACCAAGTCACGACCCAAGACTACGACCTGCAATTCGGCACGAACGTGCTTGGACACTACTATTTCACCACCCTCCTCCTTCCTGCCCTCATCGCCGGAGCAAAGTCCAGCCCGGATGGCAAAGCGCGTGTCGTGAACACGTCGTCTTCTGCAGCGTACTTTGCGAACACGATCGACTTCAACACTGTCAAGAACACTGCTGCGCGGAAGAAGAAAGGGACTGGGTCGCTATATGCGCAGAGTAAACTCGTTCGTCGTTACTCCCTTGATTTGACCGACATAGTTTTATTCACTCGCACCGGTCAATAGGGCAACGTTCTATTCGCGAACGAATTCGGACGAAGATACGCTGACCAAGGCATCGTTTCGACTTCTGTAAATCCAGGAAATCTCCGTTCGGACCTCCAGCGCCATCTGTCAGTTTTTGAGCGGACATTTATAGTGCGTGCTTCGACTGCGTTCTGAAACGGAACTGATTATTTGTCTTTTAGAATTGGATGCTCTACCCAACTTCGTTTGGCGCGCTCACGCAGCTTTACGCTGGAACGTCACCACAAGGGGCTGACATGAATGGACAGGTGCGTGCTTTTGAGGTTGCAATCGTTTTCAATGGCTAACTCGTTTGTCTAGTTCTTGATTCCTTGGGCTCGACCTGCGGCGCTACCTTCTGGTGCTCGGGATCCAAAACTGGGAGAAGAGTTATGGAAGTGGTTAGAGGAACAGGTGGCGAAGGTTTGATTATTTGGCTTGAGGTTTCTTTCTTGCACCTTTCTATTCCCTTTCTTCCATCCCGCGACACACAAGCTATCTCATGGAACTTATGACTTCAACTAAGTATTTGATGTATTGATTCTTTTATTCAGTATAGACCTCTCGACGTATCTGCTGCTATTTTTCACCGGCCTTGAAGCAGGCCACACATACTCGTCAAAATCCATGCTCGTTGAAGGCCCGCGGAACAACGCACCACCGCACGGGAAATGTTGTATGCCTTAAGCAGCCGGCAGCGAGTCCTCATCGTGATGATAGCTCGGCGTCACTGGTCAAAGTAGACCACTAATCTTGGCCGAAGGACTTGACTGCCGATTGCGTTTACCCCCGGCACCCACAGAAAACCTAGGAACGAAGTGCAGACTACGACGTTTTCTCTTGAGCTCGGACCCCCAACCGTGATATCCATCGTTTAAAGCACCTTTCATGTCATATCCTATTATGCTTTCACCTGCCTTTCGACGCCTCCGGCGGGCGAGCATTGGCTTGGAAGACCTGTCAGTGGGTCTATTAATACCACCCTCTCACCACAACAGACTTTTCAAGAGTGCGTAGTCGATTGGTCTGACTCAGGGTCAGATGTCCCTGGATCATTCCAGGGACCGTTCCAAAAACGGATGGACGGCGGGGGCGCTATGACAGGAGGAGCGTGCGCGCATTGCAGACCCCAGGAAGCGTGTCGGCTAATGTAGACACGCGGCTAACCTCATCGCTGCATGTCCTGAGGCTGCTGTAGCGCCGCGCGCTGCGTGTCGGTAAAGCCTATATTCACTGTACGTTCAATTTCAGCAATTAACTTCAGCAGTTAGGAGTGTATTTACGTGGCTAGCGGCCGCATGGAGAGTGTACCCAGTACAGTGAAAATGAAGAATTGTGCCGCGTCTTTCATTGGGGTGAATGTGCGAATGCGGGATATCTAACACACACCCAAAACAACCGTATGGGCGGCTCTGAGGTGCGGGGACACGTTCCCAGGTTGTGCGGCTCTAACCAGGGTAGCACGCGCGACTCATAAATGCGACACGAGGGTGCGGGATGATGGGAAAAGCACCACGGAAAGGGGGCGCTTATCAAGGATGGCTATCGATGTCGAAATGAATTCGGTCGATAAGGCGATGGAGTCTCCGCGACGACGAACGAGGGCGGGAGAGAAAAATGAGACAAATCTATGTTGTTCTTTATGAAATAATGTACATGGCTTTTATACTACAGAAAACAGAAAATCTGGCCAAGCAGCTCGTGCCCAACCGGGCTGAAGGAATAAAGAAAGGGAAGAAATATCAAGCAAAAATGCAAAAGTTAAAAATAGGGGTCGAGCAAGCGACGAAGATGATGACGACGGGAGGGGACTTCCTAAGGAGGAAAAGGTGGCGCACTAAGCTCGATTTGCGCAAAACTTGGCAGTGAGGGTCACGAGATGCTGAACAAGGATCTACGGGGCTGACGAGTCGCTCGAGGAATTATGTAGGGCGATGGGAAATCAAGGGGAGCATTGGAAGAGATGAGGAAGGTTTTAAAAAAGGATTTCCCGAGGGTTAGAGGCAAAGGCGGCCCATCAATGCGTGAGCGAGAGGACAAACGGCGATGAAGTAAGCAGGCTGAGAGTGGCGTACAAGAGCACATCCACTATCTATATATAGGGATGAAACCTGTGGTGGAAAACACAAAAGAGAGGAGGCGAGTGAGGAAAGGAGCGATCCGGGCGCATGCGGAGACACAGTCGGTAATAAAAGGTGGAGAAGTCTGGACGTCGAGAGAGATCGGGACGCGATAGGCACGAGGGACATGGCGCCTCATCGTAACATCATTGCTGTATGTTTATGGCGACTCGTTCGGGGTGCACACAATGCGTCAAGATGAAAATTGCACCGTTATGTCTCTTTCTTCCAATACACCTTTAGCTCATTATGAGTAATTAATGCATCCATGGCTGAAATTATAGTGCAACCATCTATATATTCGTAGTTTGTATTGCTCTTTTAATCATAGCTTGATACACGATTTGTTCTCGAAGAGCCGGAGACGCCTCGCACAGTCACTGCTCACTAAGCGCTCATCGTCAAATTCGGGGTAGCGCCCCACACTATTGAGCGCCGCATTCTATTTCCTCATAAGATGTTCATTATATGCACTAATATCTATGTAGTACCGTTTTCCCAAAAGTTGGTTGGTGTGACCAGCTGTACAACATGAATTAGGTGACATCTCGAGGGACATCGAAGACATTTTCACGCCTGCCCTCCATTTCTACCTCTGTTCGGTGTGCTACCCACTCTGCAAGACAAAAACAGCTCATTTAATTAATGTAACATATGGGGAAGAGAAGATAAGTAGATTTTTTCGACGCCTATGTAGGTATCCACGGCCACAAGAGCCTACGCAATCGCGGCCCGTCTCGCCGGGGGCCGCAAGTGGCATCGTCACATAATTAAACAATGGATATCTACCATGGAGTTTCCGGGGTGTTTTGGGTCCTCCCGACGCCCGACTCGTCCGCTGTTGATGCGCTGGGTGCGGGAGCCCGATCTGACCATTCCGGGCTATTCTGCCAGCTGTCTGTCATCGGGATCCGACCCTGAGTCAGACCAATCGACTCATCACTGACTTTTCAATTCGCATTGGTACTTCGCCATGGGCCTGACATACTCTTTATTTAACCAGGGTTTCCCTCCGAAGACGAAGTTCAACGTGGATGATATTCCGGACTTGTCAGGAAAGGTCGTTATCGTCACGGGTTCCAATACAGGTACGAAACTTGCAGGATTTCTGTTCCTTATCATGTTCTGACAAGTTAATAGGCATTGGAAAGGAGACAGCAAAGGTCGATCATCTATTTTCTCCTCAGGCGCACCGCCAACTTGCTTACCTACATGTCGTAATCTCTTCTTCCTCCTTTTGTCAACACACTTCCCTTGTTAGGCGCTTTTGATCCATAACGCGAAAGTCTACCTCGCGGGGCGGAGCAGGGACAAAACTATAGCCGCCATCGACGATCTGAAGGCCCAGACGGGGAAGGAAGGCATCTACTTGGAGCTCGACCTGGAGGATGTAACGTCAGTCAAGGCGAGTGCTGAAGACTTTTTGAGGTGCGTTGCTGCGGTTCTCTTCTCAATCGAATTTGCCTAAAACAAATCCCACATGACATTAGCAAAGAGAAGGAGCTCCACATCCTCTTTAACAATGCGTACGCATAAGGCTACTCATAAGTATCTGCTCACCCACTCATTGAGCCTTTCCCTGCCTTCCAATGGTGTCATGCGGTGCCCTGTCGACATGATTACGACACAAGGCTACGACCTACAGTTTGGGACAAACGTTCTGGGCCACTTCTACTTCACCAAACTTCTACCTGCTCTCCTCGCTGCCGCCAAATCGAGTCCGGACGGGCATGTGCATGTGGTCTCGACGTCCTCTTACGCGGCATACATAGCGAAGAAAGTGGACTTCAATACCCTGAAGGATTCCGCGGCACGGAGGAAGACATCTAGTTTGGATCTGTATGCCCAGAGCAAGCTTGTGCGTGCTTTCTTCTCTACTGAAGAGGTGCGAAGTTGCTAACGCTTAGTTCAGGGGAACGTACTATTTTCGAACGAGCTCGCAAGGCGGTATGGCGACCAATGAATCATCTCCACTTCAGTGAATCCAGGAAACCTCCGTTCGGACCTTCAGCGTCACCTCGCCGCTTTCGAGAAAAGGCTCATGGTGCGTCTCCTCACTTTCACCCCCAGTTTGCATCTGGAGTTGGTACTCATGTATTGTTGGCAATTCCTTCCATAGAATTTGGTGTTGTATCTCGTCCACCTCGGTGCTTTAACACAATTGTACGCTGGAACATCGCCGGAGGCATCGCAACTGAATGGAAAGGTAGGCACGTTCAAATGTAAAAACTTCTTTGCAGCTTACCCTGTCATTCGTCGCCCTTCCTGTTGCAGTTCCTGATCCCTTGGGCACGCGTCGGAAATTTGCCTGCTTTAGCAGCAGATACTAAGTTGGCTGAAGAACTCTGGAAGTGGCTGGAGGAACAGGTAGCAGACGTCTGAGGCTTATCTATTCGATTTTCGCTTTCCTTTCTGCTAGTCATGAATTTGTTTATCCCTAGTTGATCTCTTACCGCAAGACGAATGACACCCGAAGTTGCCTGAACAATTGAGCACCTCGATGAGATATTATTAAAGCCTCGAGGACAACTTAATCGGTGGTCTGGAAGAAATATGTATCTTTCCAAAAAAGCCGGGCGTGCCTACAGCAAGTCTATGACTTGAAGCTCGAGTCCTAGGCCTGATGCCTGAATTTAGCTGAAACCTTCAGCATTGGACCTCGAATGAAGTGTCCCACGAGCATGTACGGAAATACTTATGAAGACCACGGGATCGTATCGATATCTCTTAATCCGGGAAATTCGACTCCGACCTGAAGCGCCGCATCCCTGCCTTGCAACAGAGGCTGGGAGTCTTTCTAATGCGCCCTGTCAGGAATGGTGCTCTGTCACAACTGTACGCCCGCGTGGCGCAGAATTGGACGGCCAAGTGAGCGGTCGAGCATAAATCAAAGGAGGCCTCGCCGGCGCAGTGATCTCTCGCTTTTTAATTAGAAAGGAGCCAGTTGGAACAAGAGACAGGCAGCTGGGGCTAGAGTTATGGAAGTGGTTGGGGGAGGACTCCGGGCTTCAGTTTGCCTCTCACTGCAGCGCAGGAGCAGGACTCGGATATAGATGTCAGCATTTTTCTCTCCTTCTCGAGACTCGAATGCTTTACTACTTTTGCCTTCATACACGTCATCTTCATGACAGTTGGCAATACTTTTGTCTTCGATGAGGTTCATTGAATCTCCTCAGAGGTGCATTACGCCCGGGAATAGGGGCTACACCTAATGCGCGACGCGAGCCGAAGGAGCACGTGGTCGCATCTAATTCCCATTTCAATTTGTGATTCTGAATCTTAGCTGGCTGCTGCCGGTTGTGCAATTGTGTCAAACTTTCTCTCTGGCCCTATGTACGAACCCTCTTCTCTTTTTCCTCGAGACAAGCCTAGAACGTAATCACCATCTAGCCCTGCGTCGGGCTCCCATCTTTGGTACACTGATTTTCCATAAACATGTCAATGATGCAAGTGGATCCACAGGCCTCTTCACGAGCGCCAACACCTGTGCAATCGAAGAGCACCCACTCGGTCTCCGATTCGTCCCAAATGCCTCCATCCTCGACAAAACACTACCACCCGTATTTCACGCAGGCTGAGATCGACTACCTCTCGGAGAAGCAGCGGGGGAAGCAGTCGGCCGCGCATGAGGAGAAGGTGCGCCAGAGCGCTTGTACGTTCCTCGAGACTGTGGGTGCGAGAGTGGGATTGTGAGTAGCTTCTTTTTTTCTTGGCTGGGTCAAGGCTGGGTGGAAACGTATTGACTTGTCGTTGAAGCCCAAGGAGAACAATTGCAACAGCACAGACGCTGTACCACCGATTCCACCTGTTCTTCCCTCGAAAGGACTTCCAGTATCACGTATGTCCCTCTCTACATACCACCAATGCTCGAAGCTTCACCTACGTGGTTACATTGTGCAGGATGTTGCCCTCGCCGCCGTCTACGTTTCAACGAAAATGCACGACACACTGAAGAAACCACGCGAGCTCCTCTCCGTCTCGTATGCCATCCGATACCCCGACCTCGCTGCTAAGTCCAAGCACCCTGGAGGAGACATCGACCTGGACACGATGGACCATACCGTAAGCCCGCCTTTCACCCTTGCTGAGTTTGGATGACGTTCAATATTACTCGACAAATAAAGATGGTAGAGAATGACCGACAACGGCTCTTGGCCATCGAAAGGCTGATCCTTGAGACTATTTGTTTCAATTTCACTGCTCGCATGCCATTCCCATATGTTATCAAGCTTGGAAAGGAATTGAAAGGTACCTTCCCTTCCACTTTCATCCGTGTTAGAATATTGACGCCTCCCCAGCCTCGAAGAAGCACGTCCAACTCGCCTGGAGGGTCGCCATTGACTGGTATGCCTCTCCGTGACCTCCTTAGCCATACCCAACTGACCTTCGTTAACGATGCAGTCACCGGACAAGCCTCCCACTGATCTACCCATCGCACGTCATCGCCCTCGGAAGCATATACGTATCAGCTCTTCTCCTTTCCTTCGAGAAACCTCCGTTGCCAACGCGAGACGGGGAGATGAGCACAGATAAGCTAGCGGCCAAACTCAGCTCTCCTCTGGAATGGCAGGAGCGCTGTCGTGCACGACACGAGGACTTGCAAGGTGACCTTTTCCGCCGCCACCTTCCGACACACTGCTCACCCTCCAGCTGCTTTAAATCAGAATTCGCACATACATTTCTCGATCTCCTCCTCCAATTCACCCAGCAGTCGTACTCCTCATCCACTAACACCTCCCCGAGCACACCCTCCTCACCCTCACCGCACCTGGTGGCCACACCCGGACGTGACCGCCACTCCCTCCACCCGCAGCAGATGCAGCACCCGTATCCGTACAAGCCCGACCAACTCATCAGGCTCAAAATCGCGATGCGCGAGAACGAGGCAGAGGCAGTGCGTCCACCTGCTCCGAAGAGGAGGAAGATCAGCGGGTTCTCGGAGCTGGATAGCACGGAGAGGATTGGCCAGAATGAAGGCACAGTTAGGTTCTTGTTCGTCCCACATGGGGTCGCGGGCGACGTGGAGTAGGGTTGAGGTGTATTCTGTGCGTATCTTTACGGTGTGTACGTGGTAAATGGTGCTCCAGGATTCAGCATACATATTGAAGAACTTTGTTAACTTTGTTAATATATTACAAGTAAGGTAGCTAAGATACATCGACGACGAAAGCATGACGAATAGATAGATAACTAGATTGTAGCGAATTAAGCTGTGGGTGGAACCGCCATTGTCTGATTAGCCCTCAATAACTTCGTTAGAAGCGGCACAAGTATCCAACGAGTAGGGCTAATAATAGGAGGTATTACCATTCCTCCACCAAGTCCACGGCGGTGCCATCCATTAACTGTAATGAAATAAATCAATGCAAGAGAATGAAGGGATAAGAAAAAGGCATACCCATAGGCTGAGCAGCGACCAGCATGATAAAGTATACCCAGACCCTTCCAGGCCACCCACCTATCCTCCTGCCTGTAACTTTTCTCCACAACCGCTCCAGCACCAGAACTGGTCCCTGCATCGCGAAGAAAATCGTCGCCGAGTGGTCGTACCCTTTCCCCATCCCATACATCGCACATTCATGGAACAACCCCGACGCGACGAAGGTCCCAAAGACCATCCCGAGGTCACCCGCGAGCCACTTGCCGGGGTAACCCCCGAACACGAGGAATGTCTGTCGAAGGAGCTGGTGCCAGTCCCTCGCCCAGAATATGTGCATCGAGTCCGAGAGCCATGGCCTATCCATGATCGGCGGCCAGGACGTCGGCGATGAGTCGAACGAGAAAACAGCGATGAGTGTGACGAGATCGTACACCATGCTGAAGCCCGAGAGGATCGCGGAGCCGGTGAGGGTGTGGACGGTCGTTGATACGATGAAGCGTGCGGGGAGGGAGAGCGACGAGTAGAACATGCTGCCACCGAGAGGACTGCCGACACCGGGGAAGAGTTTGATGAGTGACTCTTGGAAGTCAAGCATAAGGAAGTTCTTGATGAAGGAGAGGAGGGTAGCCCGGAGGAAGGCGTCGCGCTCGAGCGGCCGCGTTTCCTTCGGGATATGCATTCCCTGCCCGAACTTCCATTTCAGCCCGCGCAGTGTGTGCGAGAGTTCCATGGCGTCGTAGAACCAGGGAGCGATGAGGGGATGCCCAGAGGATTGTTCGGATTCTTCTGGGACGTGCCCGTTTGCGGTGCCGTTTGGTAGGAGCTTGGCCTTGCCTTTCAGTACGCCGGGTCGGCTTTCACCAACCTTCAGCATGCCTTCCTTAGTTAATCCAAACTCAAGGGCTTTGGCGATCGCCACTGCGGCAAGGCAACCTTGAGGAAGTGTGAGCGGGAAGCAATAGATGTGAAGACAGATCGCTGACATTGACCCCAGTTGTACACGTTTAGCTCTGGTGGGACCCAAGTAAATCGGTAGGCGGCCACGAGTATCGATGTAATGACACTCGGCAAGAGCAGGACACGCATTAGATATGTATCTGGCCGTCTTGCGAGGTAGGCCAGGAATATGAAAGGAATATAGCACATAATTGGGTATATTCCTGTGCTTAATGAGATGGGTATTCTGTGTTGCTGCTCCGGCACGACCGTCCTGAAAGCTTGCCATGCCCCAAACGCCACTCTGTGGGGAAAGACTCAACGAAGTAGAAGCGGGAAAGCTGCAAGAACGTACTCATGCCAGACGGAGATCATGGTGGATTGGAAACACGTTGTCTTTGTCCGGGAATTTAAGGAGGGACGGTCATAGAGGTACTAGAGTAAGCAGGAAGGTCACGGTAGAGTCAACTGCGTCACTCAGCGCCTACGCTTGTCATCGGAGCTGACTAAGCAACACGCGTATTCCTGATGGGGATCATACCCACGCCCGATCGAAGAAAAGGCTTGGGCACCACTTCCCCCTCTTATCGCGGCTCGCTATCTCTCCTACGGCCACCACAATCGATAATCGGCAGCGTTGACCACGGCGACCATGAAGCTGCCTCGACTGACTCTCTTTGGCCGCTCGCTCTTGCTCATTACCAGCGAGTAAGCGCCTCTTACGCCCAGCCAGCCGTGTATGGAAGCCCACGCTGATCGACCTACGTGATCGCCCAGGATCGTTGCAAACGCCGTCTGCTGGATTGCTGCCGGCATCTCGTTCGGAAAGTCCAGCGAGACCCGTTCCATCCTTAGTCTTGCGTTGCTTGCATGGGTAAGCGACATCTTTGTCCGCGGGAAGGTCTCGTGCTCATCTTATCTCATAGACGTTGGGACTGCGCCATGGTCGGTCATTTTCTAGTGCAGGCATAGAGCTTACGAACTTCAAATCTTCTGCATTTTCATTGCAAAGCCCTCGACGCGGATCACATCAGGTGATTCTATTCAATAAAGGATAAGGTCCGTGCTCACGTTCAATACTTCCTTGTTGTAGGTCCAGTTGACTAAATGGGCAACCAAACAACACGCAGGATCGCAACTCACCATCTTTACGCAGCGCTATTGACAACGCAACACGAGGCTTGATCAACCTCGGGCAGCTCCCAGTTACCTGCGGCCTTTTCTTCTCTTTGGGACATAGCACCATCGTAATCGTTGTAGTGAGTAATTTTCCTCCATATCCTGACTATCCGCATTGAGATCTGCCAAGACTATTGCAATTGCCATCTCTTCCGATGTTTATGACAGGATGACTAGAGTCGGCGAAGTGGGTGGTATTGTTGGTAAGTTTAATTCCTGCTGTTAGATAAACACCGAAGTTGCCTGACATATTTAATTCCTCTGTAGGCGCAGCCGTATCTGGCTCTTTCCTCTTCATCATCGGTCTGGCAAATACAATAATTTTATGGAGGATTATTAAACGTCGCCGAGAGGTGGACATTCTGTCACTGTGATCCATTTCGTCCCATAAGCTCACGACCTTTCTGGCCAGGATAAACTCCGCGAACAACGCCGTGCTAACGGCGAACCCGTCGAAGACGTAGAGCACGATCCTAAGTTGAACCGAACGATTATGATGCGCATTATAGGCCCCATAATTACGTTCGTCGACCGTCCGTGGAAGGTATACCTCAAAAAACGCACTGGCGTTCCTATCTGACCTGTGAACTAGATGTATCCTGTCGGTGTTCTTTTCGGTTTCGGTGCGTCATACAAGATCTCAAACACTTTTTTCACTTAAAACGTATAGGATTCGATACCGCTTCATCTATTGCTCTCCTTGGACTCTCTGCACTGGCAAAGAGAAATGCTGACGGTAGTGCCATCCCAAGCGGACAGATCGTTATTCTTCCCGTATGTTTACTTTCACCTTTTTTTGGCCTCGTCGCCACTGACCTCTGCCACAGCTTCTCTTTACTTCCGGGATGACCCTAGTCGACTCGATCGATTCTATCCTTATGCTCTACTCCTACTCCGGCTTCCCTGAAAGATCATTCAAACTCTTCACCCTCGGGCCCTCTCCCAAGGTCATTCCTCCTCCCGGATCAGATGAGAAACCGGCCTCGGAAGAGAAGACCATCGAGGAGGAAGACAGGAAGGACAATGAAAAAGGAGACGCTGAACCCGAGCTCGTGGAAGCAAGAGAGGATGAAATCGTGACACAGGAGACGCGTGTCAAGATGAACGTCATGTCTGGGCTGAGCATTGTCCTCACGCTGATGAGTATCTTGGTTGCTTTTAGGTACATCTTCCCGCGACATTCTGCTCCATTCTTCTGCTGATGATCTGCTTTGGCATAGTATTTCGTTGATAACCATCATGGGCCTCATTGGCGAGCAGTGTGGGCCGTGTGTGGCCGCTGCTGAAGCCGACGATGGCCATGGCGGCGGTCTGGCAGGACGGTGGTGGAGAGGCTGGGCTAATGTACGTGTGGAATCTCGACTTCCATTATTCCCTCCTCCTTCACGCACTGACCATCGTTCTCCCCGACAGGCAAACGAACAATCTGGATACATCGGTGCCGCCATCGTCGGCGCCTTCCTGGTGATCGTGATCGCTTGGTATGGTGGTCGCTGGATTTCCAGAAAGATGAAAGCCAGGAAATAATCAATATTTCATGCGGAAGACATACATAGTTGAATTGAATTTAACGAAAGAACGTTGGTATTTGGAAGGATATTTATTTATGCAAAACATGGAAGGAAGGCAGGTGTCGCCTTTGGATACAATGGAGTTGTAACGAATACATCACCACGAGAATAGACGAAACACGTTCTTTTAAATAAATAGATAAGTGAAAGCAGTACGTAGGAGCAGAAAAACAGTCTGGGGTTCATCTCTGGAGGGCTCAGCCGCTCAGTTCAACCCGCTTCCGCTCAGACCTCGTCTCCTCACGGAGAAAGACTTCCTAATCATATTTCCAGCAGGAGATTGGCACTGAGAGCACGCAGACAATCCCATTTACTCGCCTTCACAGTCCTCTAACCAGGAATTTCGTCTTCTTCGGCATATATACGCAGCTAACATGGGTCACCTTTTCTCTGAACCACGGCAGCCACTTCGCGTCGACTTGAGGACATTCGTCGATTGTCAGTGAAAGCAGGCATGCAATGTCACTCGACTCTGAAGGTGGACATTCTTGACTGGCGGACGGAGAGTCCACCTGTGGTAACCGGGATTTGACGAGCCGCACCAGGGGCCCAGTTTGGAGGTTGGGACTCCTTGAAAAGTTGACGTGGGTAAGGAGGGGGCATATTGCTGGTGGCGAAGGGGTAGGCGGAATTGCGTCGAACTTCGCGCCTTTTAGATTCGAAGATGGGGGCAGGTGGGCGGAGAGAGCTTCGACGATAGGTGTGACATCACCTACATTATGGGACACTTCCAGTGTCAGAAGGTTGGCTGATAATTTGACCAAGGATATGAGGATGTCTATGCCGATGGAGGGACAAGTCCGGACTATCAGCTCTGTTAAGTGAGAATGGTTTGACTGAACCAGCCGTTGAGGAACGGCCGCGTATGCCTCTTGAAGGTGGTTCGCAGATAATCGAAGGGTTCGCAGTTCCGGTATTTCTGCTTTACCCATCACCCAAGGGATGCCTTTCGACAGATCGAGGAGGGTCAGATGCTTGAGTTCCAGCGTTGCGTCGCCAGAATAGACGGGATTCACGCTGTCGAGCACGAGCTCTTCGAGAAGGGGATTCGCTTGCAGAAGCAGAACTGACGGGAGGGTGCAATTTCGGAGGTGCAGTGTTTTCAACTTGCTGACTCGGGCGTGGAGTTGCGAGTAGCTGAGCAGCAAACCCTGAAGGGAGAGATGTTGCAGGGGTAGCTCTTCCTTGTCACTCTGGGAGAACAGCTCCATCCACTTGTGTTGCTGGCCATTGACGACGTCGTCTAACTCGAACGTGTCCAAAGTGGCAAAGAAAGATGGTTGGCTGATAGATTGTAGATAGGCCATGATGTCCCATCGGTGGATTCTGCATGCACGAAGGCGTTCCCACTGCAGACCTCGCAAAGAATCGCCAGGCCAATTGGGCGAATGAAACGCGCCTTCCCTGACCACCAGCTCCCGCATACGCCCTCCCGTAATCTGAATCCATAGCTTCGCTTTCTGCTTCGGTCTCCGTTGAGTAAGGACGAGTGTGTCCCATAGCGACGGCATGCTCTCCAGCACGCTCCTCCAGTGTTTGCGGACATGCAGCAGCGGGATGAGCGCCCGCTGGTCTTCTTCAACGAGCATCTTCACGATCTCTCCAAAGAGTTCGATCGGCAGCTTGATTGTGTGGTCAGCCATTTGCCGACGATGCTTCTCCAATGCCTCCTGTACATGTCGGACCTCCGCCTCCAAAGCAAGCAACGACGTCCGCCTGTCTGCCTCGTCCTCCTTCAGCCTCTCCAGAGTCATCGATACCATCTTCGCAGCTGCGTCAGGCTTTCCCAGCTGCAGGAAGACGCGTGCGGCACGCGCGTAGCCCTGCCACTTCTCGGGGGCGACGTCGATCGTCTTCTTCGCGTCTCGGAGGGCCTCCCTTTTCTGGCCCAGCTTCGCGTATACTGCGGCCCTCGAGTCGAATATGAGATGTACGTTCTTCCCACCATGCTTTTCGGCCTGCAAGGGTGATACGATGTGGTATGAGTTTGCGTTCGTGTTTGTGGGCCAGACGAACCTCATTGAAGTGCTCCAGGGCATCCTGGTAGTCCCCTGCTTTGTACGATGCCAGACCCTTCTGAAACGGTATTCGTGACATTATTACGGGGAACGTGGCGAGATTCGGGTCGACGGAGGGAGGGGTGCGGTCTTCAAGTGATGGAGAAACTTGAAGTGGTTGAATGTCAACAGCCTGCGAGCGGCTACCGGGCCGCCTGAGATATAATGCACGTGATCATTTCACGCCCTTGTATGATATCCCACGTTCCTAACTTCTGAACGTGAACTCTCATCTGAAGCTTTTATCTTCGTTCCTTATCCTCCTGCAATTGTGCGTCCCTATTTTCCAGTATACGACTGTCTTAACCTCTTGCAACGAAGTCCTTTGACACAAGGCGACCATTCATTCCAGTTACTACGCTGTTTCACGGGCACGATCCATCAAAGCCACTTTACGTGTTGTAGGACGAGGAGACGCCGAGTGCGCAGTCGATTCACCACTGCCCAACGGATACTGCAGCTTTTAAGACGCCTTGAAGAAATAGGACGGTGCCATGGATCCCTCTTGCAGAATCTTGGCCGTCTCCGCCACGATAGACGGGGCGAAAGCGTTCATTCAGCGTCTGTTACTTCCCCTCCTTCACTCCTTCACATCCCTCATCCTTCAACCCAACAGAAATCAAAACCATTTCAATCACATCACCCTCTCAAACGGATGCCCCTACCACAGTAACATCGCAGGCCGTGTCGAGTGACGCCGCAGCTTTCGCGCACATTCCCTGGACGATCACGAATCGATATTACACCGCCGATGTTCACTTCGCGCCCCTAAGGATGGAGGCGGTGACTTCTTCTATCTTCTTGGCTGGGATGAACCGACGTCCGCCACCCGCGATTGTGTATGTGTGGAGGGAGGGCGAGGTGAGCCGTTCTTCAGAGGAGCTTGGACAGCCCTTGGCACCCCCCACTATCTACCACTGCATCCGTTCATCTTCATTCATTCTACGGTCCATAAAAGATGGAATACTGATTAGTTTTATCCTTGTAGGCCTATTCTGACCACATCGCAGAGCTGTCACGAATCATGGCTTCGGAATCGTACGAACCTGAGGTTTCATTGGCTGTCCGAATCCCTGCCCCAAAATCCGACGCCGAGCCTTCTACGTCACTTGCACGTAAGAATGACGATGCAGAAGACGACGGAATGAACGGCGACATCGACAACACGCTGGTGTCGTACGGGTTTGAGTACATCGACGGCACGCGGCCATTGGAAGCATCGACAAGTGCGAGCGGGACAGAGTTGCGAGATGGCACGTTCTAGGTCACGATTCTCTGAAAGAACATGCCGCTGACTCGGAATACAGATATCCCAGGCCTACCACGCGTGTTAGACGCGCTAAGCACGATAATGTGGCCCTCCATGAAATCCGCGACCAAAGGAGCCTCATCTTCAACCAAAGGCCTCCTCGATGAGAAATCCCAACGCGAGCACGACGACATAATGGAGGAACTGCTCTCTCACGGCCGGGACGCGTCTTTCTCCTCCACTCAGAGTGACTCAGAAACCAAAGAACGCGAAGCAAAGGAGAGTGAAGACGAGGACGCTGACCTACTCGCCCAGATGCACGCGTTTGTGCGCAAGGGAAACGGCGCCGTGCCATTAGTGGGCGTCGATGGAACGCCTTTCTCGCCTTACGACTTCAACAACACGGAGGGGAAGCAGCGGCCGTGGATCAACACCACGTCGAGTGCTAGCACAGGTGCAGAAATTGCAATGTCACCCACCGACATAGAGGCGACAACACCTTTTGGGAGCCGTGGACCGAGCGCAGCAGGCGATGCGAACTTAGAAGAGAAGGCGAAGCAAGTATCGCTCGGGTTCGAAGACGACTTCACCGTCTTCGTCTCTGCGCCTCCCGCACAGAAACCACGCGCGCTTAATCTCGGAGATGCAGCGTTTGGTGCAGGCGAGGTCGACGGGCCGGACATCCCCACGCCCACCGCGACGGGCGCTATTACGACAGATGGGCTCGGACTAGCGCCCGAGAGCGCCGCACATCGGAGCGTCTACAGGTCGCTGGGGTCCGTGTCGGACTTTGGCGGTAGCGATGACGGGAGGGAGCACGAGGCGCCGTACGAGGCGCTTGAGGACGATGACGGGGAGGAGTGGGAGGATGTGGATAGCGACGATGATGACGAGGACGAGGAGGGTCTGCCGAGCAAGGAGGAGGTGAAAGAGGCGGCTGCACGGATATTCGGGCCTGGGCTTGGTGGCGTCGGTGCCGAAGCAAGCTCGAGCTCGAGCTCAAAGTCAAATCCTAGTGGCGGGCCTGCGGGCGCTTCAACCTCAACCTCAACCTCGGACTCTGGTCCGCCAGCAGCGATGCTCGAGCGGATGAGGATGCTCGGCCGCATGGCGGCCCAACAGGACATCATGATGGGCATGGCCGCGATGGGAGCTCGCTCAGGTGCTGCTGCTAGCGCACGTCGACCTGGTGGTAGTGCGTCGGTACCGGAAGATGGGAGCTTCGACCCAGACGCCGGCGATGGGGATGATGGGGATAGCGGCCCAGGCGTGCGACCGTTCGATTTGGAGAAGGTCTTTGGCGCACTGCAGCAGTACAAGAGTGAGATTGCGGGCATGGCGAACGAGGAAGAACGCAGGCGTGCGGCGGCGAAGGTTGCTCTAGGGCTTGTGTATGGGCTCGAGGGCGGCAAGCCGTAACGAACAGCTTGCCCTTGTGCTTTCGGTATTTTTTTTTTACCGTTGTAGATTATAGCTTGTTAGACAGGGTGTGCAGTGCACACTGGCGCGTGTATTTTTGTGGACAATAAGTACAGAGGGCGTGCCCTTGGACTCAAACACTGGCAGTGAAGATGATGGGTAAGGCAGGCGTCCGTTGGAACTGGAACGACTGTTTTCCGCGCTACCAGCAGCATTAGAGTAGACATGGTGGGCCCACGGGACCGTACTAGGGGGGCAACGGTGGAAGCCGCAGGAAACTGAGCGCTTATTTAATTATAGTTTGTTGGCGGATGTGCACAACGCTACCGGCACATTTTTGTGGGTCCTACAGTAAGATTGCCGATGGAATTATACTATAACGTCGGCCATGGACCAGGCGCCGCCGACTTTACAAGGATCAACAAATTACATACTGCGCCGTGGGAATCAAATATTACGACGGCGTCCGGGTTTCGCGGGCTGTTTGACTTGGACTGACTCTGACACGGTCAATGAGAATCATGGCCCACCAGCGGGGCCGGTGAGGGGTACGTGTCTCCTTCTCACATCCAGACGTTATACAGAACAAGGAGGTGAAGGTGTGCTCCACTCGTTTGCCTTCAGTATTGGTAATGTCAAACTGACCATAGTCCTCTTGATAGATGTTGAAGGCATTTCTGCTTTTCTTGGTTTCTACGGCCATTGCACGTTCTTATTTATGGGAAGGGGATACAGGCTGCCGTCCTACGCGTTCAGTCGAACCTAAATGCGCGAACGCCAGTGCGACAAACCATTCCTTCTCATGTTCTTCGAACAGTGATCTGCCTCCTGGTTCCTTCATCGTGGTTGGAGTGAACAGCACTTGGGAGTTCCTGAACTACATAGGCTGTCCAGGGGTTTCAGTCAAGCGGCTCTTACTTTCAGACTCTCTCGACCAGGACATCGTCAAGAGCTTTGGAGACTATCGGCAAACGGCCAACTACAGCGACCTGTACGAGGTCGAAATGGTGCGCCATCACAACCGATTGCTGGACATCAAGTGGGAATACGCGTACCGGGACTACAGCGTTGTGATAAAGTCAATTCTGGAACACGTCGCTCCTACGCTGGAGGCGCTCTCTTGGGACCAGTACAACCCCAGGTCATTTTCAAACTTGGGAATAGACGAGTACGGTTTCGAGGAGTACCCACAGTGGCGATTCGCACATTCTCCCCTTTACCGGACCAAATTCAAATTCCCCCTCTTGACAGAGCTCACGATCCGTTCACCAGACGGCGTCCATTACGCAAACCGCCCTGCAGAAGCAATCCTCAGTTCTGGCTGGGCTTTGCCCTCCCTCACACATCTCCACCTCGCCTCATATATCCCGTATGACGTGCTCCACCGCTTCGTCACCTGGAAAATCCCCTCGAACATCACGCACATCCGGCTTACAGGAGATCGTGTACTTCATGAAAGCGCGCCATGGACTCAAGTAGAAAAAGACGTATGGGATAGATACCCAGGACCATGGGAGAAGGTCATGCGTCTCTTTCGTGGCATTCCCAAGTTGACCATTAGGTTTGTCCCCCCAACCCCTGCATATTTCAACATAAGAGAACGCTAACTTGCACATCTGTCCAGAGCTCCAGAACTGCAGCCAAACATCACGATCATCGTACAGCCAGGGTTTCCGCCAACTCAGGACCTCGACGATCATTTCCGACACAGCACAGAATTTTTGGACAGCAAGGAGCGGTGCTATCTTCCGCGTTATGACAGGCAGCTCAACAAGACGTTGTCGCATCCTCGTGTCCATGTCAAACTACCGGAAAAGGCGGCCTGGGAGAGATATGGCCCTTCATCTGGAGTGTATTCTTTAGCAGAGGCGATTGAAGATTTCTCAAGTCGAAGCCGCGGTGAAGACGCTGAATGGCTTGTCCCAGACCAAGTGACAGGAGAACACCCTGAGAGGTTCTGGTGGTGAGCGTTTTTCTTCATGCTGTCGGGTCGAATATTTGTCTGATATTGATGGCGCAGGTGGGAAGATGGAAAACCACCTCTCAGATGTCCTGACGGCATGGGAGGTCACAAGTTGATTAACGTTGATTGATAAGAGTTCATCGAACTTGGAGTTATGCTGCGCCACACAGAATGGCTGTCGAAGAGTATATATTAAATGAAGTCGAGTTTGAGAAGTGGCCTCTTCGGTCACTTCAGTGTTTTGTAATTTTGTAAAAGCTCTCTGACGAGACGCGGCGTGGCGGCGCAGATATACTGGTGCAGAGACGTCGACGCGATGCGATTGCTGCATACCTATTATGCTCCCGGCCCCTGGGAGAGTAAAGCAGTGTTTTCGGTCGGTGTACAATTTTTGGTGGTTGGCTCCGTCTGGCAGGCTCCGTCCGTTCCGATGCTACTAGGTATAGAGCATGCGTTGCCCGATAGGAGGACATGCGTAAGCGCCTTGCGATGAGACACATCGCGCGAGGGCTACGCCTAGAGTCCAATGATCATACCAACCTGTAACTCCGGACTTATTTACTGACCACTCCTACAGCTTCGAAGACTCATCGATCCGACTCTATCGTGTGTTGTAGGGTGACCATCAGAGCACGTCTCACGCTGAGCTTTGATATCATGAAAAGTTCTCTCTAAAATTGCTTCCGCAATCCCCACGACTTCAACAACGGCTCTGCGCTCGTATGCCTGATGAGAGACGGTCCGTGCGTCGATGCAAATTTTGTCAAACGGCGCTGGTCTGGTCGAGCCCATCTTCTCGAGCGCCTCAGAACCAACTCGACCAATGCAGCCCATCATTAACCTTTTTAAGTGACGGAATACCCGCTTACACCGAGCTGACACCCACAACGATTCCAATCTTCTGGATCTGCCTTCGCTGTAGAACCTGAAAATTTCGTCAGGGGAAAGAGATATTCGCTCACCTGGTACACCATGAAAACTGTGTGCAGCGTATGTTTTTGGCATTTTTATGAAATGGCGTCACTTGTAAGCGTCGCGTGGGCATAGCGATGGGAGTTCTTTTCATTATGGAGGCCGCTTTTTAGTATGTTTCTCCGTGGAGGAGGTGCGTATGGGAGTGATCAGGGCAAGTTCCGACTCCTGATCGGTTCCTGCCAACCCAGGCCCACCACTCTCTTTCTCACATATTCATCATGCACGCAACCCTTCCCTCTTGACCACCATGGACTCCCATTCAGACGACAACCCAGAGCCCCCGCCGTCGTCAACAACGCCTTCGCGCTCCCGACCACCGCGCTCGTCCCCGACAGCGGGCCCCTGGCCGCCTCGCGCACCCTCGTCCGAGTCGCTGCACTTCACCGCACTGCACTCACACGCTCCTAACCATTCCAGTGTCCTCAAGAAGCGCCACTCCGCATATACCCTCTCCAGCACTCACCCGCACGGAACATCGTCCGTGCCGCCCCCTGTGCCTGATCTCCCGCCGCTGCGACCCCCGCGCAATCCTGCGAGGAGCAGCACCAACATCAGCGTCGCCGGCCAGGACATCGCCGTACCGCACCCGCCCTCGTCGTCGTCAGCATTCTCGATGAACCCACAGCCGAAAGGAAGACCACGGAGTAGACCGTCGACAGCGACGGGGTCGACAAGGGAGGAGATCACGCCATGGGAGTTCCAGGCCTCATCGTCGGCGTCGTTGTTGGAGGAGCACATGGGCTGGGCCGCACCGGAGAAGGAGAAGGAGCGGGAGCGGGAGAAGGAGAGGGAGAGGGAGAGGGAACGGATCCTGGAGAGCCCCCGCGTCAAGCCTCTGGCGCCTTCCGTCAAATCGCGCGCTTCATCGGCCGGCCTTGGGCTATCAACATCGACGGGGCCCGTATCAGAGGTCACCCCATGGGAGCTCTACCCCGCCCCGCTCACCCCGGGGGGAAATGGCACAACCCACACGATTGCGAGCGCGTCGGCGAAGGATGTCTCGCTCTCAGCACCTTCCTATACCGACTCCGCGGGGCACACGCCCCTCCCACTGACACCCCGCAAGCACACGCTTCCGACGGGCCCTATTGAGGATGTGACACCTTGGGAGCTGGAGCCCGCGCCTATACCGGAGCCTGTGGTACGTCGAGTTGAGAGCGGAGGTGTCACCCCGGGCAAACACAAGGAGAAGGAGAAGACGAAGAAGGCGTCCAAGACAAACTCGTCTCGGCCAGAATCGCTCTCTCCACCTACCGCTCATGCCTCTATCCCCGCCCCTCCCCTCTCGCCCTCCCGTCGATCCCTTCCCTACTCTGATAACTCGCACTCGCACCATTCAGGGCTCCAAAGCGCTGGGCAAGGAACGTACAGCTCTTATGCACGCAGCGGTGTCAGTGGACAAGGGTCGTTGGCGCAACGACCCCTGCCGACAGGGCCGATGGAGGAGGTGACGCCTTGGGAGATGCACCCCGCTCCCGACGCGCAAGATAAGGAGAAACTCGCGAGCCTACGCTCCCGCTCCCATTCCTCGTTGCCGCCTTCATCACCCCCTCCATCCTCTCCACTCCCCTCGCTACCTACACATCGGAAGACGTCGAGCTATGGGCATTCACCCACGGATGGCGAGCGGCCACTCAGTTCGAAAACGATACCGGAAGACCGATCGGAGGAGACGCACTCGGAGGAGCAGGAGCTGACGATCCCGGATTTGCACGATTTCTCGGGGGTCGCGACGGCGAGAGGAAGAGCATCGGTCTCCAGTTCGGCGGCGGGTTCTTTGGCTCCACCAGGTGCGAATGCGGGAGGAAGTTCGGGAACTGGAGCAGGGGCGACGAGTGTCGCGTCGCACATGAGCATGGCGCAGATGGAAGAGGTTCTTCCTTGGGAGCTGTATCCCGTTCCTGCGCCGAAGTTGAGTGGGACAAGCTCGGGAAGTGCCAGCAAGGACGGGAGGGAGAAGAAATCGGTGAGTTTGTTTTTTCCCTGTTTTTGTTTGCCTTTTTTCCTTTGGCTTGGGCGCGCGTTCCGTTGTGGATCGGGCGCCAAATTCGGAGCCGGGGTGCCTCGCGCCGACTGAGCGTCGAGAGTCGAGAGTCGAGAAGCGCCTCGCATGCCGTCAACGGTGCATCGCGCATCGATATCGATATCGGGTTCGGAATCGGAATCGGAGGACGTCTTGGAAGATGGAAGAAGTTGGGTCCTGGGAGGGTCTAGTCCTTCTCGTTACCCGCGACGTTGCCGTCTCTGGGCTGGGGATGTCGTCAGCGTTTTGCCCCGTAGCGTTAGGCTAAGCGCCAGAATCCATCATCCACGCCCACGGGTTCGTCCCATGGGTGGGGAAGGAGGAATGCGCACTTCCTGCGTTGGGTGACAAAGAACTTATCGTCGCCTTCGCATAAACCTACCCGCTGTCCTTCACTCTATGCGCGTCGCGAGCCGTCGTGTGGGGCGGCGGCTTCTGTGTAGGATGTCGCCTTCCCTGACGGTTTTTCCTCTTCCTACCGTGTTGCTTGGGCTTTTTTTGTTATCTCGCCGAATTCCCTTTCCCGCCTCGCGAGCTAACGGGACGGCTGGAGTAATACGCTTATGCACTAGCGGCGTTGCTCAGTGCCTTGGGCAGTGTGTGCGTGCTGCTGCCATATCGACCGTTCCTTTGACTTGCTTTTTCGGGACGCCAATTGGTTTTGGGGCATTTCTTGCCCTGTTTCGCATTGTCCGAATCCGATGGATAGGCCTCTGCCCGAAGGCCTAGGTTTCCTTGATTTTTTTGTGTGCAGCTCTGTGGGGAGGATCGGCGCTGACTTGACCTTTTCACCTTTTTTTCCATCCCTCCCGCCCTTGCCTTGCCTTGCCACGCTCGTCTCGTTGCTGCTTTGCTGGTTGCTCCTTTATCCTCGACCACGTTCCGCTGTCGACTTCGACCGACTACGCTACAATAATCACCTTGGATGCACTACTACTCTCGTCCGGAAATCCGCCTACCACGACCCATCGCGTGCTCATTCGCATATCGCATCAATGCCGTTCTACATGTTCCGCTCAAAGTCGCGGCCCGGGTCGTCGTCGCACGGGAAAGGGCTCTCGGACTTTGGATTGCGGAGGAGGAGGAGCACAGGGAGCAAGGCAGCCGCTGCAGCTGCAGTCGCGGTGTCAGCGTCGACGTCCTCGGGAGGGACCGCCTCTGGCTCCGGTGCGGGAACGGGTGGCGGGAAAGCACGCGACTCGGTGCACCTGCAGGCTGGGGTCTCGAACGCGGTATGTGTTCCGTCCCTTTTTTTCGCAACCCCGCTTCTGGGCTTTCGGCCCCGAAGCATTTATTCTTGGGGGATTGTCGCTGGCGGTGTTGGCATTGTCGGCGACGGCGAGGTCACGCTCGCAGTGCTGGAGTCCATGGTTCATCCTTATTTCCCGTAGTTCATCCATTGCCTGCGCTTTCTTCCTCCATGCGACTAAGCACGACTAACTGCACCCGCCTCCTTAGGGGATACCAAACCCACCTCCTTTACCAGAGAACGCACCCTCCTCGTCGACGCCAGGGTTCTCAGCTCCCGGGCCTATCACACCCGTCGCCTCGACCTCGTCAATTACCACTATGTCGTCCACATCCAAGGGCGATCGGAAATCACAGCTGAAGCCCCCGTCGAACGCCCAGGACCTCAAGTTCTCAACAGCCGATCGAACAATCCTAGAAGAGCTCAAGGCGAACATCCAAGCCCGTGAGGCGCAATTCAAGATAATGGGCGTTGGTCATACCATTGTGGGCGGTGGGAAGTGTGCAGGGAAGAAGTATCATCCGTTCTCACAGAACGAGGTGCCGTACCCTAGAAGCTACGATCGTGAGGTTGTGGATCTGTGAGTCTTTTTTCCCTTCTGGTTGCATTGTTTCGTTATTTTCTTTCGATATTTCCTTTTTTTCATTTCGCCTGTTGTCGCTTTCGTTTTCATCGTCGTGGCTGCGCATTTATTTTTGGCTTGCTCAACCTCTTGTCGCAGCCCCACATGGCTTCTCTCTCTCTTCTTAATTTCCCCGCGTTCTTGGATAGGCTTCTGCCCAGTCCTGGTAGAATGCCGCTGCCCGGTCGGGCCGGGAATCATCTTGTGCTCTTATTCAACTTTCCTTCCCTTCACTCCATTGTCTCTGTGTATTGTCATGACCTGGCTTACTGACTCACTTATCATTGTCTTTGCAGAGATGTATGGGAGACGATGTTCTGCCTGAACATCTGCGAGAGCCTGACATGGCATGTGTTCGAGAAACCCCCAACTAAAGTGTACGTTTTATCTCATATTCATCTTCCACCATCCTCCTATCCATATTTCTCCTGTGCTTCGACAACATTTCCCTTTCCACCCGAGTACCAACGATTTTTATTACTGATGTCCCAATGGGGTTTGCTTGCGTGGTTCTTACGGATGCTGACGGCTACTTTGATTTAGGCTTGACATTGGATGTGGTGGGTTTCGATTCCTGGTCTCAGGGCTTCAACACCTGCGTCATCCATCATTGGCTGACTTCGGCCACGTTTTGTGTTTGTATAGGAACCGGCACATGGCTACTGCACTGCGCAAGGACTTGGAAGGTCAGTGGGTCATATAGCGGTCCGGAAATGTTAACATGCTGACTTGCTTTGCATACTTGTTGGATGTCTAGGAATGCCACTTCGTTGGTAAGTATATGCGCTGTTCATCGTGAAACGAACAGTTGACGAGGTGTTTTGCTTGTGTATCATAGGTCTCGACATCGTACCTCTTCATCCCAACCTCCAGAACGTCGGCTCACCTGATCTCGCGTCGAGGATCACATGGGTGCAGCACAACTTGTACGTCTTTCCAGCCTTCGGGCGCTATCCCCGTCGGAAGGTCTCAAATAACCTTTTGGATGCAGTTTGGAGGTCCTTCCCTTCCAGAATGAGGAGTTTGATTTTGTGTAAGCATTGTTTTTCCCGATAGCATTATACGGACGAAACTTATCCGGCGAACACAAAGTCATATCAAACGAATATCACTCGGAGTTCCGGAGGACAAGGTCAGAGCTTAGTTGATTAGGTTGTGGAGGCCCGTTCCGCTGACATTTCTTGTGTTACAGTGGGACAAGCTTTTCGAAGAGATTCACAGGGTAATGAAGCCAGGTGGCGCCTTTGAGGTGAGATCCACGTTGCCTGCTCGAAAACTGAGGAAATCGAACGCGAGTCTGCATTAGATGATTGAAGAGGATTTGTTCTTCCCTGGCCGAAGGGTCGTCGAGCAAGACGACCCTTCGATGCGCGATGACGCCTCATCTGTGACGAGGCGGAACTCAACATCTTCGGATCGACATCGAGCCAGCGTCAATGGCCACGACGAGGTGGCGAGGCTGGAACATGTTGCCGAGAACAGCGACCCTGCTGCACCCCAGACGCCGGCAACGATCCATGCAACTCTGCCTGCTGCCTCCAGACCGGGCTCTCCAACCACGATCAAGAACGGAGAATACCCTAACGGCCGTGCTGACCCACTCGCCGAACGCAAGCCACAGGCGCCTCAAACGATGGTTATAATCCCGCCTCATTCACGGTCTGCTGCCCGGCCATTGCTTCATGTTAAGACGCAACCTACAACAGGCCCGTATGCGGATTTTGTCGGGCTGGGAGGGCAAATGCATCCGGCAATGTTCGGTTCAAGCGTCTCGCTACTCGGTACGATGGGATACCTTACTATCCAGGACCCGTTGGTTGAAATGATTAAAGAGAGCAAACGGTCGCGCGTTTCGGCTGTGATGGCCCCCGGACTCGGTCACGCCAATTCGACGTCGTCGTATCAGCAGTCCAACACTTCATCCGACGGCCACCATCCGAACACCCAGCCCACAGCAAAGAAGACGAAGCCCTCGCCTTTCTTGCTGAGAAGCCTAACCCAGACGAAGGCACCAACTAGTCCTCGTGATCATACAATTTTGGCGGCTGTGTGGCATGGGATGCTAGGGTCGCGGTTCGTCAACCCGACCCCGCTCTCGTTGTTGACCACTTTCCTGGAATATCATTTCAAAGGTGAGTCTACTTTCTATACGTCTATCTCGTTTTCTTTCTTTTCTGATCATTGGTGACTGGGTAGACGTTCGCACACACCCACCTCTCTTGTACACTTTTCCCCCTGTCCCAGTCAAAGCCGAAGAGGAAAGCGGCGACGAGAGCCACGGCATGCTGCTGTCAGAATCAGAATCTGACGTCGACGGTGCTCGAGACGTCATTGTTCCTCGCCCAAAACGACCTCGGTCAACCAAGTCGAAGAAGTCTCTCAGCTCGAATTCGACTTCCTCTCACGCCAACGAGAATGGCGAAGTCTCTGAGGAAAATCGATGGCTCTCTATGCAGGCTCTGCTCAAGCATAAATCGCCATACATCACTCTCGACGAATCTCGGGCCTATGCGTATTCGCCATCGAACAAATCAGCTTTTCACCTCCAGAAGACAAACGAGGGCAAGATGCTCTTAAGCAACCGGATCTCGAGGCTCCCGAACACAACACTGCATATCGATTTGCGGACACTGAACCTCCATCTCGCGCTCCGCGCGAAGGAAGTCATTGCCTGCTCTGAGCCTATGTGGCAGTGGGTGGAGAAGACCCAAGCTGATGCTAAGGCCGCCGCTGCGTCACCATCGTCATCGAGGGGATCTCGCTTCCGTTCTGACTCCATTGAGAGCACCCTTGTTGGCTCTGGGAGTGATGTGGACAGCACCACGGATGAGGACACGACCAGAAATGCGATTCTAGATATGACGAGAGATGATTTCGACCAGCTGTTGAACAACTTTGAGATGTAAGTTTCATATTGTCGTACTTGCCGCATATGTTGATAATCTGCGCTCGTAGGGATATGCAAGATAAGGCATCTGTCGGTAATGCTCTCCGAGAACGCTTCAATTGGCAAACCTTCCCATCGCCCGTTCTTCAAGACCGCAAGGCGTTCGATCTCGCTTGCGAAAAGTATGACAACTGGGTTGAGCAGAATAAAATTCGCCAGCCCAATGTACAAGTGGCCCATCGCTCGCGCAACTCGTTCTCGAACTCTGGCCTCGTTCCTCCAACCCCCGACTCCCCCGTATCGCGCGACCATAACGTCATCAACCGGTCAGCGAGCAACCCACAACCATCAACGGCCACGTCCGATAAACTTTTGGATGACACGACGCTGGCAGCATCACATCGCAACGATGACGCTCTATTCTCCGAGTCATTACCCTTGCCGTCGACAGAGTCAATGCCTCCCCCCACCCAGATGTTCAGTCGGGCAATGCGTGTGTTTGTCGCATGGAAAGCCACAAGCTAGTCGCCAGCGAGCACGTTTTCATGTTCATTTCTCCTTCCCCATCTCTCAAGGTGGATGATGAAGACGATGGCATGCCTTTCCCCTCACGATGGCGAACACCTTGTTCGACCGTGGACCTAAAAACAGGGCACCACCTAACATATCTCAGTCCTTACTAGGCGGACTGAGAAAACGCCCAACGCCGGAGGTTCTCCCAGTCTGTCTTGGGAAGCATTCCATCCGCGTCCTTCGCTCGGCAATCTGCTGAAGTCTCGAAGAAGCAAAATCCCGATTTGGCTCTACCGTCGTATTTGGGAGTGTGGCGAACATTTCCACCTGGGGAATCACTCTCAGTATTTCCTTTTCTGAACCCCTTCTTTTCCTGCTGCACGCAGTATATCCTCCCAGGACTTCTCTTCTACCACGGTTCGGCGCTCCCAAGGCGGGATAATTTGGCGCCGTGCTGACCGCGTTCTGCATTTGGTATGGTTCTCTTGATTCATGTCCCATGTTTTCTGTTTTCCGCTCGCGCATTCCTATCGTATGTAGCACATTGGACCTTCTATCCATATAGCACCACGCAAGGCATCTTCCCACTATCTCCCCGTATATTGCAGCTCCTGGTATTTAAACTATGTATTCTGTTATTTAAGTACATGTTGGATATACGCTTGTACGTACAGTAAGTAGTAGTTATTCGAGTCTAGATCTGTTCTCGTCGTCTCTACCTCGCCTCCGCGTTGTCTTGCGACTTTGCACGGCCGCTTGCGCTTGCAGGATGGTTTCGAGAGACATGGGCTATTCCAGTGATTTAATCGACAATTGTGTTGGTAGTTTAGATAAACCGCAATATCTCAATTGATCCACCATCAGAAGACCAAGCAGACGGTTTCCAGTGAAGCTTCACCTTCAATGACTCGCCTACGATATTGACTTTTACCCACAGCAATCGGGATGTCAACAGTATCGGATAGATGAGAAATGGGCGCCCAGATAAGCCAGGCGCATGACCGGTCATGAGGCAAAGACTGGACAATGGACCCTGCCAAAGGGGGACATGGGACCCTCGGCTTCATTTGGGGTCCTGATTGCACAGTGCACCCCAAATTGAAGCAGAATCCATCACAAAATCCATCAGCGGATTACGGAATCCCAGCGAACCCCGACGTCATCAGACGCTTTCGTCATGGACTAATATGATTAGCAATCACTTCTTCCCCTTGTCCCGCATGAAAAAATCGGGAAGATTATTTTCCTTTTCCTACACTACCGGCAGTATTGCCCGTATGTGAGAACAAAACCCCTTTTCTGGAAGGCCACGCCCCTCAGTCTTCATCAAGAAGTCCGGTTCCTGCAGGAGAGCAAGCCCCTCTTGGCGCTTCCCGGCGATGGTTCTATCATATCACTGTGTCAAAATTAAAGGAAGGAGCAATGGGCGATTTCACCCGAAGTGGGATCCCAAGGACGCCCGCCGTGTCCTATTTTCATCCTGGATCCCGCGACTGACCGTGCCCAGTGGCGCATGCTGAATACACCCTGTTTTCGGCCACCAGGCGAGCTTCCCATTCTCTTTGCCACTCTTTGCCAACTGATTAAAGCCTAACCGCCCGTCGGTGCCTGGACTCCTCCGATTGCCTAACTCTGGTTAGGCGGCAAGAAGGCAAGGCCCATGTTGCATCTCTCCTCTCCCAAGGGTCCTAAAATGCCCACATAATTCCCTTCTGAGCGCCACTAGTTGGTGTTCGTCTTCATGAGTTCTATTTATGCATGAAATGCGGAACCGTGGAATGCCCATGGTAGCGATGGTCAACCGCTACGAACACAAAAATACACTCTCCGAGTCGGACCATCGGAGGCAGGTAGATATCACTCGCCGGTAAAGGAATCCCTACTTCCTGATGCGGGATCTTTGGATACGCTGATGAAAAGTCCCTGATCATCCTTCCATGTACACCTCACATGCATCTTCCTACGAATTTATGAGGGAATATCTGTAGACTTCCATATTGATAGATGGCTTCTTCGACTGAGAACGCACCTTGCAAACCTCAATGCTATCCCAACGGACGTTGATATGGACACTTGGGTAGCACATCCTCTTATTCGCCGCCCATCTTATCGAGCTTCCACTATAGCCGTCATTCTGGCTCAACGAAGGTAAGAAGCACAAAAGCACGTCAACGTGATACATACGAGATATCTTTAGCTCTCCCAAGCAGGCACACACCACAAGAGCTGCAATTCACATGTGCACAGACCATGCTCCGAATTCGAAGCCGAATCCTAAATTCAGAACTCAGAGAGCAGGGACATATGGACCATGCCGTGGTGGACCTTATCAATCGATCGAGGAACCAAGCGCGGCTTCCACTGGCTTCTCAAGACAATCGGTATGTCGTTCCTGGCAGGCTTTTTCGGAGGCAGTCGTGAGCTTTAGCGCCCCCAAAGAGGTAAGAACAAACCAAAGAGTATCTGGAGGAACGAACCCAAGACAACGCGCCTTCGTCTCCTTTTTCGGTATTCCCTCCTGTGCTGCCCGTTATGTTCGTATGGCCTTGGTGTTTCAGGTCATGCATCGTCACAACCGTAGACAGTGGGGGTACATATCCCCGGTAGTCACGACATAAGGCCTACGAGACTGGAAATGACTTGGAAGGTGAATTCCTTCCGAAAGGCTTCGCGCCTACCATAGTTTCATCATTAAGCCTCATCATGGGTTTGAGGGTAGGAAAGCGCCACCCGCGTCTAAGTATGTCAGCCACCAGTAAACTTTTTTTGTAAGTCACTGACAGATATACATGTACCTTCTATCATTGCGTAACATATTCCCCGACCGCATCGTACGACAGAAGGGGGAATCCGACGATTCCATAGTCACCTGGTCCTGCACACTTCTGTCAGCAAGAGGCGCCTTCTATAGTGGTGCACTACAGACATACCGGCGTTCGAGACGGCCAAATAGGCAGCTACTCCATGTATGCGCGCTATACGCGCTCTACCGGCAAGACTCATGATTCATTTGGTGATATTGCCTAATCGCCTGTATCCACGGAAGGCGATTCCGCTGCGCAGGTGGGCTGAAGTATCTTCGTGCTCGGAACTTGGAAGGAAGATGCGACCATACCCGGAGTCGAGAAGCTTGATAATCCAACATTTTAGGCTTCGAAGACCAGTAATTTATCATTGGTCGACTCTTGCGATTCCATTGAGGATTGCTTTTGGCAAGGTCGACCTTTTTGCTTACGCAAAATATTGCGATATCGGCCGCGAACTCAAACATGAGATTGAAGATTGAAGGAAATTATTCCATCGAGAAGGCAGGGACGGCGACGCAAACTGTGAATCGGCAGCGTAAGTGCATAGTCATGACGGGATCGAGATGACGCAGGTGGGGCAGCGACCCTCAAATGCACGCTGAAAGCGATGCGACGTGCCACGAGCTGTTCTCGGGAGAACAAGAGGAAAAAACAAGGCGGGATGAATGTCTGAGTCAGTGTTCGTTCAAGGGATCGGGAATGCACGCGAGAAATGCACGCGACAGCATACGCGGCTTTGAGAGGTTCGCCGGTTGAGCGCCTTGGTCCAATCGTAGGTTTGGAGGTGCATCTATGCGCGATTCTTTGCTGGCGGGGTCGAAAATTCGTCCTCGGTACTATCTTTGAACACTTGGAATCCATCTTCCTGAGAATCTTCGAGTCTAGCCTAGCAGACCAAGTCGAAGCCCAGGTTTTCAAGCACATATATGCGCGAAGTGCATGCAAAAGTTCCGAGTCGTCGCCAAAGAGAAGCTTCAAGCACTTATATGCGCGAATTTCAAAGATAAACCAAGTTGTTTTGCCCCACCAACGTTATGTAGGATTGGCATTAGTGCAATCGAGTATGCCCTGGGCCATACGAATATCAGCACAACAAGGAGACGAAACTCTTGCTAATGATCGCACCTGCGTCCAATGTCCGAACCGTTTGATTGTCCCACTGCAGCGCTCACCGTCGTGTTGAGTTCTTCATGATGAAACAACACGCCACGCCAATGGGCATCTTGTCCCGATGATGGATCAAACAGTGTCCTATAATCTTCTCCTTCTCTGCCTCGAGGACGTGGGCTGCGTTGGGATCGTCGTGTGCGGTCATGCATGCGTAGCCCAGGTTTGATGAATGGTGATGTAGGATGCACAGGAAGGGCCCTCGACACGTCAACGTGGCATGCGCAGAGGAAGAACAGAATGAAGAGCTATGCTGGTACTGAGCTGGAAGCTCGTCGGGAGAGGGCGGCACAGCTCCCAGCACACGACTAGTGACCTGCTTCCAGCGTGGTGGGCAACTGCGACCTATGGGATGTCCGACATAGAGAGGTTCTAGCTGATCGATGTGCTGGCAAGACTGGAAGAGAACAACGCGGAGAAGATAAGGTTCAGTCCACAGGAGAAACTAGGAGAAACCCAGGAGAAACCATCCCCACGCTGCATTTCAAGGAGTTTGAGCTTCGTATATGCGCTATATTTCCGAGTGAATCCGTCTAAAAGTTTAAGTTTGAGCTAGGGATGTTACAGGGATACTTGATGATGATGTGCCATCCATGAATATTCTCGTGAATTGCGTTGAAGTTAGCGCCAGTGGCCCAGCGTTATCGCAGTGATGAGTGTTCAAACGTTCAAGACGAAAAGAGAGTTGTCATTTAAAACTGATGCCAAAGGGATTCTTCACCCTCCTTCCGTCTTGGGACCCTCGTCCCAAAACAACCATCCTGATCGCGAATCTCAAATATAAACGGTAGGAAGACCAGTCAGGAAAGACGGCGTCATAAAAGGCAAGAAATCGACACCTACCTCGTATGGTGTTTTTCCCTCGCGGTCTCCCCTTCTGTCTGTTTTCTGTTTTCGGCGAGACTCCTTCCGTCATTTTTATACCTCATGCGTCGAGCAACACGTCCGGGGAAAGTGTTCTATTCGGACAGAAATAGGGGGTTCTTCGCTCCCTTCTCGCTCAATCGAGTATGTGATTTATCTGGTTTCCCCTCCGAGGGACTTGGGGGTCTCAATTGGGACGTAGATCCTAATAACCCCTCCACTGAACGGAACAGAGGTGGGGCGAGATTCAGGATCGACGTCGTGGGGTTTTTGAATGTGTCCTTGGGATAAATAAGCTTTCAAGAATCGATTCGAGGGCTATATAAAACAACCATTGGAAGTAGAAGGCAGAGACGAAAGTATACGAACAGTATGTATGTACAAGAATTTACGTTTCGAGTGGTGCAGACGATGGGTGTATGGTACCGAGTTAATCAGGCATACAAGCAGGATGGGATGATAAAGTAACAGAGCCGAGTGTAGAAGCCATCATCGTATGTATCGTAACGGTACTCGTTTGAAGAAGACCAGAGAGGCGAAGCGGAGCGCGAATCGAGACACAAGGGAGAAAGAGAGGGCAGCATATATCGGAAAAACTTAACTTTGGTCACCAAGAAACACTACGAATGGAAAAGAAGCAGCGGGAGTGGAGTTTCTTGTCGCCCCGTCCTCCCACGCGAACGCAGAGGAAAGACAGCGAGTAGCGTATTGGGATGAGGATGAGAACTCGGAAAGTGGGTCGTCTCAGGGTCGTAGGCAGGAAGAAGCGCATATAACGAGGTCATCTCACACTAGCCCACTTCATCTCCTCGCGTAATGCCCCCCTCCTTGTCCGACCTGTGGCTGCTGGGGAGGCGGTGCCCAGTGCCCAGTGCCATGCTGTGCTGCAGCCGCAGCGAGACCTCCCAGCTGCTGACCACTCTGCGCTGGGGGTGCACCTGGGCCGGGGTACGAGTACCCACCCGACATCATGTGCGGACTGTACATCGCCGGGTCATGCTGCTGTTGGTGCTGTTGGCCGGGGTGGTGGCCATACGAGCCGCCGGTGTACGTTGCCGGCGAGGTTGAGGGCACCTGTTGATGGTGCTGCTGTGGCGACGTCGGCGAGCCAAGGTTGATCTGCCCAGACGATGCGGAAGGGTGTGACGAGTGCTGTTGTTGGCCACCAGGGGCGCCTCCCGCGGGAATGTTGAGTGGCGGAGGGATGGTGGCGTTGGGGGAATGAGGTGAAGTTGCGCCGCGGTTTGAACCTTGTTGTGCAGGTTGGCTGGTGGAAGAACCTCGACGGCGGCGCTTGTCGCCGGTGTTTGGGCGGCCACCGTGGGCAGCAGCAGCATCGTCATGGTGGTCGTCATCACCATCATCGTCCTTGAGGGGCCCAGACGAGGGCCCACCAGAGATGGAGAGACCGCCGGGGATGTTGGCGGGAGGTGGGGGTCCAGGGATGTTCATGGGCCCCGACGAGCGGGTCATGGGTGGGCCGACGGGCATGGAAGAGGGGAGAGCACCATGGGGGGCATTGAGACAGGCTTGGATGAGGTTCTTGCCCTCGGGCTGGGTGACGAGAGGCTGGAGTTTAGCGGTGGTGAATGTGTATACGAGGCCGGTCTCGGAGACAACGAGGAGCAGGACCTGAGTACCCGTGAGAGTGGACAATTCGTATGCCTGAGACGACGTGAGCAGTTGTCGACGAATTGGGAAGCGGAGTTACCTTTTTCATGATGCCTGTAAATAGGCATGTGAGAAGAGGGAATTGTGGAGGATGAGGGTACTGACCTGCTTTCCTTTTGGAGAACGTTATATGACGTCTCGATTTATCCTGGATGAACTCGATCTTGATCTTCCTTCGTCCTGCCTTCTTGTCCGACTTGGGTTTCTCATCTTCTTCGTCATCCTCGCCATTGCTGTCGAGGGCTTCGTGGTCGTTGATGAACGCGTCTTCGCCCACGGGCGCGGAGCCAGGGGGCGGAGGAAGGCCGTCTGCGGGCGCGGTACCTCCGGGGTGGTCGACAGTTCTCTGGCGCTTGCGCATCGTAGGGGACGTGGGAGACAGTGCGGGCTTCTGCATATCCATTGTGGTTGCGCGCAAGGTGTCGGAAAGGGAGGCAATAAGCTTGTGAACGAACTTGCGGCGCAGGCAAGAACGCTGGGCGGTAAAACAGGCAGAAAAAGGGAAGAGACTAACAGAACGGGGGCTGCGCGGGGACGCGGAGGTGGACAGATGCTTGGTCGC